CCCAGGCACCCAACGGTGCCTCCGGGTGGGCAGTGCTCTGGGCAGGGCCGCGGCACGCAGCTCCCCCATGGTCCCCTCCCCGCAGGCCGTGACGAGGGCCCCACGAGCGAGCCGGACGAGGCGCTTGTGGACGAGTGCTGCCTGCTGCCCAGCCAGCTGCTCATTCCCAGCCTGGACTGGCTCCCCGTCAGCGACGGGCTGGTCAGCCGCCTGCAACCCAAGCAGCCCCTGCGCCTGCACTTCGGCAAGGCGCCCACTCTGCCCACCAGCGCCAGCACCCTGCAGCTGGACGGCCTCATCAGGTGCGTGCCCGCCTCTGCCCCATGGCCCCTGTGTGCACCGGGCAGCTGCTGCCCTCTGACCTGTACCCTGTCGCGGCCTCGGGACCCTTGCTCAGCCGGTCACTCCTCCGCTCCCACCTGTCTCCATCCCTGCCTTGGGTCATCTGTGTGACATCACCGTCTGTCTGGTCCGTCACTCCTGCGTGACACACTTGCCTCCAGCTCCCCCTCAGGGCTCTAGCATGTACTGCGTGGCCCCGGTGGACAAACCATTGCCCCAGGCGGGGTGTTCCCACAGCCGAGGGGCGGCCTCCAGAGCCGGTCACGGGCAGCTGCTGTTGGATGGTGTGGACTCAGCCCGTGCTGCCCAGTGGCGCACGGGCAGGGTTTTATCCCCACTCTTTAGGCAGGACAGGTGTCCCGACCGTCAGACGAGGCACTTCCTCATTTCAGGCCACCGGGTGGACCGTCGTGCATGAACTCCCCACGCGGTCTGTGTCTTTGGGTAGAAATGTCAGAAGGCAGCAGCGAGCCAAAGGAAGGAGGGTGGGGCCCTGTGGCCCCTCTGGGTGAAGGGCTTCGAGCACCCAACCCTCTGCATCTTCCTTCTCATCTCGCGGAGGGAGGACCGGGTTTGCATTTGAGTTTCAGGAAAAACCTGAACACAGGAGGGGCTGATGGGACCCCCGGGTGGCTCAGCAGATAAGTGTCTCCCTCGGCCCAGGATGTGACCCCAGGGTCCTGGGATTGAGTCCTGCATCAGGTTCCCTGTAGGGAGCCTGCTTCTCTCTCCATCTGTGTTTCTGCCTTTTTCTGTTTCATGAGTAAATGAATGAAATCTTTAAAAAAAAAAAAAAAAAAAAAGAGGGAGTTGCTGATCACAGGGAGGTTTTAAACTCATTGTTCTGGAAACGTTTTAAGATATCTGATATCTTACACCCCGCCCAGGCCCCCCCCCCCCCCGTGCTGAGGCTTCTAGAGGGGCCAGTGTGTCCGCAGGCAGAGGGCCCGCACGTCAGAGGTAGGTCTGTGTGTGCGTGGACCTCTGAGCTGCTCCCGGTCTCTCTCATCCGCCAGGGCGCCAGGCCAGCCCAAGATCGACCACCTTCGGAGGCTGCACCTGGGCGCCTACCCCACAGAAGAGTGCAAGACCTGCACCAGGTGAGTGCTGCCCACGGCACCCAGACACTGCCTCGGGGCTAGGTGTGTCCCCCACGAGCCGTGGGTCATGGGAGCACCTCCCATGCAGGCGCCAAGGCTGCCTTGGGCATCAGTGCTGAGCAGGTGCCTGGGCACAGGTGACCACGGGGCCTACACCTGCCCCAGGGGAGCTCCCAGGAGCCCAGCAAGTATAGAAATGCAGCCCAGGCCCTTTGCAAATACAACCCCGGTTGTTGCCAGACAACCCTGGATGCAGGTCTCGCGGCTCCAGGGTCCCAGTGCTAGGGAGCAGCCCGGCCAGGACTCAGACCCTAGCCTCTCGGGGTGAGGGAGCCATGCCTGAGCTGCGGTGCAAGCACGTGGAGCAGCTCCCTCGGGGCTGGGGGTGGCGCAGGGAATGGCATTGGGGGGGACGCAGGTGCAGAGGCCCAGTGGCAGGTGGAAGGAGACCCCCACCCAAGGCCTCGCCCGCCTGGCTCTGCCTGCAGGTGCGGCTGCGTCACCATGCTCAGGTCGCCCAATAAGACGACGGCCGTCAAGCAGTGGGAACAGCGGTGGATCAAGAACTGCGTGTGCGGGGGTCTCTGGCGGCGGGTGCCCCTCAGCTACCCCTGACTGGGCCTCACGGTGACAACATTCCACACTCTGGGCCGCGTCCGCTGAAGCCTGTGCCCATCACTGCACGGGCAGGGAGGACACGGCCTGCAGCCTCAGGCGCCCGTGCCCCAGCGGGCTCTGGTGTCTCTGCCTCGGAGCCTGACGGCGACTCACGTCCCCTGTGCCAGGTGGTGACCCAGACAGGCCTGTGGCTCACGGCCTCGGGCAGGACCACAGCGCACCTGCTGCCCTGCCTGGCCCCCAGGCCCCCAGTGGCCCTGCTGGGTGTCCCAGGTCCAGGCTCCCAGGAGCCAGGATAGCCCAGTCTGTGGGGGCGCTGCTTCCGTCCCCTGACCTGTTTTGCCAGCACACCGGGTGGTTTTGGCCTCAACAGGGCCAATAAACGTGCTCCCGGGTCACAGGTGCCCTGTTGGTGCTACAGCTCTGGGCTCCCGTGTGTCACTGTCTCGCTCTGTCTGCATTAATGGAGCGCCTACTGCGTGCCAGTCACAGGACCCTGCAGGGAGCCGCAGGCTCGGGGTGGGGAGGCTTGTTTGCTTGTCTCCACTTTGACCCCCCCCACACACACCCCATGGGCTGCTCTGGCCCCTGGTTTCTGGAAGCTCAGGCCTGGTCCCCCCGGGGGTCCCGCCTTCTGCCCACAAACACTTTTCCCCAATTACGTCCTGCTGTGTCCTGCTCCCCGGGCCTCCAGGCAGCGCGGCCGCCCTGCTGAGCGCTAATTGGCTCTTGCTGGGAGGCTCAGGTGAGCAGGCGGGGTGGACGCCGTGCGTGTGCAGTTTCTGGGGCTGGTGGGAGCTCCGGGGGCGCGTGGCTGTCTGAGCAGGTGTGTAGGGGGGACGAGTGGGCCCTTGACAGTGAGTGGGCTCCTGCCGCCCACCCTGCCAGTCCCCAGTGCCTGCTGCCCCTTTAGTGACTCGGGGACGGTGAGGGCAGCCTCCCCTGGCCGAGGCCTACGGGACGGGCGGTCACTGCCGATGGGCTGAGCTGCCCGCGAGCTGGAGCGGGACGATGTGTCGGTCGTCGGCCTCCCTCCCTGTCTGCGCGGGGGCAGGTTCCTGGGCAGTCGTGAGGAGCGCGGAAGAGGCCTCTCCCCGAGCGAGCTCTGCGGGCCCTCCCCCAGGTGGTGCCGGCCCCTGCCGCTGTGGCGGGTGAGGTGCTGCCCGAGGCCCGGCCGCTTCTGCTCCACCCTGCTCCGCCCTCGGCCCAGCTGCCCGCGCCCCTCACCCCCGCGCCCCTCCCCGGCCCTGTCCTGTCAGCGGTCCTACTTGATTTACGGCTTCGGTCAAGGCGGTTCAGCTGGTTACTTGTTTTACATCAAAGGGCCGTTCTGCACTCTGCGCGCACAGACACGACTCCCATCAAGGGGTGGGGTCCGGGTCCCCCCTCGGGCCTGCATGCAATGCTGTGCGGAGGTGGTGCTCCCCCCACCCCTGGACATGAAGGCCCGCATCCCAGCCACTGCCCTGGTCCCTACAGCACTGTCCCCCAGCAAGAGTGGCGGGAAGGTGTGGCCCTGGTATCCTGGGCACCTGGGTCATCCCTGCCCTTGCCCAGGGTTGTCCTGCTCTCCCCTGTGGGCTCATGACACTCGCACCTGAGACCCATCTAAAGAAGTTGCTGGAAGGGTCCCACAGGGTGAGCAGGCTTCTGAGTTCCCTCGAGGTTGCAGAAGCCCCGACATAAGTGCATCTCCCTCCCAGGCCCTCCTGCCCCCAAATCCTGCCCCTCTCCTGGGGGGTAGACCCACAGCCCAGTCTCCCCCGGCCCCCCCAGGGGCCTGGGCTGGGCCCCCAGCATCCTGCCACCAGCATCCCCCAGCCCCTGGGACCAGTGGAGTTGGAAGTTCACATGAGCAAATAGTGTTTTAGCACAAGATGGTCCCAAATACCACGTGCGCTGTCGTCCTACGGAAGGTGTTTTTCTGAAATTGCCACTGACCTGCTGTGTGTACTGAGTGTGGTAGCCCCACCCACATCCCCAAACCTGGATCATTCACACCCCTCGCTGGCACCATCATTTCGGTCAGGAAATTCTGAACGAGTGAGTGTCCGGGGTCGAAGGGCCAGCAATTCTGCTTCCCGTCCCCTCATGTCAATACGCACAATTTCTTAAATCAGGTGGGAAGCCAGGAACCTCGTCAGACGGGCGGAGCCGCTTCCCGCGTCCTGGGACAGTGACCAAGCCACTGTCAGATCCCAGCCTGGGGCCCAGCATGCGGCAGGTGCTCAGCAAGTGCTTATGTGCCCACGAGCGTGTGGCTCCGAGGCGAATGCTGTAACCCTCAGCTGCAGGTGCCCACCCCAGCTCGCCAGCCCCCGTGGGGCCCAGGACGTCGCCTCTCAGACCCTCAGTCTTTTTCTCAACAAGTTGGACCAGGTTTGACACGTGGGGCCGAGCAGGTACCGGGTCTCCGTGGCCCCTCACCCAGTGGGAGAAAGCACAGGGCCTCAGGGCCTGGGTTCTGCCCTCTGACCGCCCTGCCGTTGCCCAGAAAGGTAAACCGAGACCCAGGACGCCCCGTCAGTGCGGGGTGGGGGGGGCTCTAGGACGTCCATCAGCGTCCCTCCTCCTGCAACCTCGCAGCACCTGGAGAGGACCATGAACCTGCGCAGGTGCCGGGGCTCTGGGGCCAAATGCAGGCTCTGCCCGGAAGCTCCCTCGGACCCGAGCCTCAGTTTCCCCATGTAGGCCGTGGGTCACAAGAACAGCTTGACTTCAGAGGGTGCTCAGTCCGGAGCAGGGCCCCGCACACGGTGGGGAAGACCCGACGGAGGAGGCCGGACATCCGCTGAGCGGAGGGGGCACCTCCGCGTGGACCCCCCGCCCAGCCCCTCCACCTCGGGCGGAAGACTCGGGGCGCCCCCGTGCGGCCGCGCGGGGACCTGCGCCCTCGGGTCCCCGCCCCGCGGCCGGCGGCGCGTGCTCAGCAGGCGGGGCTCATGCAGGACAGGACTTTATTGCTCGGCGCCCGCGACCGCCGCCCCCCGGGCCTCCTCAGGCCGCCGCGCCCCCGGCCAGCACGCCGTCGATCCAGGCCGCGTAGCTCGCCACGCGCGTGTAGATGCCGGGCTTCTTGCGGTTGCCGCACACGCGCGAGCCCGAGGTGACCACGGCCTCGGCCACGCCGCCGCACACCAGCGGGCCCCCGGAGTCGCCCTGCGGGGACCGGCCGTGAGCGCGGCGCCCGCGGCATCGCCCCTCGCCTGCGCACCTGCTCTGACCCGGGTCGGGCCCCGCCCCTCGGTGGCCCCGCCCCCGCCCTGCCGGCCCCGCCCCCTCGGTGGCCCCGCCCCCGCCCTGCCGGCCCCGCCCCTCGGTGGCCCCGCCCCCGCCCTGCCGGCCCCGCACCCTCGGTGGCCCCGCCCCCGCCCTGCCGGCCCCGCACCCTCGGTGGCCCCGCCCCCGCCCTGCCGGCCCCAAACCCTCGGTGGCCCCGCCCCCACCCTGCCGGCCCCGCCCCTCGGTGGCCCAGCCCCCACCCTGCCGGCCCCGCCCTCGGTGGCCCCGCCCCCACCCTGCCGGACCCGCCCCTCGGTGGCCCCGCCCCACCCTGCCGGCCCCGCCCCTCAGTGGCCCCGCCCCACCCCGTCGGGCCCCGCCCCTCGGTGGCGCCGCCCCGCACCCTCGGTGGCCCCGCCCCCACCCTGCCGGCCCCGCCCCTCCGTGGCCCCGCCCCACCCTGCCGGCCCCGCACCCTCGGTGGCCCCGCCCCGCCCGCGCACCTTGCAGCTGTCGCGGCGGTTGCTCTCCGCGCACATCATGCGCTCGGTGATGGTGCCGTCGTGGTACGTGCGCAGGTTGCAGGTGGCGCGGTCGAGCACCGGCAGGAGCAGGTGCTGCAGGCGGTCGGGCCGGCGGCCGGTGTGGCTGACCACGCCCCAGCCCGCCACGTCGCAGAGTGTGCCGGCCGCCACGTCGCGGTCCTCGCGCTGCCAGCGCAGGGGCTGCACGGCGGGGCCCAGCTCGGCGTCCTCGGACAGCTGCGGAGGGGGCGGAGCGGGGTCAGGGCGGCGCGGGGGCGGGGGCGGGCGCGGGGACGGGGGCGGGACGGCGGCCCAGGTGGCGGCCCAGGTGGCTGACCTGCAGCAGGAGGAGGTCGTGCTCGATGGTGTCGCGCCGGCTGTCGGGGTGGGGCACCGCCCGCTGCACGTCGTACCAGCGCTTGGACGGCTCCGGCTGCGACAGCGAGTGCGCGCCCAGGAGCACCCGCACCTTCCCGTCGGCCCTGGGAGCGGGGTTCGCGTCACAGCCCCGTCCGCGGCCCCCAGCCCGTCCCGCCGCGGCCCCGCCCGGTCCCGCCGCTCACACGTCCTCCAGGCAGTGCGCCGCGCTCAGCACCCAGCGCTCCGACACCAGGAAGCCGCCGCACACGTGCTTGCCGTCCACCTGCACCGACGCCATGTAGGGCCGCGCGTGGGACGCGGCCTCGCGCCCGCCCAGGATGCGCCCACGAGGCTGCGCGGCTGCGGGTGGGAGGGGGCAGGCGGGGGGCGGGTGACGGGGGATCAGGGCCAAGCCCGCGCCCCACGCGGCGCCTCGGGCTCAGCGCGAGCTCGGCCCGCGGGGCTGCGTCCTGCGTGGGACCCGCGTGGGCAGAGCTCGGCCCTGGCGCTCCCGCCTCGGGGAGTCCCTAACGAGCAGAGCCCTCCGTCCAGGTGGAGCCGCGCCTCCCCGCTGCCCGCCGCGCCCGGTCCCCTGGGCCCAGGTCCACTCACCACACAGGGCGGCTCCCAGCAGCACCAGGGGCACCAGGGGCACCAGGGGCACCGGGCGGAGGCGGAGGGCCATGCTGCCGCCGTGGGGCCTGGGACGGGCACGCGTGTGAGCCGGGCGGGGGGCAGCGCTCCACACACCCACCTGCTGGCCCTGTGGCAGCCGAGCCCAGGATGCGCAGAGGCCGGAGCAGGCCCGGCCCCCCGCTGCCCCCCCCATCTCCCCAGGGTGCTCTCCCCGCCCCAAGTTTTGCAACAGCAGCTGGAGACCACAGTTTGTAAACAACCAACTTCCTCATATTTCCGCCCTTCTCTTGTTTCTCTTCCTCCCCCAACTTGGAGGAGAGGTCGGGGTGGGGATGGGAGGTGGCCTGACATGCTCGTCCCTGGGGGCGCGGGGGCCTGACACCCCAACGAGGCGCATATTAAAGAGGCGGCCTGTCGAGGCAGCTCGAGGGACTGTGGGCTACAAGTGACAGAAAAGCCAAGCCGAGGGGCGCCTGGGTGGCTGGCTCAGTCGGTGATGCGTGCGTCTTCGGCTCAGATCACGATCCCCGGGTCCTGGGCTCCCTGCTCAGCGAGGAGCCTGCTGCTCCTCTGCCCCTCCCCACTGCCCGTTCCTGTTCTCTCTCCATCTCTGTCTCTCTGTCTCTCTCTCTCTCTCAAAGAAATAAAATTTCTTAGAAAAACAACCAAGTTGAACTCGGTAGAGTCTTCAACAAGGAAATTTAAATGGGAATTTCAGGGGGCCTACCTTCAGGTGTGGCTTGATCCAGGAGCCTGAACTATCTCTGTCTCTGGTTTCTCCTTTCCTCCTCGGTGGCTTTTCTCCTCACCAGTCTCCCTCGTTGTGACCCCAAAAGCCCCAGACCCAGCCCAGTGGCTGGGCAGGCCCCTCCCAAATCCTCCATCCTTCCAGCCAACTTGTCCAGGCCGTGTCTGATTAGCTGAGTTTCCCTCACGTGTCCCCTCCCAAACCAATCGCTGTGAGCAAGGGATGGCAGATTCTGGTCAGCCAAGGGTTACATGGCCCTCTCTAGCAGGGGGGGACGACGGATCCACGTCTCATGAACCCACGGCGGGGCCAGTGCTGGGACCACGAGGGTGGGGTGGACCTTGGACGTCCCCAATGGGCGCATTGCGCAACGTTGCCCTTCTTTCTCTTCGCCGTGGACTGTTTCATACACAGAGAAGGATGGACAGAACAGGACCGTGATCTGCTAGATCCTGACAGGTTTCCTTGTTGAGGTCAGAAGCCAAACAAGTCCTGGAGGGGATGGAGCCCAGCTCCTGGAAGAGGTGGGAATCGCAGCAAGGCCTGGGGACGCCTCGGCAAGACGGCGGTTTGACAAAGGGCCCCGAGCACCCCCAGGGGCCCAGTGGCCGCGGAGACACCACCAGGGTATATGGTGCAGTACTAGGATGAAAGGCCAATCGCACGGCAGCCGGACACCGCGTGGGGAGGGGGCTGCCAGGGACTGGCCAAGGCCGTGGGGCCCCCGGGGCCAGAGCCCCGCCCGGGAGCCCGGGCCACAATCTCCAGCAGGAGTGCAGGTGGGGGGCGGCTGGGACGCGGACCCTCGCCTCGGTCCTTCCTGCAGGGAAACAGGCTCGGGGTGGGGGGTGCCTGTGGGGCTCGGCGGGTGAGCATCTGCCTCTGGCCCGGGGCGTGACCCCGGGTCCGGGATCGAGTCCCGCCTCGGGCTCCCCGCAGGGAGCCTGCTTCTCCCTCTGCCTGGGTCTCTGCCGGTCTCCCTCTCTCAACCTCTCTGTCTCTCTGTATGTCTCTTATGAATAAACAAATAAAATCTTTTTAAAAAATAAAGAAAATTTAAAATTAAAAAATAAATAAAATAAAAAACTTAAAAAAGGAAACGGGCTCAGGGAAGTTGACCAGTCACAGAGCTGGGGCTCCAGCGTGGGCTCCCGCGCGCGGCTTCACCCCTGCCTGGACCTGCACCTCGTCACCTGCCGGGGACACAGAGGGCCAGCCGGGGCCCTCGGGGCGCACCTGCCGCAGCGCAGGCCTCAGCAGCTGCCGCGGTTCCATCCGGGAGCCTGGCAACCAGGAACGGCAATCGGCGCCCCTTCCCCGATGCCCTGAATTGGCTGCCCTTGGGGGCAGCAGGCTCACGAGACGCCCCAGCCGCGCCGCCACAAACACCCGGACACGTTCTCACAACCAGGGAGGGCTTTATTGGGTGGGATGCGGGCGATGCGGGGTGGGCGGCGTGTGGGCGGCGCCTGGTTCGGGGTCCTGCTGGCCGGGGCGCGCGGGCGGGAGGGCGAGCGGGCGGCGGATGATGGAGTTGATCCAGTCCACGAACTGAGCGACGGGGGCGAAGGCGTCGGGGAAGAACCCGGAGCCGCAGCTGCCGCGGATGAAGGAGTCGATGCCCTGGATCAGCCCGTTGCAGACCAGGGGCCCCCCGGAGTCCCCCTGTGGACACAGACGGGGTTGGCAGGCCGCGCGTCCACGCTCGGGGGCCACGAGGGGGGAGCAGGGAGGGCACCCGGGGGCCGGGGTACGTACGAAGCAGATGCCGGCCTGCCGGCGTGGCACCAGCGTGCACACGTTGGAGCGGCGGCACAGGGTGGTCACCACGGTCACGTTGAGCTCCTGTAGGATCCTGGGCGGCGGCCGGGTCGTGCCCAGTTGGCCCCAGCCCATGGCCAGGCACTGCACGCCGCTGCCCACGCCTTGATTCTGGGCGGGCAGCCTGGCCACCTGCACGTTGGCGTTGATGGTGGCCGAGCCGTTGAGCTGCGGGGGGCGGGTCGGGGCATCAGGGTCATGACCTCCCCTCCGGGGCCTCAGTCTCCCCAGATGCGCAGTGGGAGCAAGCACAGGGGCTCTGAGCATCTCCGGACGTGGACGTGCCTTGAACGCAGCGCACGGTGGGCACTCGACGGCACACACCGTGGGCAGCAGCCATGACAAGACAGCCCTTGTTCTAGAACCTTCCCAGGGAATAGTAACTCCGCAAGCGGTGGGGGAGGGAGGGTTTCATCCTAGAGGCTCCTGGTCCACGTGCTCGGCCGCACGAAATACAAGTTTGTTGATGGGCCGAGGCTCAGCGCCTCCGGCGCCACCTCAGTTCCCAGAGCCCCGGGGGCGGGGTCCTCCCGTCCAGCGGTGGAGGCCGAGGCACCGGGAGGGGACGTGGCAGGGACAGCGCCCCGACCCCCGGGCGCCCTGCCCAGCGGCTCACCTGCAGGAGCACGATGTCGTTCACCAGCCTGATGGGGTTGAAGCCGTTTTCAAAGACCCGCTGGACGGTGAACGACTGCCTGGTGGGCTCGCGCGCCCCCAGGTCATGCGCCCCCAGCACCACCACCACCGACCGGAAGTTCCTGCGGCAAACAGACGGCGTGATTCGAGGTGGCCCTGGCAGTGGGGACACCCCAGGCCTCAGCTGTGCCCCCCGAGCCCAGGAGGGTCTGCACGGACCGCACCCTCTGGACCCGGCAGGGGAGGTGCACTAATGTGGGCATGGGGGGGGCACAGGGAGGGCACAGGGGGCACAGGGAGGGCACGGGGGCACGGGGAGGGCACAGGGAGGACACGGGAGCAGAGGGAGGGGACGGGGAGCACGGGGGGCACAGGGCAGCCCCTGGGAGGACCTCGGGGCCCTGGTGTCACCGTGTCCCGATTACACAGAGGTGGAAACGAGTCTCCGGGGAAGGCGGCGGGAGCCGGGGGGACTCACAAGCCGTCCACGCAGTGGGCCGCCGACATGACGAAGTTGGGGGCGATGAGGGTCCCACCACAGAAGTGGCCTCCACGCCGCTGCAGGGACGCCATGAAGGGCCATGCGTGGGGCTGGGCCGGGCGGCCACCCACGATCTCCGAGGCCAGAGCGGCTCCTGAGGACACACGGGGGCGGTGAGCGCCGGGGGCCCCCGGCCCGTGGCCCTCGCGGGCCCCAGGGCTCCTCGCGGGCTTGGCTGAGATCAGGGGACCGAGGACGAGGGTGCGGGCGGCCGCGCCCACTCACCGGGCAGCAGCGTGGCCAGCAGCAGCAGCGGGCCCAGGGCAGGGCCGGCGGGCACTCGGTGGGCAGTCATGGCCGGGCGGCAGTGGTGTCGCGGCCCCGGGCCCCCGGCCCCTCTTATAGGCCCCGCTGGCCGTTGCCGTTGCCCCATGGAGGGGCCAGGTGTCCCCACTTCCTGTGCCCCCCGGGGATGAGGGGAGGCGGGGGCGGGAGGCCCGGAGGGCGGGACGTTCCCAGGCTGTCACTGTGAGCGGGTCCCCAGGGCTGCGCAGGACGGGCCGTCCAGGGGCGAGCCGCCGACCTCCACGTCCACGCTCAGTGGGGCGTCCTGTGACGTCACTGAAACCGGCACCCTGCGCCCGACAGACCTTGGCGGGACCCCTGGCTGCCTCGGTTTACCCAGGGCCGTGTGCACTGCCCCAACGTCCCCTGGGGGCGGCAGGGCGGCTGGGCCCCCACCTGAGATGTGAGCTCGCCCCAGCCCCCCCAGGTCACAGCAGGATGGCGGCCGGCAGTCCCCCAGGCCCGCTCCCCCATCCCCCCCACCCCTGCTCCACTTCCCGCCTCCCCCAGGAGGCTGCCAGCTGCTGTCGCAAGAGGCAACGTCCTGCTGGCTTGAGGCTAGGGAAGGCGCGAACGGATCGGGGGGTGCCCGGGCTGGGGCCACCGGGGGCCCCCACTGTCCGGGCTGGGCAGATGCCCCAGCCGCCCGGAGCCCGCGCTCGGTGTCCCCAGGGTCCCAGGGCCCCATGCCCCCCCCATCCTGCCCCTCCCCTCCCGGCGGGACCCCCACCCTCGTCCCTGAAGGTCCCTGGAGCCTTGTAAGCCCCCGTGTGGGGTCGGGTGGACGGAAGGGGGGCAGCCGTGTCCCTGGAGGTGTACCCCCAGCTGCATCTACTGAGCACCCGTGTACTCTGTGCATCCCTGTCGCGGGGGTGCAGTGTGTGGACTCTCCTGCGGTGGCCACTCGCCTGCTGCACCCGTGCAGGCCGCGGACTGGACCCGTGTGCACCTCCATGTCCCCGTCTCTACAACACGCATGAGCGACAGGCTCTGGGGGCAAAATGAGGATAAATGGACGCGGGTGACAAAGTGGCGTCCTCGAGGGTCACTACCCGTTAGCCACCTGCGGGGCGGGGGGTGGCCGCCGCGAGGGGCGCAGGCGGGCGGGGCTCTACGTCCACTCGGGGCCCTGGGGATGCGGGCACCTCACCGGCGTCACTCAGGCCACGGTAAGAACGTCCTCGGGGGCGCGGGGACCTCAAGTGTGGGGACTGCCCCCCTCCCGGCACCGCGGCCCCCTCCCCTTCTGGGTCCGACCCCTCCAGAGCAGCCTCAAGGGCCTTCCAGCTGCAGGTCTCCGTTCCCGTCACGGGCCATGGACGCCCCCCACTCGACCTCACTGCCCCCTCCCTGGGCACGAAGGGTCCCCCTGGGCTTTGTCTAGAAACCACCTCCCTGCCTTGGGCTCCTGGGAAATTCGGGAAATTCCTGGCACCCTCCTGACACGCGTCAGCATCCCCGGGAGTGGGCCGCGGCTGCCAGCTGTGACGGCTCCTGTCCCCACCCGGCGGCTTGTCGCGGCCCGAGTTTGCATCACGCCACCGGGTGGCAGCAGAGGTGGTCAGGACAGAAGGTGCTGCCTCCCGCTGCCGCACCGCGACCGCTGCGCCCTCCCAGCCGCCTCTGACCTGTCCCCTAGGCCCAGTCCCGCACCCACCAGCCCGCTGTCCCCTCCACCGCCTCCAGGAAGCCCGTGCCCCTGGCACTCGCCCTGCCCCTGCCTCCAGGAAGCCCCCCAAGGCTCCCCCAACCCCCAGCCCGGCCCCTGCTGGGACCCACGTTCCCGCGGCCTGGTGCTTGCGCAGTCCCCAAGCCGGGAGTCCCCAAGCTGTCCCCCGAGGGCCTGGCTGGGCAATGGCTAGGGGGACTCCATTTTCTAGAAAAGGAAACTGAGGCCCAGAGATGGGTAGCAGCGAAATCAGGGTCACCCCGGCAGCGCTGGCGTCCGGGAAGAGTCCCTGCGTGACCTGGGCCCTCCACGAATCTACAATTGGGAACTTGGGTGCTGGGGACCCTGGGCCGCGCTCCCCCCTGGAGGGACACAGGCAGGGCGGCGGCCGCAGGGCTGGGGGCAGGGGCAGGGGTGGGGCTGCGTCAGGGGAGTTTTGAGTCTGCAGCTTCCTCTAGGACCCGTGGCCGAGGGGGACCAGGCGACAGCAGGGCTTTATTGGCCTCTTTCTGTGTACGCAGACTCCTGGGCTTGGGCGCGGCTCCAGGGCAGCACTGGACGGGCCGCCCCACGGCCCCCGCCGGGAGGGGCTGGCGCCCGGATTGGCCCCCCAAGCCCGCCTGGGCTGCTCACCTGCTCGAAGGCCCAGGCCTCTCCTTGCCAACCCTCGTCCTGTTGCACTAACACACTGGCAAGGCACTTAGGGCCTCGGTTTCCCCAGCTGTAAAGGGACCCCAAGGTCAGCCATGCCTCACGGGGCTTCGGTTATGTAGTAGACGCAGGAGTATGAGGAGCAGATACACACCCGCTCCCCCACGGGGTGTCCCCGGCCACCTGCAGGAGCGAGGCCCCCCCCAGGGACGGACCCCGAGTCCCCGACGCTCAGGGAGGGCACCAGACACAGGAGGCCCCGCGGGGTGTGAGTCCACACGTGTGACACGTGCATGACGGGCTCGTCCACGGATGGGGTGGAGCTGGGGGGGCTGGGGGTGACAGCTGATGGGGTTGGCGTTGCCGTTGGGCTGATGGAATGTTCTGGAATCAGAGGTGGTGGTTGCGCAACTTTGTGAATGTGCCAAAGCCCCCGAATTGCAGGATGATTCGCACGGAATGTGAAGTACATTTAAATAAAACTGGAAGGAGGAGGCCGGAAGGACAGAAGGACAGACTCGGACCTGCTGCCGGCTCGCGGCCCCCCACCCCCCTCGGCTCTGCTCTGGCGCCCGGTGGGGGCGGGGACGGGCGCGAGGCGGAGGCGGGAGCTCGCTGCGGGTCCTCCCGCAGCTTGGGTGGCGGCAGAGGGGAGGGTGCTGGGGGGAGGGTGACGCAACAGGCAACGCCCGGGCGGGCGGGTGGGGCCCACGGACGCAGCGGACCCGCCAGCACCCAGGAGGCCCAGCCTGCAGGGCGTGCCTCAGTTTCTCCCCCTGCCCGTGTCAGCGTGGCGCTGCAGGCGGGACGGGTGCGAACCATGACGGCAGGTGAGCTCGTTAGGCCCCAGCCCGGACAAGCGGGTTCCGAGTCACCAACGTTCCTCCCCGGGCCTCAGTGTCTCCATCCGTAACCCGGGGCAACGGGTGCTCCACTGAACCTGGTGGCCACTCTGGGTGAGCCCCGGGGGTGCCGGGGTGCGGGGGTGCCCAGCTGAGGGGCAGGGGGCCGCGGGGCAGCTCTGGGCAGAGCGCTGGCCCCTGGGAGCCCCTTCCCTCGCCTTCATGGGAACAAGCACGTCCTCGCGGCCCCGGCCCCCCGAGTGCACCCGGAACCTGTGGACGCTGCGGCCAGCTGGTCAGTGCACACCCTGGGGTGACCCCAGTCCCAAGGGGTTGCGGTGACGCGGACGACATCGGGGCTCCTCGCGCCCAGTGGTCTGGGCTGCAAACCCCATGGACAGCGGGTCAGTCCCCCACGCACCGAGGCCTGGCCCCGCGAGCAGGGGGCGGGCCCCTCTTTGGTCCGCGTGGACGGCGGCTCCTGACGCGGGCGGCCGTGAGGACGAGGTGAGCCCCGCAGGTTAGGGCTCGCCCGCGTGTATTTATTTATTTATTTTTTTTTTTTTTTTAATTTTAATTTATTTATGATAGTCACAGAGAGAGAGAGAAAGGCAGAGACACAGGCAGAGGGAGAAGCAGGCTCCATGCACCGGGAGCCCGACGTGGGATTCGATCCCGGGTCTCCAGGATCGCGCCCTGGGCCAAAGGCAGGCGCCAAACCGCTGCGCCACCCAGGGATCCCTCGCCCGCGCGTGTAGACGGGACAGGACGGGACCACCCCCCACAGCACGTGCCAAAGCATGTCAACACGGAGTCCGTCAGGATGTGGGGATGCGAGCAGGCCTGGGTGCCGCGGGGAGGGCGCTGGGCCCCCGAGTGACCGCCCGGAGACACTGCACCAGGACACGCGTTCGGGGGAGGCCAGCGGGGTCCCCAGGCTGGCGACCGGACTGTGCACGGAGGCCCCACCCGACCCCCACCCGGCACGGCGTTCCCATCTGCAGCAGCAGGACACTCCGACTGCCCCCGGCCCCGGCCCCACAGCAGCCATGCTGGCCCCTACTAAGGTCTTTGGGGCAAAGCCCCCCAGCCCTTCACACCCACCGCGGGGCCGGGCGGGGAACCCCCTGCTGCGTCCGGAAGAGGAGACAGAGAGCCTTCCGCTCCCCGGAGCCCCCGTCTCCCTCCCCCTGTCACCTACTGGTCACTGGTCACCAGCAGCCCAAGAAGCAGGACAGGAGCAAGGACCGAGCCTGGCCCAGCCCCCTCCCCGGACGTGAGTCCCCCGAGCCTGTTGCCCACTGGGGGGCACCCTTGGTCTCAGCCCATCCCTGGGAACCCCCGGGGCCTCCCTCCCCTCCGGCCTGAGAGGACAGGTGGCCTGGCCAGGGCCACTGGGGCAGGTCTGCCTCTGGGTCTGGGGAGGGACAGTGGGGAGGGGCTGAGGCCTCCCGGTGCCTCCACCTGGGCCTGGAGCCCCAGCGCTGACCGGGGTGCCCGGCCCGGGGCGTGCACTCGCTGGCCCTGGAGGGTGCCCGCAGCCCAGGGTCTGAGCGCTCACAGGACAGGTGGGCGGGGCGGTGGGCAGGGCAGGGGAGCCCACACCGGGGCAGTGGGCACCCCCTCCCGGGAACCCCTCGCCCAGGAGCACCCCCCATGGCTCCCCTCCCCCAGCACCCCTCCCCCAGGAGCACCCCCCATGGCGCCCCTCCCCCAGCACCCCTCCCCCAGGAGCACCCCCCCATGGCACCCCCTCCCAAGCACCCCTCCCCCAGGAGCAACCCCCATGGCGCCCCTCCCCAGCACCCTGTCCCCAGCACGCACCCCCTCCCACCCCCCGCATGGCGCCAGCCTCTCCCAGCAGGAAGACAGGAAGTTGCCCAAGGCCTCCACCACCAACTGCTCCCAGGGCTTGCCTGGACTCCTCCAATGGTCCTGCCCCGTGCCTCAGTTTCCCCCTCTGTAAACCGAGCCAGCGCTCCGGGGGTGGGTGAGGGTGCGTGAGGTTAACCGTTGCCGAACACAGCCCTGGCCACAGCCCCTGGCCGGCGGGGGGGCCGACAGGCAACACGGCAGGAAAGCGTGGACGCCGCTCATAATGGGGGCTCAGGCCTCAGTCTCCCCGGCGGAGCGCCGCGGAGCCGCCCTGCTCCCCCGCCCGGGATCGAGGCCTCCTGGCCCCGCGCGTGGACTTCGCCACGTTTGACCTTCCCGGCAGCTTCATGGGGACACGTCCACAGGGGTGCAAGCCGCCCGTTTAGGGTGTGCAGTGCGGTGGTTTTAGGGGTGTCAGAGGCCTGCAGCCAACACAGTGAGTTTTCACCACGGGGGCGCCTCAGGGACACGGTCTGGGGGTTCCTCGGGGAGCTCTGCAGTCGCGCCGCTGAGCAGCCCACGCCTCGGGGACCAGGTGTGCCCAGGGGCCCCACACCAGGGCCGCGGATAAACACGCACACGTGCTGTCCACGCAGCGGGCGGCGGATGCCCCGACGTCCATGCGCTCGTGAACAGGTGCACGCGGCGTGTCCACCCACCCATCAGACGCCCGGCCGCCCGAGGGAGCGAGGCGCCCCCACGCCGCCCCGGGGACGACCCCGAGCCCACGACGCTGAGGCCCCAGGGGTGGGACACGTGTGTGACTCGTCCAGGACGAGCTTGTCCCCGCACCGGGAGGGGGCTCGGGGGGGGCCGGGGCTGGGGGGCGACGGCTGAAGGGCTCAGTTTCCTCAGAGCGTGATGGAACGTTCTGTGGTGATGGTTGCACAACTCCATGAAAATATTAAAAAACCATTGCCCGGCATAGTTTAAAACAGCTGATGTTTTAACATTTCTATTTTATTATTTATTTGAGAGAAGGAGACAGACAGAGAGCTCGAGCGGGGGGAGGAGCAGAGCCCCCGAGGGGCGGGGCCCGACGCGGGGCTGATCCCAGGACCCCGGGGGCAGGACCCCACCTGGCCGACCGAGCCCCCCAGACACCCCAGTACGGTCCGGGTTTGAGCAGCTGCGCTCAGGCCGCGTTTCCCGCTCGAAGCTGTCCCTGGCTCCCTCGTGTCGCGGACTCGCGTCCGGGCTCCCCAGCTGCGGCGGGCCACCGGCCCCGTCCCCCCCAGCGGGACCCTTTCCGCCAGGCCCCGCGGGATCAGGAGGGTCCCGGGACCAGTTCCCACCCCCAGGAAGCAGCCAAGAGCGATTGCCCCACTTTCTCCCCCTCCTCCTGCCTGGAGGGCCGTTTGTGGCCGCCTTGCGACACCAGGATTCCCAACTGCTGCCCCGGCTCCGGCTCCAGGGGACACCGAGGCCCGGCGAGAGGCGCGGCAGCCAGGTCGCGGCACCTGTTACGCCCACTTGTGGGTGAAGAAACTGAGGCGCCGGTGGGGTGTGAGCCCCCTGGAACTCGCTCGCCACCACACACACGATCATCGTGGAAAACCCACGGAGCTGTGTCTTTCGAAGCAAAAAGGGTCCGAGCCAGGACTCGGACGGGGCCTAAATGGCTGAGCAGAAATACAGACCTGGCGACAACAGTAGGCGCTCAATTAATGCAGCCCTCACCCCCCCTCTAATGAGAGGTGCAACCTCGGGACTGGTAGTTGGGGTCCGTCCTGGTCCCAGGGGCTCCCCAGCCAGTCTTCAGGGTCCAGTGTACAGTGGTGCTTAAGAGATGGTGAATTAAAAAAAAAAAACAAAAGATGATGAATAAATGAACAGAATAAGATCCTGTCCTTTAGGGTCCCCGTGACGTGGAACGGGGCTTTCAGCTTCCTGGGCCTTGGGGTCCCCACTGGGAATGGAGGGGCAGCCAGTCAGTGCTGTGGGGTGGGCGTGTGGGCACGACATGTGGCAGCAGCAAGGCCCCAGGTGCCCCCTGCTCCCCGGGGAAGCCGCCCCCACGTCCTGGGCCATCAGGCTGCGTCCTGGGCTGCGTCCTGCGTCCGGGACCCGTGGGGTGGCAGGCAGAGCCGGGGTGCTGGGAGCCAGGGCGAGCCCCCAGCCTCTTGTCTCCACACTGCACCATGGAACCGTGCCTGTGAGCGGTGTCCAGGGAGGGAGCGGAGGTGGGGAGACCTGGGGGCACATGGACCTGGGCCCCCCCCAGGCTGACCTGAGGGCCCAGGAGGGGAGGGAGCGCCCCCTGCAGCCCTAACCTGCTCCTACCAGGCCTGAGGGCTCTAGGCCCTTGAGATCCCCCAGGCCGCCCCCTGGGGATCCCCAGGCCCCCTGAGACCCCCTGAGACCTCTGGAGACCCCTAGGCCCCCCAAGACCCTGAAGACCCCCCAGGACCCCCGAGGTACCCCTGAGACCCCAGGCCCCCAGGCCCCCAAGACCCTGAGGCCCCAGGCTCCCTGAGACCCTGAGGACCCCCCAGGACCCCCGAGGTACCCTGAGACCCCAGGCCCCCCAGGCCCCCCAAGACCCTGAGGCCCCCAGGCTCCTGAGACCCCCAGGCCCCACAGGCCCCGCTAGACCCCAGGGTCCCCAAGACCCTGAGGACCCCCCAGGACCCCCGAGGTACCCCTGAGACTTCCAGTGCCCCTGAGACCCCCAGTCCCTCTGAGGACCCCCAGGCCCTCCTAGACCCCAGGGCCCCCTGAGCTCCCTGAGACCCCCCGGCCCCCCAGGACCCCCGAGACCCCAGGCCCCCCGGCCGCCGAGGCGGGAGCCCCGCGCGCACCCCGCGCCGCCTGAGGACCCCGCCGCGGACGCACACGCGCGGGCCCCGACGCGCCGAGACAAAGGGCCCCGCCCCTGGCGCCGCACGTCGGCCTCGGCGGGCGCGGGGTCTCGGCCGGGCCCCCTCCCCTCCCCGCCCCTCCCCTCCCCGCCCCGCCCCGCCCCTCCCCTCCCCGCCCCGCCCCTCCCCTCCCCGCCCCGCCCCCACCCGCGGGAGGGGCCGCGCTTTGTGCTCTCCGCGCCGCAGCCCCCGCCCCGCGCCGACGCCGGCTCCGCCCTCCGAGCGCCAGGTGAGGGCCTGCGGGTGCAGCGCCGCCCGCCCCCGCCCCCGCCCCCCCCGCCCCCGCCCGCCCCCGCCCCCCCGCCCCCGCCCTCCCCCCCGCCCCGGGGCGCCCCCGCCGGGCCCCCTGCACCGCGCCGGCCCGCCCTCCCCGGGGCCCCGCCCGACCCCGTCTGGGATGCGGGGGGAGCCCGGCCGGATCGCCGCGCGGGGCCGCAGTGCGCGGGGGGAGCCCGCGGGGACCGCCCCGGCCTCAGTTTCCCCGGGCGGCTCGGGCGCGCGTCCGCCCGCCCCTCCCCGCAGGCGGCGCGCAGCGGGTCCCCCCGGCCGGGCTCGGACCGCGCGTCCCCTCCTCCAGCGCCTTTGTCCCCGCAGCCCCGGCCTGGGCCTGCCGAGCCGCCGCACCATGATCGCCGCCAGGGAGAAGCACAAGACCCCGAAGGACAGCATGACGCTGCTGCCCTGCTTCTACTTCGTGGAGGTGAGGGGCGGCGCCGCGCTGGGCACAGGCCCCGGCCCCCGCCTGGGCACCCGGGCACCCGGGGACCCGGGGGCGTGCGCCGAAGCCGGGTGGGCAGGGTGTCACCAGGGTGCCCGGGCTGGGGCTGCGCAGGGTGAGCAGGGCCGGAGCCGCCCAGGGCTGTGCGGCCGAGGGAGGAGCCGAGGGGCCTGGGGGGCTCCGTCACCTGCAGGGGCTGCAGCGGGTGCTGGGTCGCCGCCCGCCCGGGGCCGGGCTCAGGGCCCTCCTCTGCGGCGGGGAAGGCAGGTGGCCGGCGGGCACCGTCTCGTGGGTCAGGCCTGGCCCTCGGAGGGCTTCCTGAACGCGGCAACCGGGAGACGTGGGTGCAGCCCCTGGCCCACTGAGCGCTGCTCACGGCAGCCATGGCGCTTACCCACCTGGGACCCGGCGTCCACATCTTCTGTGGCCACACCCCCGTCCACCGGGCACCCAGGCGGGCAGTGGGCTGTGGGTGCATGAGCGGGGCCCAGGCCGAGCAACCGCCCCCCACCCCGCACACAGCCACGGCTCGTCTCCCCACTAGGGGTGGGAGGTCTGATCGTTTTTTGGGTCTGCATTCGGGTCCCCATATGGGGGGTCATGGGGTCGCTGCAGAGCCGCTCCCTCCGCAGCCCCCCTCACCCCCCTGCTCTCATCTGGGTCCTCCCTGAGAGCGTTGCACACCCACTCACGTCTGTCACACATGTAACCCTCCGCCTGCCACCTCTCCAGGCAAGTGTGTGCTCCTGGCTTCTTTCCTGGGGGGGGGGTGCTCAGCCTCCCGCTGACCCAGCGGCCCCGAGCCAGCACCCCAGGGAGCTGGACATCCAGGGGCTGCCTGGCCTGTGTCCCTGGGGAGCAGGCCAGTCTCTCAGGAAGGACCCCAAGGCTCCCCCCACAGAGGCCATAGTGTCTTGCGCGCCCTTGTCTGCTGTGGCACCGGTTTGACGGGTCCTCGATGCAAGGCCGTGGGCCTGGTCCGGTTTGCTTTCCCCCCGGGAGCCTCACGTGCGTGACATTCGTGGATCCTCTTCCTTTGGGCCCGACGGGCTCTCCGGTGTTCCTGGGTGAGGGTCTCGGGATGCGGGGACAAGTGGGGGCCACAGAGGGACCTTCCAGGGGTGGCCGCCTCCAGTGGGGTCCCGGGGGGCGGAGTCGGGGGCAGAGGACAGAGGCAGGCACGACAGCTGGAACCACACCGCCTGGAAGCCGGGGCGCGGGCTCAGAGCTACACCCCCAAGGACCCTCCTGCGGAGGGTTTCAGCGCGTGCACCCGCCCAGGCCCCGCCTCAAACCCCGGGCCCAGCCTGACGAGGTCTGGCCACCCCACAACGGCCAACTGTGCCCCTGATCACGGAGGAGGGAGTCGTGGCGCTGGGCGCGGCGTAGGCACCTCCGACGTACCTGTTCTTATACCTTGAAGCCCTGGGAGCTGGTGACTCCATCATCCCTGCTTTCCGCTGAGGAAACTGAGGCACGGGGAAGCAGTGGGGCCAGGATTCAAGTCCAGCAGATGGCTGTGAACGTGAACCCCTTCACTCTGCTGCCGCGGGCCTCATCCTGCACGCAGCAGGCGCTCAATACGTGCTCCTTGGACTCGAGCCCAGCTCCTACAAACCCAACTTTGGCGTCTCCCCCCCCCGGGGCCCCCAAGGTCGGGGCTGGACGGGGGCCCTGTTACGGCGCCGCCCGGGCCCCTGGGTGCTGGGCAGTGAGGGCCTTGGCCCGAGGGCAGGTGCAGGGCGCGGGGAGGGCCGGGGTCCTGCTCAGATCTGAGCCCCGCAGCGCCCCACGCTCCGGTGGCGATGGGCCCTGGTCGCCATGGGGGGCAGGGGGCCGGCCGCGCCTGGGGCGTGGAGGGTGACCCCGGCCGCCGCCGCCCGCAGCTCCCCATAGTGGCGTCTTCCGTCGTGTCCCTGTACTTCCTGGAGCTGACGGACCTCTTCAAGCCGGCCAAGGTGGGCTTCCAGTGCTACGACCGCACGCTCTCCATGCCCTACGTGGAGACCAACGAGGAGCTCATCCCGCTGCTCATGCTGCTCAGCTTGGCCTTTGCTGCCCCCGCGGCGTCGGTGGGTCGGGGCGCGGCGGGGGGCGCGGGGGCGGGGGGCGGGCGCCCGGGCCGCGGCTGAAGGCCTCCCTGTCGGCAGATCATGGTCGGCGAGGGCCTGCTGTACTGCGTGCAGTCCCGGCTGTGGGGCCGCGGCGGGGGCCCCGGCGGGGCGGAGGGCAGCATCCACGCGGGGGGCTGCAGCTTCAACTCCTTCCTGCGGCGCACCGTGCGGTTTGTGGGTGAGTCCCCGCCGGCAGCCCGCCCGCCCTCCGCGTGCCCGCGCCCCGCCCTGACCCCGCTGCCCCGCAGGCGTGCACGTGTTCGGCCTGTGCGCCACCGCCCTGGTGACCGACGTCATCCAGCTGGCCACGGGCTACCACGCGCCCTTCTTCCTGACCGTGTGCAAGCCCAACTACACGCTGCTGGGCACGTCGTGTGAGGCCAACCCCTACATCACGCAGGACATCTGCTCCGGCCACGACACCCACGCCATCCTGTCCGCCCGGTGAGCTCCCCCCCCACCCCGCCCCGGGAGGGCACGGGGCGCCCGGAGCCGCCGCTCACCGCCGCTCACCCGCCGCCTCTTGCAGGAAGACCTTCCCCTCGCAGCACGCCACGCTGTCCGCCTTCGCCGCCGTCTACGTGTCGGTGAGTCCCGGCCGCCCCCGCCCGAGTCGGGCCCCAGCGCGGCCTCCGCTGACCCGCCCCCGCCCCCGCCCCCGCCCCCAGATGTACTTCAACTCCGTCATCTCGGACACCACCAAGCTGCTGAAACCCATCCTGGTGTTCGCCTTCGCCATCGCGGCGGGCGTGTGCGGCCTCACCCAGATCACGCAGTACCGCAGCCACCCGGTGGACGTCTACGCGGGCTTCCTCATCGGGGCTGGCATCGCTGCCTACCTGGTAGGGCACGGGGGAAGGCCCGGGGCGGTCCGGGGGGAGGCCGGCGGCCTGGCCCTGCCCTGGCAGCGAGTGTCCCCCTCGGAATGCCGGAGTCAGAATCTGGGGGCTCCGACTTGCCCAACGTCGAGAGGCCGGGTGGCCGGACCGCGCGCCCCGCGGGGGAAGCCTGGGACCGCACCCGGTTCCGCACCGAGGGCCGGGCCTCCCCCCGCGGGCGGGCCTGGCGAGTGGGGGCCCGGGGAGAAGCCCGGCCTCAGCCCTCCCTCCCCCCCGCCCCGCAGGCCTGCCACGCGGTGGGCAACTTCCAGGCCCCGAGCGCGGAGAAGCCGGTGGCGCCGGCGCCCGCCAAGGACGCGCTGCGGGCGCTCACGCAGCGGGGCCACGACTCGGTGTACCAGCAGAACAAGTCCGTGAGCACCGACGAGCTGGGCCCGCCCGGGCGGCTGGAAGGCGTGCCCCGGCCCGTGGCCAGGGAGAAGAGCTCCCTGGGCAGCCTGAAGCGGGCCAGCGTGGACGCGGACCTGCTGGCGCCGCGCAGCCCCATGGGCAAGGAGAACATGGTCACCTTCAGCCACACGCTGCCCCGCGTCAGCACGCCCTCGCTCGACGACCCCGCGCGCCGCCACATGACCATCCACGTGCCGCTCGACGCCTCCCGCTCCAAGCAGCTCATCAGCGAGTGGAAGCAGAAGTCGCTGGAGGGCCGCGGCCTGGGCCTGCCCGACGAGGCCAGCCCCGGGCACCTGCGGGCCCCCGCGGAGCCCATGGCGGAGGAGGAGGAGGAGGAGGAGGAGGAGGAGGAAGAGGAGGAGGAGGAAGAGGAGGAGGAGGAGGAGGAGGGCGAGGAAGGGGGGCCGGCCCCGCCCTCCCTCTACCCCACCGTCCAGGCTCGGCCGGGGCTCGGGCCCCGGGTCATCCTCCCGCCGCGCGCGGGGCCCCAGCCGCTGGTGCACATCCCGGAGGAGGGGGTGCAGGCGGCCGCCGGCCTGTCCCCCAAGAGCAGCGCGGCCGTGCGGGCCAAGTGGCTCATGATGGCCGAGAAGAGCGGGGCCGCCGTGGCCGCCGCGTCCGCGCAGCCCCGCGTGGCCAACCCGCCGCGGCTGCTGCAGGTGATCGCCATGTCCAAGGCACCGGGCGGGCCCGGGCCCAAGGCGGCCGAGACGGCCTCGTCCTCCAGCGCCAGCTCCGACTCCTCGCAGTACCGGTCGCCGTCTGACCGCGACTCGGCCAGCATCGTCACCATCGACGCACACGCGCCCCACCACCCGGTGGTCCACCTGTCTGCGGGCAACGGGCCCTGGGAGTGGAAGACGGCGGGCGGCGCGGCCAAGGCGGAGGGCGAGGGGGGCTACGAGCTGGGGGACCTGGCTCGCGGCTTCCGCGGCGGGCCCAAGCCGCCGGGGGTGTCCCCCGGCTCGTCCATCAGCGACGTGGACCAGGAGGAGCCGCGCTTCGGGGCCGTGGCCACCGTCAACCTGGCCACGGGCGAGGGGCTGCCCCCGCTGGGCCTGGCCGACGGGGCGCTGGGGGCGGCCAGCCGCGAGTCCACGCTGAGGCGCAAGGCGGGCGGCCTGGCGCTGGGCGAGCGGGAGGCCGAGGCGGAGGCGGAGAGCTACTACCGCAAGATGCAGGCGGCCCGGAGGTTCAAGGACTGAGTGGGGGCCTGGGGGGCCGCATGGGGTGCAGCGGAGGCCATGGGGGGTGGGGAGCACTTCACCAGATCAGACAATAAAAGGTCCATTCCGGCTGAGTCCTGGCTGAGTCACTGGCCCTCCTGGCCCGGGGCCCCCACGCGGACTTCCCCCGGGGTGGGGGTGGGGGGCAGCTGCAGGGCGGCCAGAGCCTAGGCCCCCCGACCCCCGACCCGCTGTGACCAGAGGGAGGGGAGAGCTAAACTCAGAGGAGGAAACAGCAGTGAAGACAAGCAGGCGGAATAAAAAGGGAAATCGAGTGCAGGGTGCAGAGACATTTATTCAAAGTCCAGCAGACTGGCCAGCTGCCCTCTACAATGGGGACGGGAAGAATGAGCCTACAGAAAAGGTAGGAGTTGTAAAATCGCTTTAATTCGGTTCTCTCTGCATTACAAGCCACCGGGGCGGGCCGTGGAATGCGCCGCGCTCCCCGTCACAATACTGAGCCTGTAAGTGCGGGTTACCAAAATATACATCTGTGTCGCCTTTATAAAAAACCACGTTTGCTGCCCCTCGTTTTACAACAGGTATAAAAAAATTATAAATATTTACACCCTTGTTCCACCCCAACACGGACTCTCTGAGGGTCCAGGCCCAAGGGAGGGGCTGGCCAGCACGGGAGCCCCTTGGACCCGTGAGTGCAGGACGATGTGCGGGAGACAGTTAAGACTTGGGGGCCGCTGTCCCACCTTCTGGGGCCCCAGCGTTAGAGGCAGACAAAAAAAAAAAAAAAAAAGAAAAAGAAAAAAGAAAACCCAAAAAACAAACTTTGGTCCAAAATCTGCAGGAAAGAGGAAACCCTGAACGTTTAAGAGCGCTTGTCCCCCCGCAGGAGGACAGGTTAGGTGTGAGTAAGGCATCTGGAGGTGTCATGGGAAGGACCGGGGCCCCTGCACCGGCCCCCAGCCGGCCCGCCCTGGAAACTAGATCCTGCCCTGCGACTTCATTACAAGGAATAAAATAGAAAAGTACAGTATGCAAGGTCATACCACAAGTAGGAAATGGAGATTACACTCATACCATCTTTATCTTGCTATATAAAAAGTTACTTAAAACTATTTCTTTTGCATATAAATGAAAAAAGATTAGAATATTTGGTCAACTGGAAATATTGCTAGGCACAGATGTCTGCAACTGCATCAAAGCATAATACAGAGGTTACAGTGGACACAGAGCTCCGAGCTGAAGGACAGGGACGGCACCCTCGGGGTCTCGCCCCGCGCCGGGGTCCCTGGGGCTGGGGATGGGGAGAATCACACACTTGATTAAACGGATTGGGGGTGCCGGCTGGACCCTGCAGCTCACGGCCTCCCGCTGCACCAGGCGCGTGATCCACGCGGGAGGCCCACCCCGCCCCGGCCCCCGCGTCTGCTGCCGCGAGAGGGCCCTGCCACAGCAGCGGGTTTTAAGGCACAAGAAAGCCGAGTCGAGGTTTGGGAGCGCCCACCCCACAGAGGCTGCAGAAGGCACGGGCTGGGGGGGCTGGGGAGGGAGCGGGGTGCACTGTCCACTCGTCACCCGGAGCCTGAGGCCGGCACCCCCATCTCCCCAGGGCGAGCAAGGTGAATCGGATTTAATTTTTTTAAAAACAGGTAAACTGATTTCTCTTTTAAAAAAATAAAATCTCTGGTCTTTTTAAGGTCACTTCAGCTGCTTTTTAAAGTGGCTTTTCTCTGGAATGATGGAAGTTGTGGCCGGGCGCCGGCAGGCTGGTCCGCGGCGGCCCTAGATGGTGGACTTGGAGAAGGAGACCCGCAGGTGGTGGTTCTCGCCCAGGTCGTGGTTGTGCAGGTCGATGAGCGCCTGGATGGCCTCCTCCACCGAACCCATCTGGATCAGGGCCATCTTGCGGTCCTTCCTGGGGGGGGGAGGGGTGTGGGGGGGACCCAGTCAGGGCACGCGGGGGGGGGGGGGGGGGCTGGGGGCGGGGCCCGTGACGAGGGGGCGGGGCCCACACTCACTGGAAGAACTTGAAGCCCTTGACGATCCCGCCATTGCTGGAGAAGAGGATCTTGAGGTCATCCTCGGACACAGAGGGCCTGGGGGCGGACAAGGGGCTCAGTCGCTGCTCCTCGGGGGGCGGGGCGCCCCCCCCCACCCTACCCTACTCCCCCCCTCCCAGCACATACGGGATGTTGGACAGGTGCAGGGTGGCCGAGGGTGGAAAGATGTTCTGGAAGTTCTTGGAGCCCGGCTTCTTGAAGCGGTGCAGGGGTGAATTGCCGTAGTCCTTGGTGAGGCCCTGGTCCTCCTGGCCCTCGCGGGGCAGCTGCACGTTCTGGTGCTTGGACAGCGTAATGCGCACCGGCTTCCCGTGCAGCTTGTGCCCGTTCAGGTGGCTCATGGCTGGGGAGGCAGGACGCGGGTGACCCACGGCGCCCCGGGCAGGGGCCGGCCCCCCCACCCGCTGCTCCTCGTGCCCCCGTGCCCCCGTGCCCTTACCCAGCTGAGCCTGGCTCCCGTCGGCCATCTGCACCAGGGCGTTCTCCTTCTTATTGAACAAGATCTTCACCCGCTGCACGTCGCCGTACACGCCTTCAAGAGCGCAGGGACAGGGGCACTGAGCCGCCCGGGGCCCCGCCGCCGCCTCCCCCGCCAGCCCCCACGCCCCGCACACCCCGCACAGGGCTGGCTCTTCCTGAAGGTTTGCTTATTCTGCCTCTGGGCACCTGCGTCTAGTCACAGGGGATGTTACCAGAAGACTACGTTCAGCAGAGAAGTCATAAAATCCAGGAAAGGTCAATTGCCAAGAACCATCACTTTAGCATGCTACCAACACGTTTAACTCTTCGAAAAGCATGCAGGGCAATAAACCATGCGTCTACGGAATCAGGATAAATACGCAAACCGAAGGCAAGCCACGTAACGAGGCAGATGCCCAACTGCAAACTCATAGTACATCTTAGGGCGTCAAAAATAACCTCAATTAAATGAAAACAAGGTAATAAAAGTGTGAATGATAACATACCGAAAAGAATAAAGAGGCTTTGGGGTGTGACTCTCTTTAGAGGACAGCAGAGCAAGGCAGCGAGGGACAGGGAAAGGGAGAGGTCAAGGGGCGAGTTGCCAATCGTCCACCACGAGGAGGCAGCCCCGCAGGCGTGCAGGTTGATGGATGATGAAGTTGTCAGGATGTTAATATTCAAGGGCAGGTTGGTTTCCGGAGAGCAGGGTTTGAGGGGGAATTTTGTTTTTTTATTTATTTATGGTTTTGTTTTGTTTCAAGCAACAACAGGAAGCAGAAGTACCGTGCAGTCAGTTGGCAAAGAAATTCCGGATCAGGGCAAGAAAAAAAATTGGGAAAGGGGAAGGGGAGAAAAGAAAAAAAGTAGCAAAAAAACACAGGTCAGTAAATACATAAGAAATACGAGCGCTCCATCAGTCAAGATCTACACACATTACACAGTCACGGGTTCACCTCGCGGAACAGGCAGGAGAGCGCCCTTCCCCGCGGCGGGCAGGAGACCCCGCGGCCGCCTCCCGCTCCTGTTCCTGCTCGCCGCGGACGGGCCTCTGAACCAGGCTCACACAAGCACAAGGCGGAGTCTGTTAGTGGAGGGCTTCTAGTGCCGGCCCGGAGAGCCGCGGCCGCCGCGGCCGCCGCGGCCAGGAAGTCACAGGAGGGGCAGACAGAGGACAGAACAGTCTGAGACGCTCATTAAAGCCGGTCCCATGTTTCAGCAGTTAGAGACCGCGAGCCCTCGTCAGCTCACCCAAGCTCCCTCTGAGCCAAAGGCAGCCACGGGCTTGGGCGCAGGATCGCCACCCCTGGGACCGCGGCTGCGGGCGCCGCCCCTCGGCCGCAGGCAGGCCTCTTCAGACCGCGCCTCGCTGGGCCACAGACTAGGAGGGCTGCTTTCACTTATCGAAAAACATTTCAACTCTGCGTATTACGAACTGGAAACGTAAACCAAGGCGTAAAGGAGAACAAGAGAACTCTGAGCGCCAAGGAAGGAGGCAGGGAGCGGGCCAGCGCAGAGGGGCTGCACCGTGCCCCGGGCCGGGGGTGGGGGGAGGCCCCAGAGGGACCCCGGCGCCTGGGGCGGACAGGAGCTCGGCCTGCTGCCGTGTGCACTAAGATCCCAGAGTGTGACTCCCCCGCTCGTGCTTCCGGGACGCACAGCCTGGAAAGAAGAGGCACGTACCTCGGGGTTCAGGTTGCTGACCAGGAGGACAGAATTTCCTGCTCCTGCCAGGCCCGGGATGGCGATCCGGCCCGCCGCTGCCGCCGCCGCCGCCGCCGACGGGATGGCTAGAGGAGCCAGGGCCCCGTGCACGTTAGGAACGGAGAGGCCTGGAGGGGGGGAAGGGGGAGGAGGCAGTCGAGAGGTGAGCGGCGGCGCCCGGGGTCTCTGCCAAGAGGCGAGCACTGGTCCTGCCCGTCCTCATGCAAAGGAAACACGCAGGAGGTGCCGTGGCCACTCTGGGCCCGGTGCCCACCGCGCAGCCTTGCTGGCGCCTCCTCGCTCTCCTCACAGCACAGGGTGCGCCGGGTTTGGACCCGTCTACATGCGCCAAACAGTACAAAAGCTCCGCTCAGTGGATGCAGAATCGAGCCCCAGGCGGGCCTCCGCCGTGCGTGCATGCAGGTGCCCGTCACCATGCAGACGACAACCGGGCGGGACACAGCAGGCCCGTGCCTGTCACGAGGGCAGGCCGGCCCCCGGGAGGGACGTTCGGGTGCGCCCACCCGGCTCATGCCGCTCTGCTTACCAGGCCACTTAAATTCATCTACTAAGGACACATCCCTCCAACCACCGTGCGCGCTCGTCCTCGCCCGGGAGGTGCTTTAAGGGAACCAGACCAGAGACTGTGGGGTTAGCGGATTCTGTGCACGGCCCTGTCCTACGACTGCCCTGTCCAGGCTCCTCGGGGAACCCAGAGACCCGCACCCAGGAAGGCGGGCTCCCCCCGAGCCTGCGCCCACGTCAGGTGCCCGTGGAAGCAGAGCTACTGGAAAGGTGTGTGGGCATGCACAATCGACGGGACCAAGGTCAAGCATTTGAGTACCTGCAGCTTGAGGAATTGCAAAGGTGGGAGGGAAACCAGCTCCTGCATACGGAGAGGCTGACATTATACCAGGTGCACCTAGAAACAAATGAGACACTAATCATCGCACCCACCACCTCCGCCGCGGGCGAGGGCTGTGTGTGTCCGCGACCCCACACACACAGTGGGCAGTCCTGGCCACGTAAGGAGCAACACGCTCCAACCTCCCTGGGCACAGAGTCAGCGTCACGGGGCGCCTGGGGCACTGAGACTGAGCTACACATCCTCGCCTCCCGCGGCACGCAGTGGTCCTGGGCACCGCGCCAGGAGTCTTACCGAAGGCAGCAGCCATGGTCTGGTCCAGCGAGGGCTGGCTGTCGCCAGAGGGCAGGTCCGGGCGCGTGTAGTCACGACTCTTGTCGTTGTTGTACTTGACGTTGAGGCTGGTGAGCTTGGAGAAGTCGATGCGGAGCGTGCAGCAGGCGTTGTAGATGTTCTGGCCGTCCAGCGACTGCGGGGAGAGCGCGGTGAGCGGCTGCGGGCCCCACGCTGGCGGGGCGGGCATCCCAGGGCCCCACTCACCAGCTTGGCGTGCTGGGCGCTCACAGGGTCGGCATACTGCAGCAGCGCCTGAAACTGGTTATTCTTGGTGAAAGTGATGATTTTCAAAACGGTGCCAAACTTGGAGAAGATCTGCAAGAGAAGAAGCCGTCAACCTCTGCCTGGGGACAGCCGGAGCCGGGGTCTGGGGCAGCTCGCCACACGCTTGCGGCGGCCTCACCTGGTGGAGCACGTCCAAAGTCACTGGGTAGAAGAGGTTCTCCACGATGATCCGGAGCACCGGGCTCTGGCCAGCCATGGCCATCCCAGCGTCCACCGCGGCAGCCGAGGCGGCCAGGGCCAGGTTTCCTGACTGCACGGAGTTCACGGCCTGTAGCGCTGCCTGTGCTCGCTGTGGGGGCAGGGGGAGTTAGCGCTACGAGCTCCACGCCGTGACCTGCTTCCCACCCGAGGGCACCGCACCCCAGACCCCGAGACCTACTGCCTGGTTGGGCGAGCTGTCCGTCTTGAGCTCCTTGTGGTTAGAGAACTGGATGTAGATGGGCTGGCCTCGCAGCACAGGCGTCACGGAGGTGTAATAGTTCACCATGGTGTTGGCGGCCTCCTCTGTGTTCATCTCGATGAAGGCCTGGCAGGGCAGGGGTGTGAGCCGGGACCAGACCCCCGGGGCCTTCCTGGGACAGGGGGCGCACGTGGCTGAGGCAGGTACCTGATTTTTTCCTTTCAGCATCAGGAGGTTGGTGACCTTCCCGAAGGGCAGTCCCAGGGAAATGACCTCGCCCTCCGTGACGTCACCGGGGAGCTTCCGGATGTGGATCACTCTGGAGGGCACACCTGCACTTCTGTTGTCACCCTTGAATTTCTTGCTGTCGTTCCCATTTGCTGAAAAGAGTAGTAGTTTCTATGGCGTCAAGCACCGTCCAGGCCCCCATGAAGCAATCTGCCCCTCTCCCCAGAACCAGCTTCTTCCCGGACTCTGGAAAGTCACTGCAAGGACAGGGCAGTCCCCATGCCTGGTGCCCGCCCACCCGCCCACAGGGAAGCCAGGCCACAATCAACCAGGCCCCAGGTCACAACGGCCGGGCCGATTCACCCCGAGCGTCCTCCAGAGCAGCCGAGCACACATGCGGGGACAGGAGGGGCGCCCACAGCCGGGGACCCGACAGCCAGGGGGACCCGACCGTGCTCAGGGCGTTACCTGCAGAGGCCGAGTTGCTGCTCATGATAAAGGGTCCGTTAGTGACACAGGCAGAGAAAAGCTCGTCGGATCCCCGCTGGAAGAGAGACGGGGTGTGTGGAGCAGAGCGGGACACCAGCCCACCCCCCAGACCAGCTGTGCCCCCCCCCCACCTCTGCAACTCGGCCTGGAGAAAAGACCGCACCTCCCTCCCCAATGCCTCATGGTCCTAATCTCAAGATGCTGCTCCTTTCCCAAAGCAGGGGTCGGGGACCTGCCACCTGTAGGGGCTCCGCAGGTCTGTCACTTCCAATCCACGTTCTGCAGGCCCCTTCCTGTGTGGACGGGGCCTCACACCAACAGCCACTTGGGGCTGAGCCCTGCCCACTCTGTCCTACAGAGCTCAGCGGCAGCCCTGCCCACGTCACGACCGTAAGACCATCTTCGACGACCACAGGGCTGCTGGCAGGCCCAGGGAACAAAGCCCCCTTGTCGCGCCGCAGCCACTTGCTGAGCCACAGGAGCCTGCCCTATTTTCCAGGCGTCTGAGGGAACCTGAGCCTCGCCCCCGTGGCTCCGGGACAGACCGAAATACTACCTCTCCGCACAGGCACAGCAGGGGCAGTGCGATCTAGTGAGGAGCGGGGGCACCCAGCTGAGCCCGCCAAGGCCCCGAGGAAGCAGCGTGGGTGCCCGCCCTCGCCGGGCTCCGTGACTTGCAGCCTGCTGCCGTCCTTCCACAAGCCTCCTGCCCCCTGGCTGCTTTCAGACCACCGAGCAGAGCATCTGACGGACCCGGGGCTAGAAGGCAGGCAGCCCTCCCTCCCCGGGTGAGGCCAGAGGACAGAACCACTCCACGCAAGGCGAGCAGCTGCACGGGACCCAAGCACCAGAGACCCACAAGCCTCACAGACTGGGCTCCCACTGCCCGCCTCTGCCCCCGGCAGCCCAGGGCCCAGGTCTGGGGCCTGAACCCTGTCACCTGGAACCAGGAGGGACTTCTCAAACGGAATCTGTGGGTACAAAGCTGGGAGCCAGGAAGGGTTGAGGCCTGCGCCGCCCTGCGGCAGGAACAGGAAAGACCAGCCCACCTGGGCCTCCACCGCCTCAGCCCTTCGCCCTCAAGCTGCTTTTCCCACCTGTTCTCGCGTCAAGGACGCCGCCTCCTCTCGGCCCCTCCTCCAAGGGGCCTGCCTGGCAGCCACTTACCCCCCCATCTCCCGCCAGGAGCCTCCCCCACCAGCGCTGGGCGGCCCGAGGACCCCTCAGAGCCTCCAGGCCCAGCAGCCCAGCAGCCCGGCTGAATAAGGCCCAAGAGACGTACGGACTGCCCTCCAGGTAAGGACCAGGAATGGCTGCCCCAGGCAGCGGAGGCAGCTTCGGTGGGCTTGTTCCCAAGCCACCACCTCAGGACGGGTGAGCATCTGCGGAGATCCCCCCAGCACACGAGTCTGGAGGCCACGGATGCAGAGGAAGTGCCCACACTCGGCACCAGGGTTCAGAAAGGAACGAACAGACTCTCAGGCCATCCTCTGACATGATGAAACAAAATGTCAAAAACCACCAACCAGCTGCAGGCTGTCCTGATGCCAAGCGGGGGGCTTCAGGGCTCCCCAGTGAGCGCGGCCCAGACAAAGGCCCGCGTGGGACCCCAGACACTCAGGACACACGCCGAGTAGAGACGCGTCAAGATCCCACCTGCCCGAGCCTCAGGAAAGCCTTTTCTGTCTCTGGACTCGGGGGCCCTGACGTGCCCCCACAGGCTCACAAGGATCCGCCATCTACTGGCCACGCAGCCTCTAAATGGGCTTCTGCGCCCCAGGCTTTGACTGGTGACGGGTGGGCTGCGACTTCCACCAGTGGCAGCATTCCTGGCCCCCACCCTGCGTCTCTGAGGGCAAAGTGCCCACTTGTCAGCTCCCACTCCCATTCCCTCAACAGCACCCCACAGCCACGGTGACATCAAGGCCACCCACAAGCCTCGGGATGTGGGCACAGCTGGGCCCCACTAGCATTAGCATCTACCGGGGAAAAAAAAAAACCCTCAAGTAGTGTACTGGCTGCTGAGCTCAGGGCAGCTCTGCCGTGAATGGCGATGCGAGGACCTTCTCTTCCTCGATGGAGAGCTGAGAGCCCCCACACCGCTCACGTCCCACAACTTGTGCAACTCCTCCGGGTAGGCCGGGGGGCAGATTCAGGGGGGCCCTGTTGGCGGAGCACCTCAGCCTCGGGTGGGAGATAGTGCCCCCCCCCCCCAGAGAGCACCCCCGGGGTTTCTGTCTGAGCAGCTCTTACTCTGGAAGCAAAGGTCCCTTGGGAACAGGATGGCCCAGAGGGGACCCTTCCAAGGACAGCCGCCGAAGAGCTGTTCCAGCTGGAAAGCAGCTCCCCCAGAAAGGGGGAGGATTACTTGCAATCCAGACATTTTCTGTGATTGTTACAAACGCTCCAGATGAAAGTCCCTCTCCCCTCCTGCCACTGAACAAACAGGTTTTATCTGCAGGAAGATCAGGACAGGCAGCGTGTGAAGACAAGAACCCACTTGGGAAAAGTGAAACCTAGCCCAGGCACCATGGCCGACTGACCAGAAACCAGCTGGCTGGCTGGCTGCTCAGGTCACTTGAGCCACCTGCAGGGAGCTCAGGGAGGAGCTCAGGAACCACGGCCAGGGAGGGGGGACTCCCCTGGCTCCCAGCCACGCACAGCAGGGACACAGCCTGGAGCTGGTAAGCGACTAACCGGCAGAGCGAAGTCAGCCCCAGGATTCCCCGGGAGGTCACATTCCCGGGCGCAGTGGGGGCAGAGCCACCTCGGCCCCCTCACTACTGTGGGGAGATAACCTCTGCCAGCTTTGTGCCCCGACACTTGCCTTCCCTACTACTCAGACACACAAGTAACAGAAACCCTGCACAGAAAGAATGTGGTACTCCGCTTTTCCCTGACCTCAGAAAGTCTACGGAACCCTTTAGAGCAAAAACTATCCAAACCACAACATCAAAAGGAGGCCCAAACTGCCGCAGAAACGCCGCGTGTCCCCTGGTCCCACCACCCTCCTCACAGCCTGCTTGGAGATTAAGCACGGGCTGACCATCAACCCAGGGGTGTGCAGAGGCCCCCTTCAGCCCCGCACGGCCTGCCTCAACTGGCAACAGGCACAAGCAGGCCTCTCGCCAGTTCTAGATTTCAGCTGGGCAGAAAAGAGCCACATGAAGGCCAAAGGTGCATTTGCTGTCGAGGGGCCATGAGCCCATGAGGCCCGAGACCAAAGCCTGGGACAGAGCTGGGAAAGAGGAGGGGGTCTGCACACCGGACAAGGACAACACGGAGCGCTCTGCGGCAGGAGCAGACAGGCCCACACGGTCGCCGTGAACTCAGGCCGAGCAAGCACAGTGAGGAAGCCGAGCCAGAAGTGCCTACCTTTGTACCAACTGCTATATCTGGGACAATGCTGTAGGGAGAGAAAAAGGACAACAGTTAGCCAGGTGTGCTCCCCATCTCAGCAGGTGGGAAAGGCCGGGCAGGAGCCGTCCCGGTCCCATCCCTGCCCGGGGCTCCAGAGGGCCCCCCAGAGCCCCCGCAAGGCCACAGCTTGGCCTCTGGCAGCATGACGCCCCCTGCCCCCAGGAGGCCCTCTGCCAACTAGACCGCTGAAGGCAGGGAAGTGAACGTCGTCCTGCAACCTCAACCTGAAAAGGAGCCACCATCGTGTTTCCGCTTCCCTCCCTCCCAGCAAGACCCCGGCCCCGCCCCCGACCTGCCCGCGGACAAAGACGCGCGCCCCGTCTTCAAAGCCCCAGGAGAGAGAGGCCCTTGGGGCTCCGGCTGAGGTTCAAGTACTGGGGTCCGCGTTCCTCAACAACGCAAGTGCTCAGAAAATGCTTCCAAGCAGGGACGAGCGCCAGTGAAAACGGGGGCTCCTAGGCCCTGGGGCCAGAGCCCTGGATCCCCGGAACAAACGGGGACTCCGAGTCGGAAGATGGACCGTTCCCGAGGAAGGGAGACAGCTCAGCTAAAGCCATCAGATAAAATTAACAGGTTACTCATCAACCCGCGCCGCGCCGCTCCGCGTGACTGGACTTTCTCCCTGCCCCAGGCGGGCCGGGAAGGCGGGAGGGAACATGGCTACCTGGCGGCTGAGCCCTGCGGCTGAGCCCGGCGCCGGCCCAGGGCTCCCGGAGCTCGGCCCAGGACGGGCCGCTCAGGCGGGCACAAGGCCCTGGAGCCCCCCGTGCGCCCGCCCCGCCACCCCCTGCTTCGGGGAGGGCTCGGTTCCTCCGTCCGGCCCGGGAAGCCGAGCTGCGGGCCCACCCCCTGCCTGGGCCGCCCCCCCCTCCCCTCCCCTCCCCTCCCCTCCCTCCCTCCTCCGGCAAAACTCACGATCTCCCGTCAACGGACCTTCAGAACCTCCCCGCGCCCAGGGGGAGCTCCCCAGAAAACCCAAAGAATGAAAGGCACGCGGCTCCCGGCTTCCCACCCCGGCGGCCCGGCCGCGGCTCCCGCCGCTCCCGCCCCCTCCGCCCCCTCCCCGACTCGGCCCCGAAACCCATCATTTCCAGCCCCGGCGCCGGGGCACGTGACCCCGGCGTCCGGGCCGCGCACCCGCCCGGGGGGCAGGAGATAAGCCGAGCCCCGGCGCGCGGCAAGGAGACAGCCCCGCGGAAAGCCGCCTCCGGCCGCCTCGCCCCTTCCCACCCGGACCCCGCAGCCCCGAGACAAAGGTCTCGGCCGGCCCGGCTCGGGCAGCTCCACGGCGCCGGGGCCCGGGGGCTCCGCTCGGCGGCCGGGAACAAAGGGGGGGCGGGGGGCCGGGCGCGCGGCCATCCTTTGTGGGCAGCCGGGGAGGGGCCGGCGGCCGGCGGGGGCGGAGGAGGGCCCGCGCCCTTCCGGGCAGGACGAGGGCGGCGTCTCGGGGCCGCGCCCGGGCCCGCGGCGGGCGGGGGAGGCCGAGGGCAGAGTCCGCGCGGCGGGAAAGGCCGCGCACGCGCACAGCTCGGCGGGGCCGCGGGGAGCTGCGCACGCAGGCGCGGGGGCCCGGCGGCGCGCGGGAAGGGGGTACGGGGCGCCGCAAGGCTCACGCGGCGCGCGCGCGAAGCCCGGCGCGCGCGCGCGCGCGGCGCGGACGGGAAGCGGGAAGGGCCGCGCGGCCGCCGCGTGCGTTCGCGACGAGGCGCGCGGAGGCCGGAAGCGAGCGGGGCTTGGGCCCGGCCCGCCCCCTCCCCCACGGCCCGGAGGCGCCGCCCGCTCCGCAGCCCCCGGCAGCCTCCCGCACGCCCGCGCCCCAGGCCCGCGGAGGGGAGGGACCCCGGAGGCGCCCGCGAACCCGGGCGGAGGCGCAGCGACGCGCCGGCCGCGGCCCCGAACAGCCCGGGGCGGCGGCGAGGGGGAAGCTGGAGCGCGAGGAGGCCGCCGCGGGGCGCGGCGAGGCAGTGCTTACCCGTCCATTGCACACAGAGGAGACCCGCAGGGGACGGAGTGGAGGCGCCGGAATAGCAGGAACCGACCCAACGGCTCCGAGTTATAGACTCACAAAATGGCGGAGACGCCCGAACACGTCCCCCGCGCGCGCTGCCCATTGGCTCCCGCCACGGGGAGGGGGCGGGGCGGGCGCCGCGGGCCCCAGCCGGCACCTCCCAATGGCTAGGACGTCGCGCGGGGGGCGGGGCCAAGAGGAATGGCGGGCGGCCATTGGGGGAGCCGGCCGTCCGTCAGGGCTCGAGGCGGAAACGACCCGTAGAGACGGGGGAGGGGAGAGAAGGCGGGACCATATCCCCGAGCGTAAGCCAGTGAGCGCACTGCTCGCCTGCGGGCGGCTTTGCGGGAGAAGCCATCTTGAGAGTGGGTACGTGGCGAGTCAGGAGGCGGGAAGCGTGCTTTCCCCCAGGCCGCCGCCATCTTGCAAACGGGCAGGGGTCGTCCACGGGCGTGAGGGTAGAGGGCGGTGCGTCGCCATCTTGGGGTCGGGCAGGGAACCTGCGGGGTCCATCTTGCTTTTGGGCACGTGGCCGAGAGGGCTGCTCGCGGCTGGGCCCTTGCTCGCGGGGGAGCGGCTCGCGGGGCGGTGGAGGCGGCCGAGCGCCGCCCGGGCTGGGCCGCGGCTCCGTTTGCGCCGCTGACCTCGGCCGTGGCGGGCGGGCGGGCGGTGCTCAGGGGTCGCCCCGGGGCCGGGCACTTGCAGGGAGGGGCGCACTCCGTCCCGGCGGCCAGGGCACGTCCGCGCCGCGCAGGGGTGCAGGCCTGGGGGGACCCGAGCGCAGGACATCCCTGCACGTCGGCGCCGCGGGCGGTGCCAAGGTCCTGGGGCCGCCGCTCCCTGCACCGAGGCCTCCCGGCCGTGCCCGAACCTCGCCGCGCCGAGCGCATCTGGAGCCCAGGGTCGCTAACCGGGAATGTCCCGGGGGATCCGCTCCGCCCCCCCCACGGGCCCCCCTGGGAGCTGGCTTCCGGGGCGCCAGCAGCACCGCCCGTCTTCCCTCTCTAGGGCACGGGGGCCGGGGAGCGACCGGACTCAGAGTCGTGTTAAAACCCACTTGGAGGAAGCCCGAGGCCACCTCGCAGCCCGGCAGGCCCCTCGCCCCGGGCGCCCTGATTTACGGGTCCTGCGCCCCTGCCCCAGGGCCTTTGCCAACGTTGCCCTAGCAGGCGCCCCCCCCCCCCCCATTGAGGATGAGCCCTCTCGTGTCTACAACGCGCCGGGCTCCCCGACGGAAACTCGAACTCGGGCCAGGGTTAGGGCGGCCCGGGGGCTGCAGAGCGAGGACCCCGAGGGTCGGGCCGCCCCGGGGTGGGCCTGGAACGCCGAGGTGACACGGCCTCGTGCCCGGGGCGGGGGGCCCGGGGTCCCCACACTCGGTGCCCGGCTCGGGCGAGTCGGATGGGTGCCCCCCCCCCAACTGCAGGAGCCTCCCGGCCCCCCCCCCAGCCTTGCCCGCCAGCTGCTTCCCTCATTAATGATTTAGGGCGACAGTGGATGTGGGATCACCCTGTGTTCCTTTGCGAATTGGAGAAGGCTCCTCTGCAGGGCGGGAGCCGGGAGCCGGGGAGGGAGGAGCCGGCCTGGGGCGCGGAGGGTGGGGAGGGTGGGGAGGGTGGGGAGGGCGGCATCCCCGGGGAGCAGGGGGCCTGCTGGGCCCCATTCCTCTTTTCAGATCAGATGGGGGTTGGGGGGGTGCAGTGCCTCAGTTTACTCCTTTGTGGAAACCAAGAGGCAGGACCCAGCCAGTCCTCCTGCGGGCTTTCCCCTGTTTCACTTGGAAACAGTTAATAGTCTCAGAATATTTATTCCCGTGTTTGTTTACTGGCGCTTGGATTATAAAGGCGGTTGGGTGGGGGGCAGGGGACGGGGTGTGGGCTGGGGGGTCAAACCGGCTGCCCCACCCCTGCCCCCGTGGGTGGCCTGGAGCCTCGCCTGGACCCCAGGGAGCTGGGAGGCGCCACCGAATGCCTTACTCGGCCGGATGATGGCCCTGGGCCGGGGTCCTGCCCCCCAGGCCCCAGGCCCCAGGCTGCCAGCCCGTCCTCCTCCTCCATCTCGGCCTCTTCCTCCCCGTCCCTTGCCAGGTCCCTTGCCAGGCCCCGTGCAGGCCCCAGCCCCAGGGGGGACCCTCCTCCGGGGCGCTTCTCGGTCTCCTCCCAGATGCAGCCCGTCCCTGCTGCCCAGGCGGCGTGAGCTCCACTGGCCACCTCCCGCACCCTTTCCTGTCGCAACTGTTTAATCCTCCGCTAGGAAATACTTTCATTTCCTTTCCCCAAACACAGGTCGGGGAGCGGCCTGAGCGTCTCAGCCAATACGAGGCGGGACCCAGGCGGCTCCCCCTGGGGAGTGGGTGCTGCAGAGGGGTCCTCTGCGGGGTCCGCCTGGAGCCCCCCTCCCCCGACGCAGTGGCTGCGCTCCTCGGGGTGTGCCCCACGCTGCCCGCAGCCTCAGGCCTCGGCCAAAAAGTGCAAGGACCCGTGTCCACCAGCAGGTAAACGGAGACACGTGTCCCCCCCGCGCACGGACACGTCCCCAGCCTCGAGCAGGAGCGAGGTGCCCACGCCACCCCGGGGACAGAGCCCGGCCCACGACGTTCAGGGAGGGAACCAGACGCAGGAGGCCCCACGGGGTGAAGACCACGCGTGTGACACATGCTGGGGCTCAGGGGGCTGGGCAGGGTGGGGGGTGACAGCTGGCGGCCAGGATTTCTTTCCCGGTGTTGAGAGGACACATCGCCCCTGATTGTGCCGACGGGTGCACACTCCGGAAAGCCAGGGGAGCGCAGGCCGGCCGCGAGCAGCGAGGCTGCCAGTCTCCCAGTCTCGGGTAATAAAGCTGCTTTTCAGAAACCCTGCGTGTGAAGCTCAAAGGCCGTGGGGGGCGGGTGAGCCCGCGGGAAGGCCTGGGGTCCCCTCACGGGGTTGCCTGCGTCCCGTCCCGTCCCGTCCCGCGGCGCCAGCCGAGCACCCTGGTGTGTGCCCAGGACAAGTGCGTTCAGACCGGTGACCAGCTGCGACCAGAGCCCCGGGCAGCGCTCGGGGAGCAGCAAGGGGCTCAGCAGGCGGCGCCCAGGGGCGCTCGGGCCACAGGCCTCGGAGGCTTTGGGACCCGCACGCTTCGCTCTCCCTAAGGTGGAGCTCGGGGAAAACTCGACGGAGGAAATCCCGTGGGCTCGCCGTTGGCACGCGCATGGCCCACGGTCCCCGACGGCCGAGCCACAGCCCGTCCCCTGCCCACCATCTCGAGCGTCTCTGTGTAAAGACGCCCCGTGTGGCTCACGTTACTGATTCCGGGCGGCAGCGCCGAGGGACAAAGTGCCCCCAACACACGCGTCTTCCCCAAAAGGCGCATCGCGGCCATTGCGAGGCCCGGAGCCCTCGGGGTCACCGTGAAGCGTGATCGCCCGCAGACACGTGAAACACTCCACCTCCGGAAGCCTCGGGAGGGGCCGTCGTGGGGTGGCTGCTTCGGCTCAGGTCATGGTCCCGGGGTCCTGGGGTCAAGCCCCGCGTCGGGCTCCCGGCTCAGCTTGCTCTCCTCCTCCTCTCTCTCTCGGAGAAGAAATAAATAGAATCTTTAAAAACGGAAAGGAGGAAGGAAGAGCCCTCCTCTGCCCCCGGGGCTGACACGGGGCGGCCGGGCCGGGCCTCCCCCCGCTGACGCTGCCCAGGGAGCGCCCGGAGTGACCACAAACCCGCCAGGAAGATCGAGTGACAGTGACCCGGACAAACGTTCCAGGGGATCTGACAGATCCGTCTGCGGGTACCCGCGCACGAGCTCCAGGGCGGGGGCGACTTCGCAAACCCACAATCCCGAAGATCGGGGCCCGGGGTTTGACCCACAGCGCCCGGCGAGCTGGTCGCCGGCCCCGCGGGGTGTGTCGTGGTGACGATGGTGGGGCGCACGCCGGCTCGGCAGCCGTAGGCTCTGGAGGCCGCACGGTCACCAGGGGAGGGCGCGGCCTTGGGGTCCCCGTCGCTGGACGTCGTTCTGAGGGGCTGAGTGGAGGGAACAGCATCAGAGGCAGAGGGAACAGCAGCCTCGGGCCGTACAGGGTCCCAGAGGCGGGCGAGAGCGGCCTGGGCTGGACGGGGCCGGGGGGAGGCCACACGGGGAGGGAAGCACGAGGACGGTGGCCCACGGCCACCACGACTCCCGCGCCGTCCCCCTGAAGACCCCCTGGGCGGGCGGCCCTGGAGAACACGGAGCCCTGGGAGGCCGTGGGGGGACGACAGAAGCATAAGGGTCGGGTACGGCCCGGGTCAGGAGGGGTTGCCCTTGGGGGCGGTGGGCGGGGGTCCCTGGTCTGTTGGGGGTGCGCCCGCGGCCTCACGGAGACACAGAGACCGCAGTTCGCCAGTCGTATCGGCTCTAGTCCATCCCCAAGGAGTGCAGCATCCCAGGGGTCAATTCCAGAAGGTTCCATCGGGTCCCCTCGCGGTGCGGGGTGGGGACTGCAGCAGCCTGCGGTTGGGGGGACACAACCAGCCCGTGACGGACGCCGGGGAGGGGAGTCCCAGGTCCCGGGGGGCGCTCTGTGCTTCACCTTTGAGGAACCTCGGAGGACGTTCCCTGCGGCCCTGTCCGGGGCTCCCGTCCTCCACGCCCGGCGTTCCTGCTGCCGCCCCCTCGGCGCCCGTGTCCCCCTCTGTCCCAGGGCCCCCCTCGCGGCACCCAGGCCTGGGCCGGGCTTTCTCTGTCAAGGTGCGGATGGCGGAGCCGCAGGCCGGAGACTCGGCGCCTGCGTGGGACGTCGGCTGGGCCGCGGGACGTGGACGACGCACGGAGCCAGGGCAGTGACCCTTGGCAGCTGTGACGGCCCCACAGGAAGTGGCCGCCGCGACACAGAGGCAGGACGGGGGGGGGAGGGGGGGGGCACAGGGAGGCGCGGAGGGCTGCGGGTGGGGGGGGGGTCCTGCCCCAGGTGTGTCCACATCCTGACCTCCCGCGCCCGTCACCGCGACCTTATTTGGAAGTGGGTCAGACCGAGGTCCCGCCGAGCAGGGTGGCCCCGAGGATGGCTGGAGACCTCGTGAGGGGACTGTGGACACAGAGGCCGGGAGAAGCGCCGGCTGACGTGGCGCAGATGGGGGGGCAGCCGCGAGCCCGGCCCGAGGGCACCGGGGCACCGGCCCACCGCCCGCACCGCCCCAGGAAGGAGCCCGGCCTCCTCCTGCCCCGACCTGAAGACATGTGTCGCCGCTCCCTGGAAATGCGGGGACCGCGCCGCGCCCACGGGACCTGCGGGGGTGGGCAGGCGGCCGGCGGCCCTGACGTGACAGGGGAGCCGCCTGCTTCCGCGGCCCCTGCAAAATTCATGAAAAGGAAGATGTCTCGATCCCGCGGAGGGAACGTGAGCCGGGCTGTAAGCGATCCTGGGCCACCTGTTCACCCGCCAGCCGCCTGGCCGCAGGGTCACGGACACCCGGGGGACCGCAGCCCTGCCACCCGCTCCCTGGGGAGCAGCCCCCGGCCCCGCTGTGGCCCTCCGCAGCTTCATCACCCCACCCCTGAAAGGGCCCCCTGACCCCCCGGCTGGCGTGGACGTGCCCCCGCCGTGGACGGGGTGGGTGCTGCTCAGCCCCCCCACGGTGTTCTCTGCCGTCACGCTGCCTCCGTGTCAGGGACGTGCAACCCTGGCGAGAAGCTACTTCTGGGGGCGCCCGGGGGGCTCCGTGGTAGAGCGGCCGTCTTGGGCCCAGGTGTGACCCTGGGGTCCCGGGATCGAGTCCCGCCTCGGGCTCCCCGCAGGGAGCCTGCTTCTCTCTCTGCCTGGGTCTCTGCCTCGCTCTGTCTCTCAGGAATAAATAAAATATTAAAAAAAAAAAAAAAAAGCTACTTCTGGAAGGATCCAGGCGCAGAGAAGGGAGCGTCCCCCCGCCCCCGCCAGCCCGCGGGGATTCTGGGGCAGAAGGCGCAGTGGCCTCCAGCCTCATAACAGGTAACGTATGAAACCCGAGACCGTAAGCCTCTTGCTGCTGACATCGGTGACATCGCGGCATCAATAGTTTATAGTGGGAAACAGATACCTGATCCCTGGCCGTGGGCAGCCGCTCCCGTGGCCCCAGGCCCCCACCTGGCCCCCTCCTGGTCCCCGGCCTTCGGGCAGCGGATGCGCAGGCCTCGCTCCCTGGGGGGGGAGATGCTGCATCCCCAGCTGCTGTGGCTCCGCAGGGCCGAGGGGTGGCGGCTGCTTGGGTGCTCCTCCCAGGGGGCGAGTGCTCGAGGCTGCGGGGGGGGGGGGGGCACAGCGGGGAGGGAAGGGGAGGGCAGGGGAGGGCAGGGCCACCGCTGGCCCCAGACTCCTGTGCAGCTCTGAATAGGTGTTTCTGCACCGAGGTTGAACGAGGGACCAGCGAGCTCATGGAAGGACGCCCACAGGGGGAAGCTACGTGGACCCCGGTGCACGGGCCCCGCCACCCCCCGGGGCAGGTGACTCGCAGGGGATCCAAGGCCGGAGTCGCCCGCCCTGCGGGTCATGGGAAGAGCAGCTTCTGCACCCGGAGGCTGGAGGCGGGAGGCGTGTGCGTCCAGGCCCCCGCGGGGGGCGGGGCTCCCCGTCCTTCCTGGGGTGTTCGCCCGTTTTCTCCAGGGTTAGATGCTCCCTGTGCAGGTTAGACGTGGGGAAGAGCAGGAGCGGCCGGCACACGGTGTGCACATGTGCTGAGCCTGGCTGGCGGCCGCCGCGTGTCCTCGGAGGCCGTGGGCGCTTCCCGCGCACCCACCCAGCTGGCCAGGCCCAGCGCAGCGGCCGAGGAGGCCCGGCGAGCCCACTGCCCGCGTCCCAGGCTCCCACCCGGAGCCGGTTACAGTCAGCATCTGGGGGGCCTGGGGGGCTCGGGGGATGGAGGGACAGAGCCCCATGCCCCCGGCCTGCCACTCACACTCGCGCTCTCCCACAGACAACTACATCTTTAAGTAAAAGTTTGCATTTTGGAACTTTTTTTTTTTTTTAAGATTTTATTTATTTATCCATGAGAGACACAGGGAGAGAGGCAGAGACCCATGCAGAGGGAGAAGCAGGCTCCACGCAGGGAGCCCGACGTGGGACTCGATCCCAGGACCCCGGGGCCACGCCCTGGGCCGAAGGCAGGCGCTAACCGCTGAGCCCCCCGGGCGTCCCTGCGTCCTGGAACTTTATTTCACTCGCCAAGGGGACACACGTTTCGTCGATCGGAGGGCTCTCCTTCTCCCTTCTGCGCATCGCGTGTCCTGAAACTTCCAGGATGACGCCAACAATCCTTCTGAAACGTCATTTTTTTTTTTTAAGGAAATTGTGGCAAAATATGCATCGCGTAGTCACCCCCTTCACCGTCTCTACACGCGCTCAGGCTGTCGTGTAAGGGGCCCCACCATCCGTCTCCAGAACCTTCCGTCGCCCCGCTCGGAGGCTCCAGGAGACGTGTGTGCCGTGGGGTGTGACAGCCGCGCCTCCTCCTGCAGGAGCCCACGGCCCCGCCGCCTCCCCCCGCCGACCCACACCTCCCGCCGCAGCCGCTCACACGCGCCGGCCTACCTGGCCTCTCGCGCCCGCTCACGACGGGCTGGGCGGCAGGCGGCCCTAAGTGTGCGCCGCACACGCATCTCCACTGGGCCTGGCCCCACATTCCGCAGGGCCCGGGACCTCGGCCGCTCCCTCCCACTGGCCCAACAGCCAAGAGCCTTCCTATCTGAACAGCAAAGCTCAGCAAACAGGAAGAACCCAGGACTGAGCTGACAGTCTCTTTCCCTAAAATCCGAAGTCCTTATGTTTTTAAAAGACTGTGTGTGCATATTTATTTATTTGAAAGACAGACAGAGACAGAGAGAGCACGAGCAGGGGCAGAGGCAGAGACAGAAGCAGACGCTCTGCTGAGCAGGAAGCCTGACGTGGGACTGGACCCCAGGACCCCGGGATCATGACCTGAGCTGAAGGTGGACACACAACCGACGGAGCCCCCAGATGCCCCATCCTTATTTTTTTTTAATTTTTCAATTTATTTATTTATGATAGTCACAGAGAGAGAGAGAGAGAGGGAGGCAGAGACACAGGCAGAGGGAGAAGCAGGCTCCAAGCACCGGGAGCCCGACGTGGGATTTGATCCCGGGTCTCCAGGATCGCGCCCTGGGCCAAAGGCAGGCGCCAAACCGCTGCACCACCCAGGGATCCCTGGTTTTTTTATTTTTTTAAGATTTTGTTTATTTAATTTTTAATTTTAATTTTTTTATTTTTTAAAGATTTTTTATTTATTTATTCATGATAGACACAGAGAGAGAGAGAGGCAGAGACACAGGAGGAGGGAGAAGCAGGCTCCATGCAGGGGGCCCGATGCAGGACTCGATCCCGGGACTCCAGGATCGCGCCTTGGGCCAAAGGCGGAGCTAAACCGCTGCGCCACCCAGGGATCCCCTCGATCTGGTTTAAAATCCTAGACATTCTCCTGGTGGAAAATTCTAGAATCAAGTGGGCAGGTGCAGACCCTGTCAGCTTCTATCTCCCCTTGTTTTCTTGGAGATTTCCTTTTTGCTGAAGATAAAATAGGTCCCAACAGTAAAAACGAACGTACTGAGATGTTTGTGTTTATCTCCAGAGCACAGCGTCTGGCCTCTGGAATGTTCTTGTGTCATTTCCAGATATTGTGCGGGGTTCCGGCGGGGCGGCGGGGCCGGGTCGCCACCAGGCCAAGGCTTCCGAGACACGGTTTTCGAAATGCCCGTAGGTCTCCAACAACCTGTAAATTCTTGGTTATTTCTTCCTGTGAGACTCGTCTCTGGAACCTTCCATGGGGGCTCGATTTCCCCGGGACCACACAGAGTTCAAGCCTCGAGGATCCCCGCCCAGGACCCGTCCCTGCAGGGAGGCCCGACGCGGCCCCCACATGACTGGGGCGGGGGGGGGGGGGGGGGGGGGCAGTTCTGATGGGTGTTGGGTGTTTCCTTAATCATTTTCTTTGCTCTGTGCAGGGGCCTGGGAGGGCCTGGGGGGAGCCCGGAGGGGAGACGCGCATGCCTGGCATTCCTCCTCTGGCCACAGTTTGTTTGTTTGTTTTAAATTAGAGCCGCCAGGCCAGGAATTCCGTTTTCCTTCGGGATTCCGGGATTCTGCGGGGACTTGAGCGCAGCCCTAGGACCACCAGCAGAACATTCCAGCACCCTGCGGGCTGCATCCCCTCGCCCCCCCCCCCAGGAGCCCTTTTCCTTGGAGAGCGCGGCTGGCTGGCCACAGGTCCCCGTGCAGGGCCTCGCCGCTGCCCTCCCCTCTGGGCCGCCTGCAGGCCAGGCTGGGGGGAGGGGAGGGACACGGCGTGGATGCCAGGCTCCCGGGCGAGGAAACCGAGGCAGGCACTGAGCCCCCCTGCACCCCCCCCCCCCGCCGGGTCTGGAGGCCGCACAGCAGCGGAGTCTTTCCAGAAGGTCTGCACGGCTCAGGTGAAGAGGTGAAGCAGGTTTCCGACCGCACACCCAGGGACCTGGCGTTCCCCGGGGACAGCCCGCGAGTCACGGGGTGGGAGGGCACAAAGCAAAGGCGGCAGCAGGTGGCGGGTGCAGCCAGGTCGGGCAGGGCCTTCTCGCGGGTCCTGGGGGGCAGCTTGTGACGAGCTGATAGTTTGCTGCAGATCCTCCCGCGGGGGCGACTGGGCCAGCCCTGGGCCTGCCGCCCCCCCCGCCCCGGCTCTGACCCCACGCCGCTCTCGGGCGCCGTCCTGAGGCCCCGCGGCCCCCGCTGCTGGAACAGAGCGTCCTTGTCTCTGTCCCCAGCACTGGGCCACAGGGAAGCGGCCCGGGGAGGCCCCGGCTGCGCTCTGGGAGGGGGCCTGAGAGCGGCCCGGGGAGGATCTGGGGGTGATGGTGGAGCCGTTTGGTTGCCCAGACCCTGCTGGTGTCTCTGACCCTGGGCATCGGTCACAGCCCGCAGAGCTCAGGGGCCAGGTCCCCGGAGATCCCCTGACCTGGGGTCCTGCTGTTGGCCAGTCAGGGTCCCGAGCCCTCACTGTGTGACCCCGACCACCTCCTGGAAGGAGAATTAAGGCAAACAGGTAACATCCATCAGGCCTCCAGGCCTCAGCGGAGGTTCTGGAGATGAGATTGTCCTTGGGAAATCAGAGAATTGGGTCCTGGTTTAGGCGCCCAGTAGGTGCTCATGCTCCTGATGCGCTGGGCCCCCATCTGGGAGGAACGCTGCTCTCAGCTGGATTCCTGTATTTGCCCAGATTGAGGGGAAATCTGCATGACGTAGAATGAACCTTTTCTTTTTTTAAGATTTTATTTACTTATTCATGAGACACAGAGACAGAGAGAAAGGCAGAGACCCAGGCAGAGGAAGGAGCAGGCTCCATGCAGGGACCCCGATGCAGGACTCGATCCCAGGACCCTGGGGTCACGCCCTGGGCCGCTGAGCCACCAGGGATCCCAGAATTAACCATTTTAAGTGAACAATTCAGTGGCATTTGTTACATTGAGTGTATTGTGCAACCATCCCTTTATTTAGTTCTGGAACATTCCATCGCCCCCTCCCTGTGCGTGGACGAGCCCGTCCTGCACGTGTCACACACGTGGACTCACACCTGTCGGGCCTCCTGTGTCCGGTTCCCTCCCTGAGCATCGTGGGCTTGGGGTCCGTCCCTGGGGTGGTGCATGGGGGCCTCGTCCCCGTTGGCGGCCCAGGGACTCTCCTGCGTGTGGGGGACACGTCGTGTGCGTCCGTCCAGCTGCAGGTGAGCGCCGGGCGTTTGCACCCTCTGGACGGGGGCAGCGCCGTGCCCGACCCAGGAGCGGCTGTTTTGTGTCCTGCTGCCCTGCTGTCTTCCCACCGACGACGGGCTCCCCTCCTGCGGACGCAGCGCAGCCTGGGTCAGGCCCAGGCCCTCCTGCGGGGACCGTCAGGGCGTCCCCCGCACACGTCAGACCGCACGGTGTGTTTTCATCACTGCAGAGCCTGGTGCCCCGGGGGCGAAACTGGGAAAGTTGGACAAGTTTGGGCAGCCTCGTGCTGAGTTGCCGCCTTGGACTCCGTGGGCCGGAAAAACCTGCCCAGGCCGCGTGCTGCGGCCCATCCTGAGTCCGAGGCTCGGGTCCCCAGGCCGGGGAGCCAGGGCCTGTGGCTGCTCATCGGTAGCTGCCCCTGGTGGCTTCTTTCCAGTGTCTCCTGCCTGGAGTAGGGGGGAAATGGAAGGGAGGGGAGGGGAGGACAGGAGCAGGGAGGGGGGGAAGGAGGGGAGGGGGACGGAGAGGGAGGATGCTGGGAGGAGGGAGGAGGGGAGCAGAAGGGGAGGGAAGGTGGGAAGGGAGGGCGGTGCTGGGTGCCCCCTCCCTGCCGGCCTGCAGGAGCCCAGGCTGCCTCTCTCACCCCACCCCTGTCCCTGGAGGCTGAGGCTCAGAGTCAGGGTCACTGACTCACTCTCAGGGGCGGTGGGGTCTGAACAACCTGTGTCTGCCCCGGGCTTGGCCCTTCGGTGACTGTCCAGGCTCAGCAGGGGGTCTGCAGGGCCAGGGCCTCCTCTGGGCCATGCGGTGACGGTGGCTCCGTGTCCGTGACATTCATGCAAACCCACAGGGCGTGCAGCAGCGACAGTGAGCCCTGGTCACCTGCAGGCTGTGGTTGGTAATGTCCTATGTCGGTTGACCCAGGCCCCGAGGAGGACAGACACCCTGGGAGGGAACAGGGAGGGGGGGAGCTCTCTGCAGCTCCTGCTCCAGGTTCCTGTGTCCCTAGAAATGTGCTCAAAAGATGATGTCTGGGGGCCGCCTTGGGCTCCGTCACTGCAGCGCCTGACCCTTGATCTCGGGGCCGTGGGCTCGAGCCCCGTGTTGGGGGTAGGGATTAAAATACTAAAATCTTTTTAAAAAATAAAGTCTAGGGCAGCCCAGATGGCTCGGCGGTTTGGTGCCACCTTCAGCCCGGGGCCTGGTCCTGGAGACCCGGGATCGAGTCCCCCATGGGGCTCCCTGCATGGAGCCTGCTTCTCCCTCTGCCTGTGTCTCTGCCTCTCTCTCTCTCTGTGTCTTTCATAAGTAAATAAAATATTTAAAAAAAATAAATAAAGTCTATTTTTATAAAAGGGGGTACTGAGAAGCAGGGCTCTCCTTTTTTATTTTTTTTTTATAATTTTATTTTTTTATTTTATGATAGTCACAGAGAGAGAGAGAGGCAGAGACACAGGCAGAGGGAGAAGCAGGCTCCATGCACCGGGAGCCCGACGTGGGATTCGATCCCGGGTCTCCAGGATCGCGGAGAAGCAGGGCTCTCCTAAGGCTCAGTCTGGATGTGGCACCTGATTAGGAGAGGGCAGAAGGACACCCGGCGGGAGGTCGGGGGAGCGTGTGCCCTCGGCTCGGGTCCTGATCTCCAGGCCCGGGGTCCAGCCCGCGGCGGGCTCCTCGCTCAGTGCGGAGGGGCCTGCGTCTCCCTCTGCCCCCCCCCCCGCCCCGTGCTCTCTCGTGCGCTCTCTCTCAAATTAATAAAATATTTTTAAAATGGGCAGAAGAATGAAGAGACGTTTGTCACATGGTGGCCACAGACGCGTGGAAGGATGCTCCGCGTCCCTCGGTGGCAGGCAGCGCGGGTCAGAGCCACGGGCGGCCACCTCCCACCTGCAAGAGCCGGGACGCAGGTGGCGGCCACCGGAGGGCGTGTAGGCCGGGCTGCCGGGCACATGGCGGGGGCGCCTCAACCAGGTGGCCCAGGCGCCCCTTGGCCTGGCAAGGGCACTGCCGGCCTCACCCCAAAGGACACGGGGACCCGAGTGGCAGCCGCCCGTGGAGGAGCCTCGGCGCCCTGCGACCTCGCTGGACAAAGACGTGGCCCGTGGCCACGGTGGGTATGGCTCAGCCTCCTGCAGGGAGGAAGGCTCCTGTGGGCAGGCGGGGCCCGGGGCACGACGCTGGGGGGCAACAGAGAAAGGGCAGCACCACACGGTCCCTGCAGGCTGAGCAGATGGGACAAGTCGGGCTCAGGAGGGAAGGAGGGGAAACCAAACAGGGTGAGACCAGCCACGGAGACAAACCCTAAGAGGCTCTCGGTCAGAGGAAACAGCTTGCGGGTCTCCGGGGTCGGGGCCGGGGGGGGGGGGGGAAGCCGCCCGGACCCCAGGACCCCGGATCAAGACCTGAGCTGAAGGCAGACGCTTCACCAACAGAGCCCCCAGGTGCCCCGACAATACACTCTCTTTAAAAGATTTTATTTTTGAGTCATCTCTACAGCCGACCCGGGGCTTGAGCTCACGACGCTGAGATGAGGAGTCGCGACTCCCCCGCCGGGCACCCCAAGACGTGCTTCTCAGTTATGTACAAAAAAATCGGGATCCCTGGGTGGCGCAGCGGTTTGGCGCCTGCCTTTGGCCCAGGGCGCGATCCTGGAGACCCGGGATCGAATCCCACGTCGGGCTCCCGGTGCATGGAGCCTGCTTCTCCCTCTGCCTGTGTCTCTGCCTCTCTCTCTCTGTGTGTGTGTGTGACTATCATAAATAAAAAAAAAATTAAAAAAAAAATAAATAGCACAAGCCAGTGGCCTCTAGTGCATTTATCCATCACCGCTCTTAGCTTCAGAACATCTCATCTCCCCAAAAAGCAACCCGGACCCGTCAGCCCCTCCCCGTGCGTGGACGAGCCCGTCCTGCACGTGTCACACGCGTGGGCTCACGCCCCGTGGGGCCTGCTGTGTCCGGTTCCCTCCCCGAGCGTCGGGGGCTCGGGGTCCGTCCCCGGGGCGGGTGGGGGCCTCGCTCCTGCCGGCGGCCGGGGACGTGCCCGTGCGCTGTCCGTTGCCGGACACTCGGTCCGTTTCCACCTCCGTCGCGGCTGTGAGCAGCCAGTGCAGGTGATCTCGCGGCTGCCCGCTTCCTGGGGGCACGTGCAAGACCCCGAACAGTCCACGTGCCGGGGAGGCTGGGAGCCAGCGCCTGCCGTGCCCACCCTGGCACCTGCCAGCCCCGCGACCCCAGGGCAGGAGCCGGTCCTGGGGCCCCTGGGGGTGGCCAGGCTCGCATTCCGCGCCGTGTGGTCACACAAATGACTGGCGAGCCGGTGTGCACGGGACGTAAACAGGGGCCTCCCCGTCCCCATCCTTTTCCGTGCAACTTGGTGGGAAATGAGGTCTTGGGCCTTCAAACCGGGGGCTTGGTGCGGCGCCTGCAGCTCTGCAGGGGGGCCGGGCTGCGCCCCAGGAGCACCCCTGACGGCGGGAGCGGCTTTGGGCAACCTTCACGTCCCCCCCACCCCCGCACCGTGGATGCAGCCAAGCTCACTTCCCCTGCCCTCCGCGTGGAAAACCCGCCGCCACGGTTGGCAGGCCGGCGCCCCATGACTCATACGTTAGCTTCCTCGCCTGTAAGATTTATTTCTAATCAAAACATGCGATATTTTATTCTGAACAACTTGGTTCGTCCAAATAAGCCTTTAGGAAGGTCAGAGGGCAAAGCGCCGGTTAGGAGAGGCTCGCGGTGCGACATCCCACGAAGGGCTCCTGGACCCGCGGTCCCTAAAGTGGGCAAACTCACAGGGTCGGAGACAAACACGCATTACCTGGGGCTGAGGAGGGCGATGGGTGCCTGCCAACGGGGACGCCGTTTCTCCTGGGGCCCGGGTGTTCTGGGGTCGATGAGGTGACGTTTGCTCAACCTGGTGAGTGTCCAAGACGCCCCCAGACCGTACACGTCAGGGTGGGGAGCGCTCAGTTTGAATTTTACAGTTCCTTAAAGTAGGGGCCGTGAACGTGGCTGCCAGCGGCATCGGCGGGCGGCTGGGTGGCCCTGCCCCAGGGCTGGCGGGTGTCTGGGGCCCCTGGACAGTCGGCACCGCCGCCCCACGATTGCCCCCTGCCCCCCAGGGAGGTGCACAGCGGCCCAGCTGAGATCCAGACTCCACGGGGTTGAGGGGGGCGCTGAAGGGGCACTTGTGGTGGAGCCACCTGGCAAGGGTGCGGCAGGTGCAAAGGCCCCGGGGTTGGCCGGGCTCTGCCTGGTTGGAGGGGTAACAGGGAGGGGGAGAGGGAGGGGAGGGAGAGGGGGAGGGGGTTCTAGTGCGAAGGAGAGATAGTGGGGGCTGGTGGGGGGCCTGGCAGGAGCCCCTGGAGCCCCCCCGCCCCCCCTTCTGAGCCCCTCCCCCCGTCCCCCAACCCTCTGCAGTCTGCACATGACCGAGACCCTCATCGGACCCCAAGCAGGAACAGGGTTCACGGAGGCGGGACGGGAAACAAAACTACACGTTCCATTGGGAGTCTGGAAGAAAGTCACACCCGTACACCTAATACCGCGAGCGCTAACACGCCTATTTTTCAATTTGGGGGACTTTTTTTTTTTTTAGTTTATGATAGTCACAGAGAGAGAGAGAGACAGGCAGAGACACAGGCAGAGGGAGAAGCAGGCTCCATGCACGGGAGCCCGACGTGGGATTCGATCCGGGGTCTCCAGGATCACGCCCTGGGCCAAAGGCAGGCGCCAAACCGCTGCGCCACCCGGGATCCCCGGACTTTTTTTTTTTTTTTTTTTTTAATGACCTCAATGTTCTAGGAAAAAAATCCACGGAAAGGTTTTTGAATACAGAGAAACGTGTATAAAGGGCATGTTTTCCTCTGAAACACCCTGGTAAGGGCCCCTCCGTCCGCCACCCTCCCCTCTTGGGTGTCTGCATCCGCCCAGGGGCATTTTGTGGGGCTGGGACGCCTTAACCCCCTTAACCCCGGCTGGGCCCTCGGGGGCTGGCCTCCAGCGGCTCCTCTCGGGTTGGTCGTAGGTCGGAGGAGCCGGACCTTGCAAGGGGCCGTAGGCCAGGTTCTCCCGGCGGGTGAGCGGCTGCAGCGCTGTCTGTGTTTGCCGCCCTCTGGTGGCAGCGTGCACGAGCTCCCTCTGCTTCAAACCAGGAAGTCGTGTGCAACTCCCGGGTCGTCCGGTGGGGGGATTCGTGTATTTACTTGGTCAGTAGCAACAAGAGCTGAGAGCCGAGGTTTTTCTCAGCATTGATCGCCCGCCAGGTGCCTGGTAACCCCCACCCCGGGCTGAGAGAAGACAGGCGCGGCGCGGGTGATCCCTCAGGGTTTCGTGGCAGAGTGGGGACTTGATCCCCCGGCTGTCAGCAGTGAAGGGAACCCCAGATACCAGCTGAGGGGTTGGTATCAACGGGTTGGGTCCCAGAACCAGCTGAGCCTGAAGCCGGCCCTACTTTGGCTTGTTAGTTATACAAAGCTGTGAATTCCTGTTTTGTCAAAGCCTCTGCGTTGAGTCGGCTTCAGTCTGTTTTTCTTGTGACCAGAGAGACCCTCGGCCGCCGGCGCAGCCCTCGCCGAGCAGCCGTGTGACCCTCGTGAGTCCCTTCGTGGCCCGGGGGTGTCGGCGCGATTAGATGAGATACTGGCCTCCGCGAAGCTTAGATGTCAGAGATGAGGACCCCCCCCACCCAGTGCAGAAGGCTCCGGAGGCGGGCGTTGTTCCCGTCACTCGGAACGTTCCTCCCGTGGGAGGAAGCTTCCCGCAGTGACCCGGTCGTCGAGTGTCTTCACACGGCCTAGCCGGGGGCCTCCCGCACACGCACGCACACGGTCACGGGCCGACGTCGGTCTTCCCGGGTGATCCCGTCGGGCCCTGCTTGCACCCAGGCGTCCCGCTGCTGGAACAGGGCGCCGTGGCGATCGGACGGCCAGGACGCGGGCCCCGCTTGCTCCCTGCTGGGACGTCCCGCGGGCGCCGGAAACCCCAGGGTCCGCCCGCGACACGGACCCGCACGCTGAGGAGCAGAAAGCCCGAGGCTGCCCACTCGGCGTGGCCTCACTTGAAGCAACGAGTCACGCCCGCAAGAGCTTCCACGGAAGGTCACAGGCTGAGGTTCGGGGTGGACGTGAATGTGGGGGCCCCTGTTGAACCCGTGACAGCAGCCACCCTGCAGGCGGGGAGCAGGCAGCCCGCCTGTGGCCTCCGTTCATCTGGGCTTTGCTGTGAGTTGGGCTCCGTCTCCGCAGGCTCAGGGTGTGGGCCAGGGCCCAGCGGGGCTCCGGCTCCGTAAAACCCGATCCACCCTGGCCAGGGAACAGCGAATTCTTGAAACCAGCCAGAATTCCAGGTTTTTTGTTTTTTGTTTTTTTAGATTTTATTTATTTATTCATGAGAAACGGGGTGGGGGGGTGCAGAGACACAGGCAGAGGGAGAAGCAGGCTCCACGCAGGAAGCCCTATGTGGGACTCGATCCCGGGTCTCTAGGATCACACCTGGGCCAAAGGCAGGCGCTAAACTGCTGAGCCACCTGGGCTGCCCCAAAATCCCAGGCTTTAATAAAAAAACGTCCTGGGCAGCCCCAGTGGCGCAGCGGTTTAGTGCTGCGTGCAGCCTGGGGCGTGATCCTGGAGACCCGGGATCGAGTCCCACATCGGGCTCCCTGCGTGGAGCCTGTTTCTCCCTCTGCCTGGGTCTCTGCCTCTCTCTGTGTCTCTCATGAATAAATAAATAAAATCTTTAGAAAAAGGAAAAAGGTCCTGATTTTTAAATTTGGCAAATTAGCTGAGTCTCCTAAAAATGTAAAATCCCGACGGCCAAGTAAGACAAGTCTGACTTCTGAACTCCCCCCTCGGGCCACAGTTCGAGACCCCAACGGCGAGGCATTCCTCTTCACCGCATCTTCCCATAGATCCCTTTCTGATGGGGAAACTGAGACTCGGGCGGGAACAAGGGCTGGCTGACTTCTGGGAACCCAAAGTCTCTGCTGGCAGAGCCCGCGCCCCGGAACCCACCTTTGGCTTCCCGAAGAGGACCAGAATTCTAGGTGGACCCCAGATTCCTGCCCCCCGGCCCCTGGCTCCCATGACATACTGGGAGCTCCCGAGTGTGGGCAGGATTTGGTAAAGTTGGGGCGGGGGCTTTTCAGATGTGGTCAAGGTGCCCCAGTCGGTCACCTTGGAGTTAATGGAGAGGGAGACCATGCTGGGCGGGCCCGACCTGGTCCCGAGTGACACGAACAGCCGCAGGGGTTGGCAAGCGCCTGTGGGGGCCGGTCCTGTAGGAGTCAGACAATAATCCCAGCAACACCTGCAGGGTCTTGGAAGGGGCCTTGCCCGGTGGCGCCCTGGGCTGCGCGGGTGGCCGGGCTGCACTGCTCGCAGCCTCGGGGGTGCGGGGGCCCCAGGCCGGGCACAGGTGCCCTTATGAGCCGCTACGTGTGTGCTAATCTGTTACTAATTAACGATCAATCTGCAAACGGCCCTTTTCTGTTTTTTTTTTACGTCAGTCACGCATTTCCGGGCGAGCCCCCCCCCCCAGCTCCTGCCGTTAGTGACCCCCCTTGCCCGCTGCCGCACCCCCAGCTCGGACGGCAGGTGGGCCTCCCTGTGATCTCTGCCCGCTCATGGGCTTCACTTAACCATTGGAGCTTTGGACGTTGGTCCAGTAGGGTCGCCTGTTTCTCGGGAGGGTCCTGGCGCCCCTCATCCCGGTGAGAAGGGCTCCCTTGATCCCGGGGCGTGCAGGTCACCTCCCGGTTTCTCCCGCTCACGCTGAGCTGCAGGTGCCTCCGGGTCGGAGGGTGGAGGACAGCGCAGGGTCACGTCCCCGCCGAGGCAGGCGGGCAGGGGGGCCAGGGAGTCGGGGGGCAGCCCCCCCGTCCCCTCTGTGCTGACTCCGGGCAGGGGTGCTGCTGGCGTGGCCGCAGGGACCCGAGCTCCCGCTGCTCCCAGGGCCCCCACAGGTTTCCCGGCGCCCAGTGCGTCCTGCCTCCCAGAGCTGCACGTGGTCCTGCGGGAGGGAGGCGCTCAGAGGCCGCCTGGAGGAGGCAGGGCCCGTCGCCTCTAGGCCCCAGAGAGAACGCTCCTCCCTCCTGGACCGTCCCACGCAGGAAGGGACCCGCGCACATGGGGCCTCACCCCACTCCCCGCTCACCCCCAGAGCCCGCCCTGAGGTCGCCCGCTGTCCTCCCTCCTTTGGGGTCTACCCCCCAAAACGCGTTTAGCCCCTCGAGTGCGGACCTTTGGGGACGTGGAGACCTGGCAGGAGGACACGACGCCCTCCCCATCCTGAGGGCAGGGCCGCGTTACAGGAATGACCCCGTGTGAACCACAGACAGGACGTCCCGCTGCCTCGCTGCTGCGGGGGGACCTCACCCCCAGAGCGAGCAAGACTCTGGGACACACTGAACCCATTAGGGTACTTGTGGTTTCCTTAAACCGGCAAATTGTAGTCCCCTCCGGGGGGTTCCCAAGGGCCTTGGCCTGCTTTCTAGAGAGTGAAGACTTTCTCTTTCACTTTTAAAAAATCTTGGTAAAATACATATGATACAAATTTTACCAGTTTAGCCCTCTCTAAGCTCACACTTCAGGGCACAGAGCACACTCATCCCGCCGCGCACCCAACCCCCACCATCTCCAGAGCCTTCCATCTCCCCACACGGAGACCCCGTCCCCAGGAAGCACTGACCCCCCTACCCCCCCTGGCTCCCACCTCCTCTCTGTCTCTGTGGACGGGTCTCCTCTGGGGACCTCCTGGGAGTGGGGTCCTGTGGGAGGCGTCCTGGGTCCGGGTCCCCTCCCTGAGCCCGGCGTCCTCGGGGTCTGTTCATGCAGGGGAAGGTGTCGAGGTCCCTTCCTCCCCGAGGCCGGGTCGTATCCCGGGTGTGGACAGACCTCACCGTGTGTGTACCCACGCCCCTGGATGGACACCTGGTGCTGCCCCTCCTGCTGAGCATCACTTGAGGTGCTGTGACCAGTGGGGGGGCGGTCCCTGATCCCAGTTCCCTTGGGCACAGACCCAGGAGTGGAATCACTGGGTCACATGGTTGTTCTGTGTTTAACTTCGTGCGGAACTGCTGTTGTTGCATAAAGGTCAGTGAGTTGGAGGGATCCCTGGGTGGCGCAGCGGTTTAGCGCCTGCCTTTAGCCCAGGGCGCGATCCTGGAGACCCAGGATCGAATCCCACGTCGGGCTCCCGGTGCATGGAGCCTGCTTCTCCCTCTGCCTGTGTCTCTGCCTCTCTCTCTCTCTCTCTCTCTCTCTCTCTCTCTCTCTCTCTATCATAAAAAAAAAAAAAAGGTCAGTGAGTTGGGCTGCACTGTGCTCCTGTGACTGCGTCGTCTGCCCCCATCCACATTCAGGGACCCCCACTGGTGGCCCTGGTCACCCTGGCAGGGGCAGGGCAGGAGGGACACATGCCTGTCTTCCCCCACCCGATGGCCCAGGGGTGTAGGAAACACTTGGCTCCTGGCTGGGGGAGCAGGACATGTCTCTCCTGCTTGGGCACCACCGTGGGGTCGGGGCTGGCGGGCACCCGGCATCTGGAACCCACACGGCACCTCAAATGGCACGTCCCCAGGGGCTGCGGACCTCTGCCCTAAGTGGTTCCCATGCCCCCAGATGAGCCCCCTGCGGACACACGGGGCACATGACACAGCCCGACAGGCGGCAGAGGGACTGGCATGGAGCTGGGAGTATGGTGGGCGGGTGTCGCGTGGCCCCCACCATAGGTGCCTGGGACCCCGGCCTGGGTGATGGGGTGTGCGGGCCCTGTGGATGTGACTGCCGGCCCTTTCCCCCAGGCAACAGGGCCGGACCGCAAGGCCCCCTTTCAGCCTCCAGCGTGGGATCCCTGTGGCACCCTCAGGCACGAGCAGAGCTCGGGGACAGAGGAGAGTGTGGGGGGCAGACCCAGAGGGAGGCGCGCTGGGAGGGGACATCACTGTGTCTCGGGGAAGCTTCGCGGGTCACAGTGCTGGGGGCGTCCTGGGCTCCGACCCCGAGACCACAAGGGCTGGTCCCACCATGGGACGGTCTCAATCCAGGGACTGCCCCCAGGGGATGTGGCCTGTCTGCAAAGAAGCGTGGCCGGGCTGGGGGTGGGGGAGTTACAGGGGAGCCCAGGCTTCTGCACCTCGGCTGGGTGCCTTGTACGTAGCCTGTGCAACAGTCCCAGGTGGCCCTGAGCAGACATGAGGGCAGGGTAATTGAGGAGACTTGTGTGGCGGGCGGAATAACGGCCCCAAAGACGTCCCTGTCCTGGTGCCTGGAGCTGGGATGTGTCGCCTCCCACGGCAGAGGGGACCTGGGTCAAGGCCCCGAGGTGGGGTGACCCTGGGGCCCTGGGTATCCTCCCAAGAGGGAGGCAGGGGGGAGCCCCAGAAACGGGCAGACCCTGTGCTGCTGGTGGTGAGGACAGAGGAGGGGCTGCAGGCCGGGGAGCGGGCGCCTCTGGAAGGTGGGGGGGCAGGAGGGGGTCTCCCTGGGGCCCCGGGGGGAGACCAGCTCTGTCCACGCCTGGTTTTTAGGACTTCTGAGCCCAGAACCATGAGAGCATTGGTGTGAGTGGTGGGTCAGTGCGGCCCGGAGCCTCGCACATCCTGAGCCGGTGGACGGAGGGACAAGCCCCTCGGCACCAGTGGGCTGACATGCTGGAGGCGGTGGGGGGGCCCCTGGCATTCATCGCAGGGCTGGTTACGGAGCTGGGACCCGGCTGTGGGAATCCCAGGAGCTGACTTTGTCCAGGGAGGGGCGCCCTGCAAGGCCCAGGCTCTCCCTGTGGACACAGACCTTGCCGCCCCCCTCAGACTGCCCTGCCTCCTCCGGCGGCCTGTCTCTTTTGCCTTGAGGTAGCCCCCCTGCAGTGGCCCTGTTCTGGGGGCCCACAGCTCTGCCCTCCCCAACACGGCCCTGTGGGGGGGCAGCTCCGCCCGCGGAGCCCCCTCCCCGCCCCCGGGCCCATAGCTCCGCCCCGGGGCCCATAGCCCCGCCCATGGAGCACATAGCCCCGCCCCCGGGCCCATAGCTCCGCCCTCAGAGCTCCAGCCCCGCCCCCGGGCCCATAGCCCCGCCTACGGAGCCCCAGCCCCGCCCCCGGGCCCATAGCTCCGCCCGCGGAGCCCCCGCCCCGCCCCCGGGCCCATAGCCCCGCCCCCGGGCCCATAGCCCCGCCCATGGAGCACATAGCTCCGCCCCCGGAGCTCCAGCCCCGCCCCCGGGCCCATAGCTCCGCCCTCGGAGCTCCAGCCCCGCCCCCGGGCCCATAGCCCCGCCCATGGAGCCCATAGCCCCGCCCCCGGGGCCCCAGTGGGGTCCTCAGAGCCCACCGCGCTGCCCCCCGCCCCCGCCCCGCTATTTCAGGCCTCCCGCCCCCCGCCCGCGTAGGGACCCCTCAACACGGATTTCTAGAAAGCTGCGTCGGTTTTCCCCGCAGCAGCTGCGGAGGGGGCAGCGGGAGGGCCTGGGGCGGAGGCGCTGAGTTAGAGCCGAGCGCCCCCGGGGGCCGTCGGGTCACCACCCGGGGCACAGGCGCCCTGGGGACCCCCGGGCCACACCGGGGCGGTGGCAGAGCCAGGATGGAGCCCAGGATGACCGACTCCCGGCGAGCCCGACTAATGACCCCTCCTCCCGCCGACACCAGGAGGGGCCAAGGCTGATGCCCTGGGGGGCACACGGGGACCCCCGGCCTCACCCACTGGGCGAGCCCTGATGCTGGCAGCCCCGGGGTGGGCAGAGGCATGAACACGGGGGGGCAGGCGGGGCGCCCAGCCTCTCCCGCTCCGCGTCTGGGTGGGCAGGTCGCGCGGCCGGTGGACTGCAGCGGACAGGCCCTCTCTGCCCCTTGCCCGCCAGGTGCCTGGGGTCGGGGTTTGGAGTGGGCACCCCCCGGGCCTGCGGCTCCTCCAGGGGCAGCCCTCCGCCCTCAGACCAGCAGGGGCGTCCTGTCCCAGGGCGGGGGCGCGGGGACCTGCCTCCTCCCTCTCTGACCTGAGAGTTTGGGCAGAGCCTTAGAAGCAGAATCGACACGGGTCTCGTTTGTCCCCAGTTTTAGCCACAGAAAGCAGAACAACGTCTCCAGGAAGATGAAAACAGAAGAGAACCCCCTCCCACCCGAACGCGCATCTGCCCCCGGAGCGGCGCCCGGACCCGGGTCGTCGGGTCCTGGAGTCTCACGGGGCCTCCTTCCCACGGGGCAGGGGGGACCGGCCACCGTCTCCGCTCCTGCGGCGCCGCAGGGCGGGGGTGACGGCGCCCCACCCGCCGGCTCAGTCCTTGCTGAAGATGCCCGCTTCCCAGCGCTGTGCCATGGCGTTCTTGTGGTGGGTCACCCGCGTGGCTTCCAGGACCTGCGGGAGGAGGCGCGGGGTCCCCATCAGGGTCCCAACTCCCAGGAGGGATCTAGAACATGGGCAGCTCAGGCCTTTCCCCTCCCCTATTTCAGACCCTCTACCTCTGGTAATAGCACCAAGCGACGGGCTAAGCCACACTGAGACCCACAGCAGGCCAAGTGCCAGAGCCGGACATTTCGGACTCTGTTCAAAAAACGTTCCCTCCGCAAACCCGGGGAAGTGGCTGGCTATGTGCACGCTCAGACGAACCCCTCTTTCTGTCTGTCCCAAACCTTCACTGTGTGGTCAAGAGGCGGCAGGTAGACCTCACTCACGGCCCCGAAAGCAGGTCCCCGCAAAGTCCGCCCCCGGCAGGCAGTAAGGGTCCGAGTCCCCATGCCCAGAAGGGCCGTGGTGGCCCCGACGCGGGGGCAGGGGGCACAGCGGGTGGGGGAACCGGTGGCTGGTCCCCAGGGGCAGCACTCACCTCCGAGTCGATGCGGTCTAGGGAGTTGATGCTGGCGTACTGCAGGAGGGAACGAGCGTCAGCCCCACCCCAGAGCCCGCGGGGCCACCACCGACCCCCCAGGTGTCCCCTGACTGGTCCGAGCTCAAAGCTGTGCACCCCATGTCCCCCCCGGGGCTCCCCTCCATCACGGCCTGATGCCCCCGGAGAACCGTGTTCTCTCTGCAAACGTCTGGCCACGCCAGGCCCTCGCCCAGGCTCACAGAGGCCGTGCTCTTGTCACGCGCACTTGACCGAGGGTCAGCGGGGACAAGTCCTTGCTGGGACCGTGGGACTTGCCCCACGTCACACACCCGCAAGGGGCAGGACTGGGATTTGGGCCTGGAACCGCTGGACGGGCGCTGAGGCTGCAGCTGCTGTGATTCTGCACAGGTCATGGGGCCCCACGACCCCACCGGGCAGGGGGGGACATGGCCCCCTGGTCACAGACTGGGGCATGTGGAGTCGGGTCGCCGCTCGGGAGCACAGAGCGTGTGTGACCAGACCCGGCTCTCGGGTCCCACGGACGCAGTGCGTCAGCGCCCCGTGCGCGGCACACACGGACGATGTGCGGCGACGACAGCCGTGGACACGGGACAACAGCGGGGGGACGTGGCTGACCTGTCCCCGTCCTCCTCCTTCAGACTAATTTGGGGGGCGGCCTCCCGGAGGGGAACTCCACTGAGGTGGCCCTGACAGCAGAAGCCCCGACACGAACAGACACCCGGTTTACCCACTCCGCACTTCCCACATGGGGGAAACTGAGGCACAGCCACTCTCAGGTGCCGGGACTCACCCGCTGCTCCTTCTTCCTCTGCCCAGGAGCAGCCTGGGCAGGGCCTTCCGCCGTCCACACGAGGCCGGAGTGCAGCTGGACGGGGCTGAAGAAGTGGGCCTCGGACACGGAGTAGCGGCCGGTGACGCCTGCGGGCGGGAGGGCGGCGGGGAGTGTCTCAGGTCCCCTGAAGGCAGGAGCCCCTGGCCGGGAAGCGGGGTCAGTACAGGAAACGGCAAACGGACGGACCGACGCCGGACAGAGCAGACGGCTCGCGGGGAACGGATCAGAGGGGCCGGAGCCCCGGTCAGGAGCCGCGCGGACAGAGGGGCCGCCCGGCCATGGATGCAATGTCCCCCCACCCGGAGGACGCGACGCCCGCGGGTATAAGGCAGAAAACCCACAGTCGACACCTCTCCCCAAGATCTCCTGCTCGAGAGTTGGCGACGGGCGGGGGGGGGTGGACGGAATCCCCCGACGCCCCGTCGTCCCGCACCCCCCAACCCCACCGCACCCTAGACCCCACGCCCCGTCGCACCCAGCCGTGCCCCCAGGCCCATCGCGCCCCCTCATCCTAACCCGAGGCCGCGGAGGAGCTCCTGGAGCCCGGCTCCCGGTCCTCATCCTCGGCCGGCGGGGAGAAGACCTCCGGGAACAGCGCGCTCCGCCGCTCGGCCGCCACCTCCCGCTCGCGCCGCAGGACGCTCTCCACCTCCCTGTCCAGCAGCTCCGACGACCCGGACCTCTGCAGCCTCGACGCCAGCGTGGCGCCCCGGTCCCAGCCTCGGGCGGGGGCGGCCTCCAGCGGGGACGCGTCGGGAACCCGGAACCGCAGGGGACTCAGGTGGAAGTACTCCCAGGGGATGACGGCCCCGTGGGCGCGCGGGGGCCCCGAGGGGGGCCTGCTGCTCCTCTGCCTCGCGCCCCAGTGCTCTCCGGAGGGTCCCGAGAGAGGCGTCCGGGCGCGCGCGGCCTCCCCCGCCGGCGCCCCACGGGTCGGGCCTGGCGCCTGCGAGGAGGCCGGGGACGCGGGCGGGGGGCTCCCGGGGCGCAGGTAGGGCGGGGAGGGCTCCGGCGGGGCGCGGCTCACCTTCCCGGGCGCATCCAGGACGGAGTCTGAGCTGCGGGCTCTCCGGAGCCCCAGCTGCGCCCCCGGGGAGGCCGCGCTCCGCCTGCTCTGCAGCCCCTGCCGGTGGGCCTCCTCCCGCTGCGTCTCCTGCGCCAAGTCCCGCTGCACGTAGAGGGACGGGCGCCCTCGCTCGCGCCGGGGGGCGGGGAGGAGGCCCACCCTGGTCAGCAGCGGCCGGCTGGGGACCTGCACCAGCTCCTGCTGGGCGTGGGCCTGCCGCAGCCCCCTACGCTCCCGCAGGTCCGCTTCCCGCTCCTGGGCCAGCCGGATCTCCCGCTCGATGGGGGTCTCCGTGGGGAGCTCTGGGGCCCCCCCTTGGTCTGGGGAGCCGGGGTCACCCGCAGCCCGGGCGCCAGAGGCAGCAGGCGGGCCGCTCTTGATCTTCTCTTCCAGGACCACCTCCCTCTCCTGGGGCTTCGGCGGGACCCCGTACCCGTTGGCCAGGAACAGCCCGCTAGGGGGCCGGGGGGCCTGGCTGGCCCCCGGGGGGGCTCGTGCGGGGGCCGCCCGGGTCGGAGGGTGGAGCGCGCCCCCCGCACTGGCCTGCTCCAGACTCAGGAACTGCTGCCTGGCTGCCAGGAAGTCGATCTGCTCCCTGTCCACCGCGTCATCCTCCGGGGGCCCCGACGGGGCTTGGCTGGGGTCCCGGGGGTCCCGCGGGCCGGGGGCGCCATGGAGCGTGGCCACCGTGCTGCTCTTCCGGAGGGCCTGGTCCTGGATGACCGCCCGGCGCTCCCGCTCCAGGTCCCGCGGCCGTCGAGCCTGAGCGTCCCTTGCGTCCCGGCGGAAGGCCGTCACCTCCTCCTCGCCGTCAGCCTTCCTGGAGAGCGTCCACTGCGACGGCCGGCCCGGGAGGGACGCCCCAGTCCTGGCCACGCTCGGCTGGGCCTCTCGGTCAGCGGGCCACGCCGGTGGCCTGTCCTGGCCCCAGCCACTGGCCTCGGGCCCCACATCCAGCACCTCAAACGTGTAGCTGGCGTCTTCATCGGGGGCCAGGCCAGCCAGGCGGGGCGAGTGAGGGATGCTGAAGATGGGGTATCTGGTCACGCGGTCCATGTCCCGGGGGTCTCAGCTTGGCCACGGCTCTGCGGCGGAGACGCTCTGCGCTCGCTGAGGGACGAGGAGGGATCGGGGCCAAGGGGTCAGGGAACAGGAGGCAGCACTCTGGGGAGAGGCACACCTTGCAGTCCCTTCCAGGGCAAAGTCCTGGCCAAAGGGCCTCTGTGGTTGGTGCAGGGGTGAGTAAATGCCCCGTCCGCCAATCAGGGCGCTCTACCCTCTGGCCTCTGTGATTGGCTCAGGGATGGACATGTGACCCAACCTGCCAGAGACCTGAAATCCTGATCCTGAGATTTGGCAATTACCTAGGAAAATCGGACCCTCTGGCCGCTGGGCTTGTTGGGCCGCTGGGATTGTTTGGACTCCTGGATCCAGCCGTACCTGAAGCCCACCCCCGTTCTGACCCACCAGTTTGCCCCATGAGCGACTGACGTTTGCAGGTGTCCCCCCATCTCGGCTCGCAGATGCTGCCCCGCACCTCGCCTCCCCCAGCCCATCCCCAGGCCACCTCCCCGGGCCCCCAGAGCTCGCGCATCTGCCTCCCTCCCGGCGCCCACTCTGAGGTTCCTTTGTGATTTTTTTCCTTCGGGGGGCCTGTCCCTCATGAACAGATGTGAGGTGGGGAGACTGAGACTTAGGGAGAGAGGAGGGGAGGCAGGGACGGGCATCCGGGTTCCCTCCGCGGCACCTGCCCAGGGCACACTGTCCCTTCCCAGTCGGCCCTCCGCCCCCCCCCCCCCCGAGCCATAAAGCCACGACAGGCCGTGGACCTTGTCCTGCTGGGCCCGGAAGGCCCCGGAGCCTCTGGCCACACCTTGATCTGGTGCCCCCCGCCCCGGGGGGGCGGCTGGAGCCCTTCAAGCATCGGGGTTCTGCTGAGCACAGATGCAGGAACCCCCTCCCCCCGCCAAGGTCATGCACCTGCGCTCATAGCTCCGTGGCTCCCGGCCTCCCTGGAGTGCGGCCTTCCTCTGGCCTCCGCGCAGGCCCCCAGGCCTCGCAGCTGTCCCCACCCCAAACCCGACCTCCTCGTCCTCCTCCTGCAGCTCCCTCTGCCTGGAGGACCCCTCTTAGCTGCAGCCCACGGGACACCTCCTCCAGGGAGCCCCCGCCCCGCCACCCCCTGAGGTTGCCCTGGCCTTGGAGCCTGCTGTCTGAGCATCCCGTGCTGCCTGGCCCGGCACCCAAGTTGGGCGTCACCTCTTCACAGCCGGGGAGGGAAGAGTGGCTGTTCCCAGCCCTTGGAGCAGCCCTTGGCCGTGTCCCCACCCCCAGTTCTGTCGGAGTCACTATGACGTCCGCGGCCTGTAGGTCAGCTTGCTTGTAAAAACTGTCATTCTAGGGGAAATGCGGCCCTCCCTGCGCCGGAGGAGTGGCACCGAGCACCGTGAAGTCCATCACGGGAACCGTGTCGCCGCCGCGTGCAGCTGGACGGCTTCTGTGTCAAACCGGAAGCCGTAACTGGAAAAGCGACGGTTAAGAGCAAGCAAGCCGGGGTCCCCCACGGCAGTGCCGCCCCGGAGGTCACGGGCTGGGTGCATCTCTGAGAGGGTCATAGGTCATTGAAGTCTTGTCCTCCCCCCGGTCCGACGCCGTCAGGTCCCCCTCTTCTGGTCTGGTACACAGCACGTACTTAATAAAGACTGAACACGCCGCGGGCTCTGCAAACACTGCTCATTCCGGGCGCCCGGGGCCTGCCCGGCGGGGTCTGTTCAGCCACAGACCAGGCCGCCCCCCCGCCCCGGGCCTCCCCTCGGCCCCCAGGCCCTGGAGGTCCCCCGGGAGGGCAGGCGCCGGAGGGGTGATGCAGGGCTGTTTGCTGATCTCGGAGCCACCCGGGGACACTCACTTGGGGAAAGAAAACCACCTGCCCCAAGGGTGTCGGTGTCCGGGTCGGGCGGGGCACGGGTGGGGCACAGGGGGGGGGCCCAGCTTCGGCTTGGCCATTCCTGCAGGGTGATTCACGGAGGCCCCGGGGCGGGGCTCGGGCTCAAGGCCCCAGGGCCCCACTAGCTCGTGGGCTGGCCTCCGCGTGCACACCTGGAGGTGGAGTCCGCGGCAGTCGGCCCCACCCCAGGGCCTGCCGTGCAGTCGGTGCCCTGTACCTGGTATACAGTGGGTGCCACATAAATGCTAGCCTAGAGGGGGAGGTTGCTGATAGTATCACTATTATTTAAACCCTGGGCTACGCGTGGGTGAGTTGGGAGGATGCTGCCCCCACCGGGGCCCGCGGACGTCGCACAGCTGGTGACAGAGCGCAGGTCCCGAAGCCTGGGCCTCCTCTTCCAGGAAGCGCCCCACCCCGGGGCTCCCGGCCGGCCCCACCCGCGTCACGCCGGTACCGACGGGTCTGGGGTTTATGGCCCGTGCACCTGCTTCCTCCTCAGCACCCAGGAGGGCCCAGGGCTCAGGGAGGGCAAGGTCACACGGCAAGGAGGGCCTCGCTGGGGGCGACGGTCCTCCTGGGGCCCTGCGGGACGGAGCCCCCACTCCCGAGACCCCCGGACTCTCACCAGTCCCCCCAGCCCCTCAGCCGCCCCCCTCCCAGGCGGAGGCTGCCCCACCCACCGCTCCTCCTGTGTGTCCCGAGCAGACCCTGGACCCCGTGGGGGTGTCACGCGCCGCTCAAGGCCTCTGCAAGCACGGCTCTGGCTGGCACTCATAAAGTCTCTCCGGAAGCTCCGGATTTCTCAGAACCAACGAGGGTTCCAATCAGACCCCTCCACTGGAGGCTCAGGGCTCGAGGTTGTGGGATTTGTAGGCTGGAAGCCCAGGGCAGACAGGGAGCCTCTGCTCCCCCAGGTGGGGGTGGGGCAGGAAGGAGAGAGACCCCGCGACCTCAGAGACGCCTGGGGTGCAGAGCAAGGGAGGCCCCCGCCAGTCCTGAAAGCCCAGCTGGGCCGGGGGGAGACGGGGCGGGGAGTGGAGGACCCGCCTCCCTGCACCCTGAGGATGACCCGCAGGTAAGCACATGCCCGAATCGAGCCCCGCCCCACATGGGACCCCGCCGCACCCAACCTTGGTGTCCCCCCCCCCCCCCCCCGCGTCTCCAGCCTCACCTGCTGGCTCCGGGCCCCAGCGGCCTCCAAGCCCGGCTCCGGCTCTGTCCACAGGCACCGAGACTCCTGGCGCCGCCCTGCCCACGGGTTGCCAGGGGAAAGGGCCCTGCCTAGGGGAGGCAGGGGCACCCCCTCCTCCCTGGCCCCACCTCGGCTCGGGAAACAAAGTCCAGAGGCGGAGGGAGAAAGATGATACCCGGGCGGGGCGGAGGGCAGGCACCGTGCCCGCTGTGCCCGCTGCACACTGTCCCTCGGCCCGGGGCCTCCAGCCCCACGGAGCCAGAACTCACCGGAAGCCTCTTTCCAGCTGCGGTCAGGCTCCCCAGCACCCCAGTAACGGGGTGTCCCCACCCAGAGTCACACTGCAGGCCCTGCCGCAGCGCCCCCACCGCCTGGCTCAGCCCACCCTTTGGGGCTACTACCCCAGAGAGCTCCTTTCTGCTGCAGGCCTCGCCTGCGAGTCCCGGTCGGGGGGCTGTTCCGCCGGGCCTGGGTTCAGATCCCACCGAGCCCCTCTGAGCCTGTTCCCTCCTCTGAACGGGGATGTTACAGAGCTGGGAGGACCTCCCGGGCCACTTCCCAACGGGGACGTGACGAGGGCCAGAGAATGTCAGCAGGATGGCAATGCCCAGGCCCCACTGACCGATGGGGGCACCGAGGCTCGCCACGGCCGGGGGTGCGGGCCGGGCACTCTGCCGTCCTGCCTGATTCTGGTCGAAGTGCAGGGAACCCGTCAGGGCTGCAGGAGCCCAGCGACTCTGCAGGGTGGAGCCGTGGCCGGTGGTCAGTCTACACTGAACGGGGCTTGCACCCCATGCTCCGGGGCTCTGTCCTGATGGCCTCTTGGCTGACTGTGGGCCCCTCTGACCCTCGGTCTCTTCTTTCAGCAAATGGTAGGACTGGGATTTGAAGCGGCGTCTCTCCCCCGCCCCCCATCGTATGCACCTCACCCTGTTGCTTATATAGGGAAACTGAGGCCCCCAAAGGCCAGAGACTGGATCACCTGGTAGTGGGGACAACGTCCTGCCCCTGAACTGGGGCAGCCTCCCACTCAGGGTTCATAAGGCCTGCAGTATAGACGGGCGAGCTGAGGCCCCGCGGGGGCAGGTGGCAGCCACTGTGCACCTGCTGGGGGTGGGGGGGTGTCTCTGGGGCTGTGGGTCCAGCAGGGGGCAGCCTCGCAGCCAGAGGGCGGGGCGGGAGGGCAGGTCCTGCCCCCACCAGATGTGCCTTGTCCCCAGGTGCCGTCAGGCGGGCACAGGTGGGGGCTGCACGGACACCCACCCTCGGCCCAGGGGAGCCCCAGAGCGCGGGGCTGCGGACCCACGGGCTCCCCCGGGCCTCCTCCGACGGCCCCGCCGCCCTGGTGCCCCCCCCCCCAGGTGAAAGCCAAGGACGCCAGGGCCTGGGGCTGTTCACACTGTTTATTTGCTTCTCTGGGAAAGTCGAGAACATAAGGGCCTTGTCACACGTCAGAAGCGGAGGGGCACTTGAGCGGAGCCTCACAGCTCGAGGACTCGAGGAGGAAGAGGGGGTCCCACGGCCACGGCCCAGGGTCACCTCAGACACGGCCTCTCCCCCTGCCACTGAGGGGCAGAGCGGAGTTGGGACCCAGGCTGCGGCAGCGCTGGCCCCTGCACCTGCCCCGGCACCGGGCGGGAGGCCCCGGAGGGTGTGGGAGCGTGTGCACACGTGTGCCTCTGGGGGCGAGTGGCTGCGTCCAGGGAGCCGTGCGTGCACATCCGGGTGGCGGCCGCCCCCAGGAGCGGGACCCGCACCCCTCTCCCTCCCGGGCGGGGGGACAGGCTCACGTCGGGCGGGGCGGCGGATGGGGTCTCCCGCGGAGGAAGCCCCCGGCCCGGGCTGCGTGCGCCCCGCCGCTGCCAGAAACGTGCCAAGCCCAGTGGAGCTGGCAGTGGCCTGATCTCTGGGGTACGGTTGGAGGGACCCAGCACCCTGGTCCCAGCAGGTCCTGGGCAGTCCCCCAGGGTCCCCAAATTAGCACCAGGAGGAAGGAGGGCCCAGTGGGAGTCGGAGCTCAGGGCTAGAAGCGGCTCATGAGGCCCCGCCTTGTGCAAGGGGCGGCTCGCAGAGGCCACCGGCTGCAGGAGACAGGGCGGGGGTCTGAGACCCCTCCCGGGCGGGGCGGGGGGTACCCCGGGGCTCTCCCTTCCCGGGCTCCAGCATCCCCTGGCCACGGCCAGAGACGGCGTGGGGGGCGCGGCACGTCGGGCTGGGGGCGCCCAGAGGGGCCCTGCTCCCTCCCCAGACCTTGAGCCTGACCTCCGACCAAGACTCCCCCAAGGGGCACGGCCTCACCCCGAGTGTCCAGGATTCGGACGCTGGAGTTTGGCCGGGAACCCCCGTCCCAGGGGCTAAGCGGGGACAGAGCAGCCTCCCGGGGGCCCTCGGCTCCCCGGGTCCCTCTGCGGCAGGATGTCCCCTCAGGGACCTCAGTGGAGGTGGCAGGAAGGCACAGGCAGGAGGCCCAGAGGGTGGCTGGCCGGCCTGGGGCGGCCTCGAGGCCCCCGGCACCCCGGCCAGGACCGCCGTGGGTGACGGCCGCATCTGCGGAGCTGCCGTGACGTGGGGGGTGCCCTTCATTCCGGAAAAAGTGGGTCTGTCCATGTCTGTCTCCTACCAGGCGTAGGTGCACGGCTCAGTGGTTGGGGCGTCGGGGGTGGTGATGGGGCGGGGGACCCCTGTCCCTCTCTTTCCAATGAAAGAAAACTCAGAAGGAACATGTGACAACCGCGTGTCCTGGGGCCCGTGAGTGTGGGTGGAGGGTGGGCAGGCCGGGGCCGGGCTGGTGGGTGACTGGTGTGGAGGGTGGGGCCGGGGGCTGGGGACCGGGCGGCTCACATGATGGAGCAGCATTTACAGCGCTGCTTCTTCGTGTCGAGGTCCTGGGGGTCGCTGGCCGGGGCCTCGGGCCCCACCTGGTTCTCTTCCCTGGAGCCCGCGGTCGGGGGGGGCTCTGCGGCGCTGCCGTTGGGGGGCGCGGGCTCCTTGGGCTCCGCGGCATCCTCGATGACCACCAGCTCCGCCGTGATGGTGTCCTGCAGCCCCAGCACCTTCTGGCTCTCGGCCTCGTCCTCCACGTTCTGGTAACCCATGAAGATCATGGTGACGGGGGGCTCCTGGCCAGGCTGGATGCCCGGCGGCCCCGACGTGGCCTCTCCCGGCTGCGCCTGCACGCCCGTGATCTCCCGCCTGGACGGTGTGGTCTGCACGGGCTCCCTGGACGCCCCCCGGGTCTCTGCTGTCCCGGCCGTGGACCCTGCCTCGCTCAGCGTGACCTCGTCGGCCTTGTGGATGAGCTCGTCCACCTCGGAGGAGCTCAGCGGGTGGATCCCGTTCTCCGCGGTGCCGTCCACGGCGTGGACCACTGGCGGGGGCGGGGGGGAGAGAGAGAGAGGGAGTAAGCTGGCTCTCGGGGCGGGGGGGCCGCGCGAGGCCGTGGCCCACCCTCTAGGCTAAAGAGCAAGTGAGACAAAATCACACGTTATAAAACCAACCGACACTCAAAGCTCCCCGCGGGCATCTGTGCGCCCCGACAACCTGGCGCCGACGAGCATGTGCAGGTGCTCGTGGGAGTTAGTGGACGGGGACTGAGCTGTCCCGCCCTTCGTGGCCGTCCACATCCCCAGCGACAGGGTCCCGCGAGGCCACCTTGCCAAGTACGACGGCTTCTCCCGCGGCCAACACGGTGCCGTGCAGAGGGGGACCGAGCCGGACCGCGGGCCTGTCCCTCCCACGAGGGGTTTCTCGGGGAGCGCGACCTCTTCCTTCCTTGGGACCCCGTGGCCGGTCTTGGGTCGCCGTGTAGCTCCTATTCTCAAGGACAGTCGCCCACGGGCCGAGCCCGCCCTGCTGTGGCCTGGGTCGGCTTGCGCCATCCTCGCTCAAGTCTCAGGGGCTTATGACTTCATGACCACGGACTGTCTCTTGCAGCCAGATTCACTGAGAGGGGTGTTTATCAGTTTGGGGTCGGGGGAGAAGGGGGCTCCAGTCCCGGAACACAGGGCATAAGACATAAAATTGGTGACCTTGTTTACGACGGCCCGTGCGACCCCGGGCACGGCCACTTCCTGGAAACGCTCTACCCGCGTCTGGAAAGAAGGCACGTCGTGCCCTGGGAGGCGAGTGCGTGAGGAACCTGCTGCGTGGACCTTCCAAGCGTTCTGCGACCGCCCCGTCTGTCTGTCTGACCTGGCGTGTCCCGGGGCCGAGGGCTGGGGTGCAGCACCCACGGAGTCCAGGCCGCAGTCCCCAGCCCAGCAAACTCCCGGAGACACAGCTGCCTGGCTGCCTGCCGGGGGGACACACCCCGCACCCTCGGGACTCGCCACCTCCCGGCCAAGGGTCAGGGCTCTAGCACCTGGCTGCCGGCCAGGAGGAAAGTACTTTCCACTCTCAGTTTCCAGGCCCCTAGGGAGGGGCGTCCACGCCTCAAGGCCTCGCAGTGACTCGGGGCTGGAGGCCCGGAGGGTGCAGTGTCCCCTCAGAACCGAGCTATTTCCCACTGGCCCCTGCCCTAAGATAGGAATTGGGGCCCTCGGCCGCCATGGAAACGGGTCACCTTCCCATCGCTAAGCAACCAGAGTCCGGTCTGGCGGGTCCAGAATCCCCCAGGGCCGGGTCGGGCTGCGCCGAGAGGCGGAGGCGAGGACCTTCTGCAAACTCGGGCATTTCCTCTGCCCTTGGCCCCGTGAGGTCTTTCTCGTCCAGGAGACGAGGCAGCTGGGAGTGACCCAGGGTCACACAGCTGGTGAGAGCTGGAACGGGGGTTGGGGGGTTGCCCCCAGGTCTCCGTCCCCAAACCATGGGAGAGCCGGGCCGTGACCAGGTCCCCTTCGTGGCCTCCCGGATGTCACAGAGACCCCAGCAGCCTCTGAGAACACGAGGCTTCGGGAGCCAAAACCACGGTGAGGTATCATTCCACAACCACCAGGATGGCTACAGTAATAATAACGACCTAACGATGGACAACAAGTGTTGCTGAAGAAGCGGGGAGGCGGGGACCCTCACGCACGTCTGGAGGGAAGGAAAGATGGGGCAGTTGCTACAGGAAACACCATGGCAGTTCCTCAAAGGGTTAAACGCAGAAATCCCCATATGACTCAGAAATTCCATGCCTAGGTATCACCCAACAGAAACGAAAACATACGCCCATACAAACACTTGTACAGCATTCTAAAACTAAAAGGTGGGAACATCCCAGATCTTCGTCAACTGATGACCGGATAAACAAAATGTGATCCGTCTGAGCCATAGAATATTATTTGGCCATAAAATGTGAACGTGGACGGACCCTGAGCCCACGACGCTCAGGGAAGGAACCAGACACAGGAGGCCACGTAGTATGTGACTCCACGTGTGTGACACGTCCAGGACAGGCTCATCCATGGACTGGAAGGGGGTTAGTGGTTGCCGTGGTGGGGACAGGGGGTGATAGGGTTTCTGTTTGGGGAAGAAAAATGTTCTGGAATTAGTAAAAAAAAAAAAAAAAAAAAAAAAGCAACATGGTGAATAAACCAAAACCCATGGGCAGCCCGGGTGGCTCCGCAGTTTAGCGCCGCCTTCGGCCCAGGGTGTGACCCTGGAGATCCGGGATCGAGTCCCACGTGGGCTCCCGGCATGGGGCCTGCTTCTCCCTCTGCCTGTGTCTCTGCCTCTCTCTCTGTGTGTCTCTCATGAATAAATAAATCTATTTAAAAAATAAATAAATAAACCCAAACCCACTGCCCTCTATACTGAATTGTGCGCCTGTCCTGTCCCCTTCCGCTCCGCGCATCATCTTCTTGTAAAGGCAGCCCTTGTGCACTTGCTAACGGGCTCCGGAGCTGGGCACTATGATCTTCTATTGCGCTCGGGTGATCGGCTCCGTGGGTTCCACTGCATGAAGAAAGCCCATGTTTCCCTTGATTTTGATGATGCCTTTTTAATTCCTTCTTAAAACGTATTTTGTTTACTAAAGTGGGTTCTTGGGATCCCTGGGTGGCGCAGCGGTTTGGTGCCTGCCTTTGGCCCAGGGCGCAATCCTGGAGACCCGGGATCGAATCCCACGTCGGGCTCCCGGTGCATGGAGCCTGCTTCTCCCTCTGCCTGTGTCTCTGCCTCTCTCTCTCTCTCCGTGACTATCATAAATAAATAAATAAAAATTAAAAAAAAAATAAAAAAAATAAAGTGGGTTCTTCTCCTCCTCCTATCACCGTGGTAACTATTGCCCAGAAAATTTCCCCTCCCGGGGTTTGTTTATGTGCTACGATCGCAGGCCATGCCAAAAATGACCAAAGTTTAAATGCCAAAAGACTTATAAAATTGCTGTCTAAATCCTGACAGTGGGGGCGCCCGGGTGTCTCAGGCGGCGAAGCGTCTGCCTTCAGCTCAGGTCCCGACCTGCTTCTCCGTCTCCCTCTTCCTGTCACTCCCCCTGCTGGTGTGCGCAGGCTCGCGCGCTCTCTGCCTCTCTCTCTCTGTGTCTCTCGTCAAATAAAATCTTTGAAAACAATTTAAAAATAAATAAAGCAATAAATACTCATGGATAATGCGGTTTACATGAAACTTTTTCTTACCTAAAAACAAAAAAAAGAGTGAATTTTATGTATGCAAATTATAGAGAGAGAGACAGAGAGACAGACATGCTGGGGTTTTGACTAAGGTTGCCCTGTTCCTCTGCTCCTCCCAGGCGGGCTTCCTTGTGGGGGTCTCTCACACCCTGTTTCCCGACCAGCTGCTAGAAGGAACCCCCAAAACCAAACCAGGTCTCAGCACCGCGGCCCCTGCCCACCCTCCCCACACTCTGCAGCAGCCTCCCAGCCCCCGCCCGGTCCTCCAGCCCAGCACACTGCGTCCCGCCGCGGGGCCTTTGCACGTGCTGTAGCCGCTGTGAGACACACAGTTTCCTTCAACGGACAAGCACCCGCTCACGTCCTCTGAGGAGCCCCCCGGGCCCCTCCCCGCCCTGCTAGGCCCTCTCAGGGCGCCCTCTGCACCCCTGGGGGTTTGGTCACCTTTATTCGGAAGCCCAGGGATAGAGGCGAGTCCCACCCTCAGCCAAGCTCCAGGGCAGATTCCGGGAGCGAGGAGCGACGGGGCTGCGGGTCCACGCAGAACCGCCTCTACCCACCAGCGCCGTGGGCGGAGGGCCTGCCCCATGCTCGGTGCTGGTCAGGCTGCGGGTCGGGCTCTGGCCCGGGCTGGGGGGCGGGGGGGGCGGGGGCTGCATACCTTTGGTCTCGTCTTCGTAGACCTTGATGCCCTGAGGGAGCGGCTCCCGGGGGAGCAAGGTGGTGCTGGACAGCACCCGCGTCTCCCCCGTCACCTTGTCCTTCTCCACCGTGATCTCGACCGAGTACATGGCTGGCACGAGAGGCGCGGGTTACCCGAGGCCACCCGCCCACGTGCCCCCCGCCGGCTGCAGCCAAGCCAGGGAAGGGGAGCCGGCAGCGCAGAGCCAAGCAGTGGGGGCGCCCCCCAGCTCCGCCTCCTCCCACCGCTTGCCAGCGTCCGCCTGAGTCCCTTTGCTCGGCATTCGAGGCCCCGCGTGCACTCCCGCCCAGCGGCAGGGCCTCACACTGTTCCCATCTCCGCAGAGCCGCAGAGTGAGTCCGAGGGAGGCAGCGCCCAGGCCCGGGTCAGAGGGCCCCGTTCCCCGCGGGACCACCCAGCGCTCGGCGCTCTGCGACCCGCTCTCCACGCGCGTGTCCAGCCGGCGGCCCCTCATCCCTCCCGCTATGGAGAACGGAGAACGGACCGTCCTCCCCGAGTCGCTGACCCATCGGGACCGCAGCTCAGAGGCCAAGACCCCACCCCACCCCCTGGAAATCCCTCCCACGAGGAACACAGGGCACACTGGGTCCCCCCGCCCCTCCCGCAGTGACCCTGCCCCCTGCCCGCGCCCCGAGTCACCTCATCCGAGCCTCCCCCCTGCATCTACCCTGTAAGTGCCCTCCTGGGTCTTCCCACCCGTCGGGGCAGTTCCCTAGTCGTCCTCATCCCCCAGGGGTCCATCTGCAGAGCCCGTGGGTCCAGCCTTCGGAAGACCTGGAGCCCGCCCACGTGTCCCCCCCAGGACCAGCGCAGTCCTCTCGCCCTCCCCATCTCCCCCTCCATCTCCCCCTCCCCCCACTCCCCAGGACCTGCGCTGTCCCCCCTCGGCTCCCGCCCCCCCACCCTGTTCTCTCCACGGCCACCAGAGGGCTCCGATGAGCACCGAGTGGGGCACGTCCCCCCCCCTCGCCACCCTGCAGGGCTCCCCTCCTCCCTCGAGACCCTGCGCGCCTCGCCCTGTCACAGCCCCGAGCCCCCCTCCTCCCCCTCCCAGGTCTCCCGGTTACCCCTCCAACCAGCCAGGGCCCGGCCAGCCCAGGGCCTTTGCACGTCCCCTGCTCCCCACCTGAACCCCGTGCCCTGCTCCCCCGCTTCCTTTGGGTCCCTGCTCCAAACGGCCGTGAGCTTGGCCTCCCCCAGCCCTCCGACTAACCCTCCCCCCTCCAGCTCTGCACGCTGCCTTCTTTTCTCCATAACTTCCTTGCAGAGGGCGCAGTCCTTGTCAGGACGTCACCCCCCCCCACCCCGGGCTGTGGCCCTCATATGTCACACACAGCAGGTGCTCAACAAGCACTTGCCGCATGACCGACCATGACCGACCGAGTGTCGTCTGACTCCACGTCCCTGCACAGCCTGACGCCCTCAGCTCCAGGCGCGCGGTGGGGTGGGTTGTGCCTACGCGAGGTCGTCGGCTAAGGTCAGGGGGGCTGGTGCAGCTGGCACATGGGCCCCCCTTCTCTGGCTGATGCTACCCTCTGTCCCGAGCCTCCTGGCGCAAAGCTGCATGACCCCGTGGGAGGTCCCGGGCCTCCCCTGCCAGCCCCTTGCCGCCAAGATGCTCTCCGCCTCCCTCCGTGGTTCGTGCCGGCACAACTCACCCAGCACCCGCAGCAGCCGAGGGCCCTGCCGACCGTGATGACCTGTCACTGCCGTCGGGCTCTGTGCCCGGCCCCGGGCGCGCGGCCGGTTCGACCCCGCTGCTGCAGCGGGTGGACACCGAGGGCCTGGCCTGGCGGCAGAGCGGGGCCCTGAACCCCCACTTTGTGCAACACCCAGCACTAACCCAGGAGCACAGAGACGCCCCGGCCTGGTCGCCTCCAGGAACAGGGCGCTCACTCCCCGTCCTGCGGCGGCCTGAGGGTCTGCAGCGGGCGTGAGCGGGCGTGAGCGGGCTGTGTGCGCACGTGTGCACCCCCGCCGGGCCCCAGGAGTGAGCAGCGGGTTAGGCGGGGAGCCACGGGGGCCGGGTTAGAGCGCTGCCATGCGGGGGGCCCCCTTCTCGAGGAAGCTGGGCCAGCATGTGCCCGAGGTGCCAAAGCAGAGGGGGCGGCCAGGCCCCACCCCGGGGTCCGAGCCCGGACCACCCCCACGGCCACAGCTCCTGCCGAGGCCACGTGTGCGTGGGACGCAGCCCTGGCCTCTCCGGGCGCCCCAGGGCAGCAGCTGGACGCGGGGGGCGAGCTGGGGGCTGACCCACCTGCCTTCATCATGGTGGAGCCCTCGGTCGTCCTCACGGGGGTGTTGGACGCTCGTGTCTCTGTTCAGGAGGCGGAGGGTGAAGAGACAGAGATGGGGTCAGAGAGAGGAGGTCACACGGACGCCCGACGCCCCCCGGGCACCCGCAGAACACCCCACCCCCAGGCACCCCCGACACGCAGACACCCCCAGTACCGCAGCCACCCGGACACGCCCAGACCTCCCTGGCACACACACTGGCGCGGACACCCGCACCCCTGCCCCCCGCGTGCCCCGCCCCCAAACACACACCAGCCCCAGGCCGTGTCCATCTCTCAGCCCCAACGATTTTCACAAAAATCGCTCAGAGGCCCGCGTGAAATTTTTTTTTTTTAATTATTAACTTCTAACCCCACGGCAGGACACTGCCCGGCGTAACGGACGCGCGAGTCCGGCCAGACTCTGGGCTTCCCGTCCACGCTCTCCAGGCACGTGCGGAAGACGCGCTTCACGTCAGGTAGCTGTGATGCGCTCCGGAAGCTACGACACGCGCCGCGTGAACAGCCCACGCTGCCGAGGGCCCGCGAGCGCCCAGACGGGAATCGGGCGCAGGCTCCCGCTCCGCCCGGCGCCCACACCCCCGCGGGGGTCGAACAGCGCGGCCGCCCCGGGACGGCTGGGACCCCGGCTCCTCGGCCCCCGGACCCCAGCTGGGGACGCGAGAAGCGAGGTGCCCACCCGGGAGCTCCGGGGGGGGTGCAGGTGAGCAGGGGGGGACCCCGAGGGCCTCGGATCCCTCGCCTGCCGGAGGGAAGCCACGATGAGGGGCGCTGGGTGAGGCCCAGGCGCGGTTGCGTGAGAAAGGCCACGACCCTCATGACCCCAACAGCGGAGGGTGTGCAGGGACCCCCCCACCGGCCGCGAGCCTGTGCAGGCCCCCGCAGAAGCCTACCTTTGGGTGTGCCCACCGGGGCCTGCAAGAGAGGAGGGAGAGACCTGGTCAGTGAGGCCGGGCCTGGGCCACGCCGCCCTGGTCGGCCCCGAAGGCCAGTGAGAGCAAGACCAAGGCTATGGGAGGGGCAGCTGGGGGCTCGGACACGGAGCGGGGACGCGGGTCCTGCAGCGCCCTGGGGCCAACCCTCCCTAGGACGGAAGGGGCAGGACCCCTGACCCACCCCCCGGGGCCCTGAAGCCCAGAGCGCCGACCCTTGAGGGCGTGGGGACAGGTGCTCCCAACATCTCTGGGCCACAGCGCTTGTCTCCCATCGAATGGGGACCCTGCTCCCCCTGAAGGGGATACTGCGAGCAGGGGACGGGCGACGGCTGTGACCACGCAAGTAGGGTGACAGCAGGTGGGGATTTTGTCCACGGCTTCCTACGGGCAGGTCTCGTGTAGAGAGCACTTGTCGTCCCTCACGACATCCCAGCACGTGGGTGCTCTGGGGAGGCCCAGGGGGAGGGAGGCCCAGGGGGAGACTGAGGCCCAGGGGGGAGACTGAGGCCCAGGGGGGAGACTGAGGCCCAGGGGGAGACTGAGGCCCAGGGGGGAGACTGAGGCCCAGGGGGAGACTGAGGCCCAGGGGGGAGACTGAGGCCCAGGGGGGAGACTCAGTGAGGCCCAGGAGGAGCCTGAGTGAGGCCTGGGGGGAGATTGAGGCCCGGGGCGGGGGGAAACTGAGGCCCAGGAAGGCAAAGCAACTGTCCCAGGTCACACAACAGGGAGGCAGGAGGCTGTAATCCAAATGCAAGCCCCAGCTCTGAATTCTGTGCCACAGTGACCCTGAAGGGGGGTGTCTCAGCCTGCAGCCAGGAGGGGCGGGTGCCCGCAGGGGTGGGTGCCCTCAGGAGTGGGTGCCCGCCGGGGCGGCCGCCTGGGAGGGTCAGCACCCCCTCACCTGCTGAGAATCGACGAGCACCTCGGCCTTGTGGGCCTCGGCGGGGCTCGGGGCGGCGGGTGCGTCCCCGGCGGCGGGCAGCGGGCCCGCGTCCTCCAGCACCTCGATCTCCTTCTGCAGCCTGAGGGGGCACAAGAGGCCACCGCGCTTACCGGGCGCCCGCTCCGCTCCGGGCTCGAGACGCGAGCGCCGCACCCGCGAGGCGTCCTCCTTCCCTCCCGCAGCCGGGGAAACCGAGGCACGGAGCAGCGGCCCCGCCGGCCCGGCCTCCGCCCCCCTCGCTGGCTGCGGCTGACTTCTCCTGCTTTCCGACCAACTCTCCCGCGTCCCACTCAGATGTGCGCTTTTTGTTTTGTTTTGTTTTGTTTTGTTTTTACGGGAAGCCTCATCTCTCTGGGGAAACTGGAAAAACCATGTCCCCTTCCAAGTTCCAGGAGATAATGGTCCACACAATCCGGCGAGAACAAAACAAAAATTTTAAAGCCCGCCCCACGGGGTGGCCCTCAGGAGGCTTTGGGCCGTGGGCCTGTCAGGCCCCGGGGGTGAGGTGCCCCGGAGGAACTGAGCCTCCGCCGCCCACAGTGAGGGTCGGCCTGGAGGGCTTCCTGGAGGAGGCGTCCAGGCTGGGGCACCAAGCGGCGGCGGGCTGCCCTGGGAGGACGAGAGCCGAGGCCCCCGGAGCCCCTGGTCCAGCCCGGCGCCCGTCACCCGTCACCCCAGCCTGGTGCTGCCCGGCCTCCGCTCACAGGCGGGAAGGAAGCAGCCGGGGGCACCGCGACACCTGCCCCCCTTCTTCCAAACGCCTTGGGAAGACCCCGGCCTCCACGGGGAGCCTTGTGCGGGGCGCGTGCTGGGGCCGGGCAGGCCTCCCCCCAAGTGCACATGTGGAACTCTGGCCGCGGCTTCCGTCCCCGTGACCCCGCTGCCCTGGAGCCGAGCCTGGGCCTCTGCCTGCCCGGAAACTCCAGGCCTCTGTCCCCGCCGGGGGCCACTGTCCCCGCCCCCGCCTTCCTGCAGGCCCAGCGCCCGCATCTGCCCTGCGTCCGTGAGCCAGGGGACAGCACCCGCTGGGCTGGCGCCAGGGAGCCCCCGGGGAGGCGGCTGCCGGCACCTGCCCCCCCACCCCGTGCTTTGTGCACCTGCGGGGGGGGGGAGCTGGAAGGGGTCCTGCGGCGGCCTCTGCGCCCCAGCCCGCGGCCCTCCCTCCGCCGCGCCCGCCGCGCCCACCTGCAGATGGACTCCTCCAGCAGCCGCGCCTTCTGCTCGTCCTCCTGCATCTGCCTCCGCATGTCCTCACCGCCCTCCGACGCCGCCGACGGCGTCCCCTCCAGCAGCCAGCGCTCCCGCAGCGCCTTGGACTGCGGGGTGGGGGCCGGGTCAGAATGCGGCGGCCTTCCTGCTGCCGCCCCCCGGGCCCCGGCCCCCCCCCATCCCGCCGGGGTGCCCGCGGGACCTTCAGGTGCTGCAGCTGCCGTCGGTCGTCCTCCAGCTGCCGGCGCTTGTTCTCCACCTCGGCCTGCCGCCTCCGCTTCTCCTGCGCGGGATGGGGGCTCAGGGCTGCGCCCCCCACCCCGGGCTTGGCCCCGAAGACCCTGCTTTCCTGTGAATGGCACCCAGCTGGCCCGTTGGCCCCTGCCCCCCCAAAGAAGGGCAGGTTCTGCTCCCCCGCGTGATCTCCCACCCGCACAGAGCGGCCAGAGGAGCCGGGGCACGACGGTCCGCACTCGGAGGACCTCAGGGTCTCCCCGTTCTCACTTAGTGGGGAAGCACCAGCCGGCACTCGAGTCCCGGGGACCCTGCCACCCCCCCATTGGGGTCCCAAGGCCTGGGTCGGGAAGTGGGCCCCACCGCTGGGAACTCACTGCAATGGCCTGGAGCCGCTCCTGCTGAGACGTGGTCTCTGCCACCAGGACCCTGGGGGAGGGGACGCACAAGGTCAAGGAGGACCTCGTGGGTTCTCCCAACAAGCCCCCGCTGTCCCCCAGGACAGGGCCCCAAGGACGGGAGGGCGGGGAGGGCGGCGCTGAGCCTCAAAGGGCGCACGGGGTTCAGAAGAGCGAGTGCCCCCTCCCGGCCCAGACGCCGACACTGCCCAGGGCACCCCCGTTCGCCTCCCACCCACCATGTACAGCTTGTCCAGCCCCGGGTGGGGGGACACGCAGGAACACCCGCCGGCCTCGCCCTGCAGCCCTCGGGTTTGCAGCGTGCACCATCCACCCTGGGACGTCTGCTTCCCCGGGATTTCCCGGGAGCCCAAAGGCCCAGAGAGGCCGCGGAACCTCCCTCGTCCACGGCGTTTGCTCAAAGCCACTGAAGGGACAGAGCTTCCTGGGGGTGGGCAGGGGTGCGACCTCCAGGCCCCTGCCCCGCCCTCTGCTCCCCTGAACCCCCCACAGGGCAGGCTCCAAACCCCGGCCCTTCCCTCCCCGCTGTGTCCCGGTCCCCGGAAGCTGCACAGCCTGTGCTCAGGAAGCGTCTGCAGCAGTGAGGCTGGAGGACGTGCTCCTGCTTCCCGGGGCCTGGACACAGATGAGGCCTTCGGGGTCCGGGCTCCCGGCTCCCTGCGTAAGTCCTAGTGACCCGGGGCCAGGCGCGGGGGGGGGGGGCTGGGGGGCACACGCGGGTTCTGGGCACAGGAACCCAGTCCCCAGAGTCCCCCCACCCAGCCCTCAGCCTGCGTCAGGACCAGGAGCCACCTTGCACCCCCCGGGGCCCTGAGTGTCCACCTGCACAAACAGCTGGGACAGCCCCCCCCCCACGGTGATTCAGAAAGGAAACAGGCCCAAGGCCCACACCGAGCCTCGCCCCTTCCCCAGCCCCAGGCCACCCTCCTGGCCTCCAGCCCCACCACCCGCTCCACTAGGCTGTTTCCTGGCCTCGCTGAGACCCGTGAAATCATCGGGCTCTCACGCCCCGGCCAGGTGACCCCACCCAGCTCTTGGCTTCCTGGAGGGCGGCACCTGCCTTCTGTGTCCCCCCCGGGGAGCCGGCAGCACCAGCCACACCCTCTGCGGCTTCCCTCTCTCCCTCCTCAGGGAGGCTGGCTCCAGCTGGGTGGAGTTCGGGACAGGCTCGATCCAGCAACCGAGCGCGGAGGCCCTTCCTGAAGGGCCCGATCCGCCACATTTCTGCGTTGGTGACGCCCCGAGCTCCCCACACGGGCCCACCCTCCACTTTTCGCAGGCCGCACGTCTCCCATCCCAGGCCTCGACCACGGCCTGCTACCTCCCTGGCTCCTGACCACCACTCCCCGCCCCCCAACCAGAGGCAGCTTCCCAAGGCGAGAATCAGAAGCCCTCGGTCTCCTGCTCTCATGGCTCCCTGGCTCCCATCACCCCCTTTTTGCCTTTTTTTTTCTTTTTAAAGATTTTATTTATTCATGAGACACACAGAAAGAGAGAGGCAGAGACACAGGCAGAGGGGGAAGCAGGCTCCCTGCAGGGAGCCCGATGCTGGACTGGATCCTGGGACCCGGGGTCATGCCCTGGGCAGAGGGCAGACGCTGAGTCCCCCCCCCCCGGGGTGTCCCCCCATCACCCCTTGGGAGAAACCCAGGCCTGTGCCCGCCGCCCTGACCCCCTCTGCCGCCAGCACCTCCGGGCTGCGCTTGGGCACCCGGCTCACTCCCTGCCGGCGCCCTGGCCTTACTGTTCCCCGCCTGCTAATGCCCTTCCCAGAGAGGGCGAGTAGGGCGAGTCACTTGTGCCCAGTGCACGGCGGGGACCAGGGCCACAGGCACGGCCCAGGCCCCCCGCAGGCCCCCCGCGGCCCAGGCAGGTGTCGCGGGGAGACACCCCCACGGCCCGGCCTGCAGGGTGGAGGGACCAGCCGCCCCGTGGGGTGGGGGTCGGGTGGCCAGTCGGCGGGCACCGGGCAGCTCCGTGGCCGGCCAGCGGGCGGCAGACAACAAGGCGGCCAGTGTCCCCGGGCGGCGGGTCCTGCCGCCACCAGGTCAGGGGAAGGTCAGGCGCGGAGGGCACGGCCCAGGGGCTGCACCCCCCTCCCCGCCCCCCTCCGCGGGCCCCGGCGCCGACGCTCCCGCCCCAGGCGCCACCCCCCCTGGTGGGGCCCGCGGGAGGCGGTCGCCCTGGCAACCGCGCCGTCCCCATGGCAACGCGGAGGCCGGCAGGCGGGGGGGTTGGGCCGCCGAGCATCTCCCGCCCCCGCCCCCGCCCCCGCCGGCGCTGGGGGGTAAGGGGCTCCCCGCCGCGGGCTCCAGGGCCGCCGAGAGGCTGGGGCGCAGGGGGGCGCCCGGGGTCACGGGGAGGGCCTTGTAGCCCCGAAGGTTCTGGGCCTGCCCTGCTGCCGGCGGACGAGTCAAGCCCAGAGAACGCTCAGCATCGTCCGAAAAATAAACCGAAGTAGGACCAGAGGCCTCCGGGGACGGGGACGGCCGGGGCGGGAGAACACGGGCCCGGTCCCCCCCCCCCCGCGGCTCCGTCCTGCATTCCAGGGCGGGGAAACTGAGGCTGGGACACCTGCTGGGCCTGCTCGCCCCGCGGGAGGGGGTTCGGGCCTGCTGGGGAGGAACCGCAGCTGCTAAGGGAGACGGGGCGCCCTGGGTGCTCAGGGCGCACAGCACGGGGGCTCCCCGCGGGTGGGCGGGTCGTGCGTGGGCGCCGGACTCGCTCCGGGGTGGGGGTGGGGCTCGGGGAGAGGAGCAGAGGCCAGAGGCGCCCGCTGAGTTCTGGCTGAAAGGCCTGGGTCGGGCTTGGAGAGGTGCCCCCCCCCTCCCGGGGTGACCCAGGGCGCAGCCACCCTCCGGGCTCCCCTGGCTCTGCTGGGCGTGGGTGACCCCTCGGGGCTGCGGGTGTTGGGGCCCACCCTCCTCCGGGAGGCCCACCTCCCCCCGTGCTCAGGCTCCGGGCCTCGCCTGATTATTTTTACAGAGCGCCTGGAGCCAATTCTGGGCTCGAGCCCCGGTGTGGGCGGCTCAGGACTCGCGAGGGCGTGGGCTGCGAGCGCGTGAGATAATCCTGGCTTCGGAGATGAGCTAATGAGGCCCAAGCCCCGACGAGCCCTGCGCAGGCCCCGGCCCTGGGAGGCACTCGGGGTTTGAAGGCACCAGAGAGGTTATGCAACCCGCCCAAGGTCACCCAGCGGGCAGGGCAGCGGGCGTGGGGTGCACAGGATGGAGGGGTCCTGGCCCGGCAGGCAGGCGTGGAGCCCAGAGCCCAGCAGCATTCCCGCGCTCGCTAAACGGAAACAGCTGCCCGTCGCCCTGGTCTTGGGGGCAGAGAAGGGGAGCAGAGTCCCCCGGGGGGGCTTCCTCGGGTGGGGGGTCCCTTGCTCCCTGCCGGGCCTCTGCCAGCCGTCAGCCCCCCAACCTCCCCGCTCCAAGCCCTCCACGCCCGCCCATCACCCCCCGGGAAGCCGCAGCCTCCCCGCACTCACCCCTCTCCTTCCACCTGCTCCCTGCCTCCCCCTGTGCGCCTTCCTCCACCTCCAAGCTCAAGGGCAGCTGCCTCTTCCAGGAAGCCTTCCTGACCTTCTCCCCTCGCCAGGGAGAGTTCTCTTCCTCTGGGACCCTGAGCACTCAGCACAGGTCCCTGGGGAGGCAAACAGCATGAGGCATGCATGGGCTTTCTAGAATGTTCTAGGCAGAGGCTCCACCAAGATGGGAGCAGGCCGCAGAGCCAGAGGAGCAAATTGCTGGCTAGTAACCTGGGGGGGGGGGCGGGCATGGATCCTGCCCTGGGCCCTCACAACCAGAGGGCAGTGGGGCGTGAACCCACAGGCCTTCTCCGCCAGCTGCAAAGAGCAGCCCCACAGGCCAAGGGCCCTCCCGCCCCCACTCCCCGCCAGCATTCGGGGCGGCCCACCCACCGCAGGACCTTTGCACTCGCTGGGTCCTCTGGCTGCTGTGCGCCCCCCTGGGCCTCACCGACTCCCTCAGGCCCTCCGTCATTGTCACCTCCCCGAAGAGGTCTCCAACCCCCTCCAACCCCCTCCCAGGCTCACTTACTTTCTCCCTTATTTCCCCACAAGGACAGCGTCTCTGTCCTTAACACGGCCCTAGAGGGATTCAATAAGCGTTTGCTGGACCGAGGAGTCAGTTCAGGTCCCCACCCAGGGATTCCCTCCCCTGTCACTTTCCTGCCACCCCTGTGGGCCACTTGTCCTACAACCACTTCCTTTTGTTGCTTGTTTTTGTTTTTTAAGAATTTTATTCATGGGAGAGAGGCAGAGACACAGGCAGAGGGAGAAGCAGGCTCCATGCAGGGAGCCCGACGGGGGACTCGATCCCGGGACCCGGGGGTCACGCCCTGGGTGGAAGGCAGATGCTCACCCTGAGCCACCCGGGCGTCCCTGTTTCTGAAAAAACTCACTGTCACATGTCACATTTATTTAAAACAGGGCACAGGCTCCCCACACCCGTCAGAGGACAAGGGACAGGCCCCAAGCACCTCACCCCAGACGTGACTACACGGGGCACCTGGGGGCTCAGCGGTTTGAGCGTCTGCCTTAGGCCCAGGCCGTGACCCTGGGGTCCCGGGATCGAGTCCCGCGTCGGGCTCCCTGCATGGAGCCTGCGTCTCCCTCTGCCTGTGTCTCTGCTCCTCTCTCTGTGTCTCTCGTGAATGAATAAATAAGATCTTTAAAATTCTTTTTAATTCAAAAATTAATTTAAAGGGGGATCCCTCGGTGGCGCAGCGGTTTGGCGCCTGCCTTTGGCCCAGGGCGCGATCCTGGAGACCCGGGATCGAATCCCACGTCAGGCTCCCGGTGCATGGAGCCTGCTTCTCCCTCTGCCTGTGTCTCTGCCTCTCTCTCTCTCTCTGTGACTATCATAAATAAATAAAAAATTTAAAAAAAAAAAAATTAATTTAAAGAACGGCTACATTTAACGTATGAGACGACCCCGGCGTCCATGACAGATGAACATGAAAGTTCAGGGAGGTCCGTCCACACGTGCACACATCCCTCGGCCACGGACTGGGGCTCAGGGAATGTTCTGGAACTAGGCAGAGGTGACGGCTGTACGGCCGTGCGACGCACCGAATGACGTGCTTGCATCAGGTGGGTCGAGCGCCGTGTGAGCTGCACGTCAACCAAGGCCGCAAGAGCACACGTCCGTTCGCGCGGCAGGAGCGCAGACCGTCTCGCCAGGGCCGCCCCACGGGGCATCGTGAGCTCCCGCTCGCCCTGCCCTGGACGCTCCCGGGCCGAAGGGCCCGCGCACACCCTACGGGCAGTGGCTCTTGCTCTGCGCCAGAGGGTCCCCGAAGCTCCCGGCCAGGGCCCTGCCCCGAAAGCCCCACCCTGCTGCCCCCAACGCAGCCCTGCGCCCACCCACCACCACCCTCTCGTCCACCCCGAGGCGCCCACCCACTGACTCCTGTCTCCCCACTGCACGCCCGGCTGGGGCTCCCCTCCTGGTTCCCCGCCCGATCCAGACGGTCCGGGTGACCGGCTCGGGGGTCCTTGAGCCCCGTGAGTGTGATGTCACAGCCCTGCGATCCCACCCCGCACTCCGACCCTCTGTCCCTCCGTCCAGGGCCTGCGCCATCTCCCCCCACCTGTGGGCAGCCCTGAGCACCACGGAAGTGCTCGCCTCCGACCCGGCCACCGAGACGCGGGGTCCCCCCCGCAGCCCTGGCCCTTCTCCCCAGGCCGCCCCCTCGGTGGCTGTCCCCACTGAGCCCCCACCTGCTCCTCGGCTTCCAGAGCCTGTTTCTTAGGCCTGGTCACAGCCTCACCCCTGTCCCGCTTGGACGCCCTCCCGGGCTGCCCGTGGCGCCGCAGCTGGGCATGCAGGCTGGCAGGACCCGGCCAGAGCCCAAACCCGAGAGAGCTCCCTTCCCCCGCCCTGGTGACAGGCCGGTCCCCCCGCCGGGCATGCCCTCTGCCTGCCTAGCCCTCTACGTGTGGATTAGAGGGACAGCGCAAGGCTGACAAGGGCTCCATCTCGCCCCCATCACACGGTGACCTGAGCGGAGCCAAGAGTCGGCCGCTTACCTGCCGGAAGCAGGCGCCCCAAGGCACGACCCTCCTAGGAAAGGTCGGCGACGGGATGGACGGGGAACCCCTGCCCACAGCGCGGGGAAGACCCTCCTTCAGGCCCGACCCTACACAAGGCTCGCGGGGTCAGCAAACAGCGTTAAGGGAACAGATGGGTTCCCCGAACGCGGAAGGACGGACGGAAACAGGGCCCCAGACCCGGACAAGGGTGAACGTGAGCCCATCTCGCAGCATCAGGACCGACCCTCGACCCCAGACCTCGTCCCCATGCGGCTGGGGCAGCGCTCCTGCCCGTGGCGCTCCAGGGCTCAGGCCGTACCGCACCCCCCGTCCTCCAGGGTATCCCCCCGGGGCGCTGGGCGGGCTCCCGTCCCTGTTCAGCCCCGCTCAACGTCCCACGGAGCGGGGGTCAGGACGCCGCCTCTCCATGCCCCAAATGGAGCAGACACAGAGGGGTGCCCGGGGGTGGGGTGGGGAGGCTCAAGGCAGGTGCTTCTAGCGCCCAAGGCCACCTTCCATGTGGCTGAGGACAAAACCAGGGTGAAAGGCCAATGTCAGGATACCCCCTCCCCGGACCACAGCCCGGGACACAGGAAGGGGACACAGGAAGGTGCAAAGGCCCCCATCCCCCGACCCTGGCCGCTGAAGGACCCAGGAGCTCCGTGGCCCCGGGTGTGGCACTGTCACCTCTCGTGCCTCGGTTTCCCCACCTCGCAGGGCTGCTGTAAAGATCCAGCAAGTCCACAGAGACAAAGCACTCAGAACAGGGCTGGGCACACAGCAGGTGCCCACTAAACGTTAACCACCTTGCCGTGCTCCTGCCACCACCTCCACCGTAGTCTGTTCCTTCCCTTCAAGTCCACTCGCAGGTCCAGTGAGCCCCCCTCCCCCGCGGAACCGCCACGTGGTCACCAAGACTGAGAAGCAGAAGGCGCTCCCACAAACCTCCGAGTAAAAACGTCAGAAAATAGATACAACGAGAATAAAAGCTTGTTATTAGGTTCGATCATCGGGGCACGCTGCTGCCTGTCAACCGGCTCCGCGCTTGTTCCGCGGGGGCACTAGAGGGTGGAGGGACGTTGAGGACCCATCGTGCCCCAGCGGAGAACGTCCAGGCCTGACGTGGGTCGGAAGGGAGCTGGGAAGGGTCCTGGGAAGGGTCGTGCTCTCCGGGCCGGCCCCAAGGCCTAGCCCTGCCCTCAGCCAGGCCGGCGCTCAGGGGGGCGTCGGGGGGCGGCCGCTCGGGGATCGGGGGGCAGCCTCGGAGCCGAGCTGGCCTTCGCGCACCCGCCAGCGCCGGAGGCTCCCAGCGCAGCAGCCCCTCAAATCCCCCACAGCGAAGATTCCCACCCAGCCTCCGAGGTGCTCCCGGGACGGTCATCCTGCCCCCGGCCTCCCTGGGGGTCCCTCCACAATTTGTGTTAAACCCTCAAATTCTTAAGTGAACAAAAACGAATCTTCGATCCTTAAATTAACACAACGTTGTGAAATTCCTAAACGTGTTCTTAAAAGCAACTCGCCGGCAGCAGCCAGAGCCGCAGGCATCTCCTTCCTGCGGCTCTGACGGCAGCATCCACGAACGAGCAACGAGCGGGCGGGTCCTCGTGGACCCCACTGACACCTGCGATCCCGGGAACGGACCCAGATGGAGCCACTCCCCACCCATCGTGCCCCCGGGCGCACCCACCGAGGGAGGCTTTCGCTCACGGCCATTCAGGCCCCCGAACGCCAAGTCCTGGCCCCACGTCTGCACCCAGAGAAACCAGCGAACCCCCCGAGTGGGACCCACGGCATCATATCTGACCCACGACCACAAGGCACAGGGGCAGCCAGCACCCAGGCCCCTCCTTGTGCTGTGTGACTCCCTCTCTGGGCCTCACTGTCACCGCTGAGGGTGAGAGGGACCGCAGGAAACAGGAGTCCAACCAGAACACCCCCTCGCTCCTCCGCTCTGCGCGGACGTCCCCGTTGTCTGTCACCCGCAGCCCCTGGGACACCCCCTCCCCACAGCCACACTGCGCTCAGGGTCTGCTGTCGGGAGGCCCAGAGCCCCCCCCTTGGGCCTGGGGAGCAGAGCAGATAAACAAGTCGGGGAGCCCAGTGCAGACACATCCGGGCCCTGGCTCCCCTGAGCCCCTGGCTGGGCTCCCGGGGCCGGGTGGGGGAGCAGGCTGGGCCTTTGTCTGGGTTTTCAAAAGCAGAGGACATCGGGTGTCGCCTTCCTGGGGAGGGCGGGAGGCGGCGGCCCCCACCCAGCTGAGGGTGTGGCGGGTCACGGGTGAATCCCCGGAGGGGAGTTGTCGGCTCAGAAAACACACCCAGTGGGAAGGGCAGGGGGAGCCGCCGGGTGGGCCGGGTGGACCTCCGCGTCCAGGGTGGAGACCGGGCCCGAAGCGAGGCTCGGCAGGCCTCGGCACCCGCGGGGGGCGGGGGGGGGGCTGCTAGCACCCCACACACGGCTTCCCGCCTCCTGGCCCTGTCAACACCCCCCCAACCTGCCAGGGCCCACCTGTGGGAGTGGGGCCTGGGGGTTGCCCTGACGCCCGGGGGACAGGCGACTCTGATGGGACCGGGCACGCTCACCCCGAACTGCACGTGCAAGACCCCCTGCCGCCCAGCGGCCCCTCACCGGAGCCCCAGGGCCCCAGGCTGCCCAGGCCACTCGCAGGCTAGGCCGGCCAGGCTCCCGGCTACCCCATTTGGGGGCCCATCTTGGGGACGCGCGCTCCTTGCGGGGGGGATCAGACCCAGGCTGGCCTGCTGGAAAGCACCTGGACCTCGGCGCTCGCACATCCGGAGGCGCAGGCTGCGGGGACGCCCCCTCCCGCCCGCGGGGCCCGGGCACTGCCGGGGGCGCAGGGCCCTCGGGGGCGGCAGGCAGCGGGCGCAGCGAGGACTGGGCGCCCGGGGCGCGGGGAGCTGCAGGCCGGCGCGGCCTGGGGAGGGTCGCTCCATCCCCGCGCTGCGAGCCCACAGGTGGCGCAGGGTCCCGGCGAGCGGGGCGGGGCGCGGGGGGCGCGGGGGCGCGGGGCGCGGGGGGCGCGGGGCGCGGGGCGCGGGGGGCGCGGGGCGCGCGGGGGGCGCGGGGCGCGGGGCGCGGGGCGCGGGGCGCGGGGCGCGGGGGGCGCGGGGGCGCGCGGGGGGCGCGGGGCGCGGGGGGCGCGGGGGGCGCGGGGCGCGGGGGGCGCGGGGGGCGCGGGGCGCGGGCGGGCGCGGCCTCCCCCTCCCCAGGCGCCCCCCGCGTCCCCGTTAGTCCGTGGGCCGCCGGGTCCCCGGCCTCGCCCTCCGCCCGCCCGCGCGCGCCTACTCACTCCATTTCCCCGCCGCGGTCCGGGAGGGTCGGCGATGCTGGGGGCGCGGCGGGGCAGGGCGGGGCGGGCCGGGGCCGGGCCGGGGCCGGGGCCGGGGCCGGGGGGCCGGGGCGGGGGCGCTAGGGCCTGGCGGCCGGGGCTGCGCGGCGCGGGGGCGGCGGCACCGGCACCGGCTCGGGCATCGCCCCGCGCGCGGCTGTTTATTGTCCGGGCGGCGGCGGGCGCGGGGGGTGGGCTGGGCGCGCGCGTCTCCGCCACCGCCGCCGCCGCCGCGCCCCTGCGCTCGCTCCCCGCGCGCTCCCCGCCGCCTCCCGGAGCCGCGGCCCCGCGCCCGCCCCCTGCCGGCCGCCCGCCGCCCGCCAGCGCCCGGTCCCGGCCCCCGCCCAGCCCCTGCCCGAGGGCGCGCCGGGGACGCCGGTGCTCAGCCCGCAGGTGGGAGCCCCCCGGGCCCGTCCGACCCAGAGCGCCCGCGCCAAGGTCTGGGGGCGACCCTGAGCCGGACCCTTGGACGGGCACCGCGGAGCCCGAGACACAGCAGGGGCCGAGAGGGCACAGTTTGCAGGGGAGGGACCAGCCCGCTTGACTGTTCCGAAGGCCCCCTCCGCGGCCGGGACGCCGAAGCCGAAGCGGGGAGGCCTGGGGCTGAGAAGGGACCCCCCAGCCCCGGGACAGGGTGGAGGCTGGACCCCGCGGACAGGCAGGTGGATTCCGGGCGCATCGTGCAAGGGGAGCCAGCAGGATTGCCACGAGGGAGGTGGGGTGAGGGGTGCTGGGGTCCCGCTGCCCCCCGGGGCGCCCCCACCCCCCCGGAAGGACAGGGTTGGAGGGATGACAAGGGTGACGCTGGGCGGGCAGCTGGACACCACCACGTTGGGGTTCAGCGTGAGGCCCAGCCCGGGAGGCCCGGCAAGACGAGGCGGGAGCCCGCACGGTCAGCCGCCCGAGGCCGCTAGATGCCCGCTGTTGGCTCCTTACATTTTGTCTTGAGTCCTGCGTGCTGCCAGTGTCACCAGGTGGACCCCACGGGCTGGGAGGGGGGCAGGACCTGCCCCCACCACCATGCAGGCCACAGCCCCCACCTCCCGGGTTCTGATGACCACAGCAGCCCCCGGCGGCCCTGAACATATGTGGGGCCTGGAGTGGGGGGTACTCTTCCCTCCACTCCGCACGTGGGTCTGCACATGGAGGGAAATACCGCGAATGAGCTCGGAGCCGGGAGGGCGTCCGCCTGAGCTCCTCTAGTGCGAAAGCAGTGAGGCCCCGAGAAGTGTCGGGCGCTGGGCGGAGGGCCGCGCGGGCTGCTCGGGGGACGCGGGGCTGCGCCTTACCCGCCCCCCCCCCTGCACCCCGCGGCCTGCACCTCCTGCGCGGCGGGAGGGTTAAAGGACTGAATGTGCACCCGGCTTGGAACGGTGCCCGCACACGCTAGCTCAGGGGTTGGCACTTCTGTAGAGGCCGGAGAGTAAACGTCTTCAGCACTGCAGGCCCAACGGTTGTGCAAGGACTCAGCTGGGCCGTCGTGGCGCACACGCAGCCAGAGGCAGCACCCGCGTGCACCCGCGTGGCCGTGCACGACCAAACTTCGCTCCCAAAACACGTGCTGGGCCAGATGCAACCCCGCGAGGTGTGCGGCACATGTGCACCCGAGTGGCTTCCCGCCGCCCCTCCCCCTCCTCGTCCCTCAGCCCAGGGCTCCTGGAGCACCTGCCGGGCACCTGGCCTGTTGGGTGCGGGGACGGGGCGTTCTCGGTCTGGGGCTGCCGGTAGATGACGCGAGGCTTGAGGCACCACTGCTGCGTCCTGTACAGGAACCGGAGGGAGAGGAGGGTATGGACGGGGAGGGCCTGCCGGAGCCACGGAGCCACGGCCCCCACCGGGCTAGTCCCTGCCCCGCCCTAAACTTCCCAGGGTACCCACCAGCCCTCAGGTCAAGAGCAAAGTCCTCTCAGAGTCCCCAAGGCCCAGTGTCAGGGGTACAGGCAGCCGCTGCCGGGGGGGGGGGGGGGGGGGGCAAGCCTGGAGGTGGTGCCACAGGAGGCAGAGGTGCGGGTGGGCGGGCACTGACCTTGGCCCTGACGCCAGGCCGCATCCCCACTGCCCCTCTCTGCACCCCAGTCGCAGCCCCCATCCCGGTCTGGGTGGGGTCACTGTGCCCTCGGCGGCCCCCAGCGCCTGCAGTTTTCATGACAACATCCTCCCCCCCGCACTTCCTTGGCCCCCCTCCCCCTGGGCGTGGCCACCCGCAGGACCCTGCCCAGCACCCCTGCCCTGCCCTGAGCTCCTGCCCCCTCCTCTGGGGCCCTTGGACTTCAGGGGACTCTCGCCCCCCAAAGCCCCCTCGTCCCCGGTCCCTGAGTCAGAGCCGCCCTCACCTCCGACCTGGCTCAGGCCCAGTGTGCACCCCAGCCCCCCCTCCCTCCGAGCCCACAGTCCCAGCAGAGAGCTCCGCCCCACTCTGACCCATCAGGTCAGGTCCGGCGCAGCGGTGGCTCCCCAGGGCCTGCAGCCCAGCCCGGGCCCAGCCTGCCCTGCAAGCCTGGGCCTCCCTGCACCGCCCCCTCCGCACCTGAGGACACCTGTGGGCACTTCTCCCCACCGCAGGGCCGGCCTCCAGGAGCACCTTCCCCGCTTGCCCTCTGTTACTGGGTCTCCCGGGTCCCCTATTTTAAAGCCCGCCTCCTTCCCTGTCCTTCTCTGGCCACTCTTACCCCCCTTTTCTTTTATTTTATTTTTATTTATTTATTTATGAGAGTCACACAGAGAGAGAGAGAGAGAGAGAGAGAGGCAGAGACACAGGCAGAGGGAGAAGCAGGCTCCATGCACCGGGAGCCCGACGTGGGATTCGATCCCGGGTCTCCAGGATCACGCCCTGGGCCAAAGGCAGGCACCAAACCGCTGCGCCACCCAGGGATCCCCACTCTTACCCCTCAATGCTTCTGGCAGATGGTGTCATCTAGGTGGTCCAGCAGGGCAGGGACTTGTCTGCCTCCCCTGCTGCCAAGGCCCCAGCACCCAGGAAAGTGCCAGCACCCACCAGGTGCTCAGGAAACCTCAGGGGATGAGCAGTCAGCATGTGCTCAGCAAACACCCGGGGGTGGGCGGTCAGCGGGTGCTCAGCAAACACCCGGGGTGGGCGGTCAGCGGGTGCTCAGCAAACACCCAGGGGACGGGCGGTTCCTATCTCCCACCGTCCACCTTGACAGCCCCCGTGGGAAGCCTGGTGCTAGTGCCCTTTGCAGGTGAGCACACGGGGACTCGGCAAGGGGTGCCCTCTCCCCGCTCTGACATCTCAGAGACGCCCCAGGTCACCTGTTCCCCAGGTGTGGGGGTGGCTCTGGGGAATAGTGGCCAAGCTGCTCCCCCCGATGCCTGCACACACAGTGGGCAGAGGCCTCAGTTTACCCCCCTCAGCGTTGCCCACGTGCGAGGCGCCCACCCCCCACATCCTTTCCTCGCTCTCTGCCCGGCGCTTGGCAGCCCCACACTCCCCACGGGCCGCGCAGAGGGGCGCTCGAGGGCTGCAGGGGACCCAGGGGCCTGCGTCTCCTGCTCGGGTCGCCCGTTGTCAGGAAACGGGCCGAGCTCCTGGACTGCTCATCAAATTCAGCGAGAGAACCGGAGCGTGTGGGTTAAAGGAAGCGGCGGGCGATGCCAGCGGTGGGAGCACCTCCAAACCCCGGCTCTCCTCCCTCCTCCCTCCTCCCTCCTCCCTCCTCCCGCGGGGCGGGGGTGAGGCTCTGAGCCTCAGGGCGTGGGCAGGGCCTGCGGGGTGCAGGGCTCCAGGCCTGTCTGCGTCCCGTGGGACGCTCGGGGGCTTTCCACACACGTGCAGCGGCCCTCGCTGCTTGACCCTCTCCTGCCGCTCCGCCGTGCACCTACTGAGCTCCGACTGCATACCCCTCGGGGTGAGTGATGGACGTGCGCCGCCCCAGGGAGGTCACTGCACTCCGCTGTGCCTCAGTGTCTCCACTTGTGCGGACGGAACCCGCGGTGAAGCATGGCAGGGTCAGGGAACGAACGAGAGCCGACGGCGATGACGGGGTGGCCGCCGCTGAGACGCGCCTGGAGCCCCCGCCCAGCGCTGGCCTCTGCACCCACCGGGCAGCCCCTCAGGAGCTCTTGGTGCCACAACCTCCCTAAAGGATCCGGGAAGGGGTGAGCCGGACGCCGCGGGCTCCAGAGCACCCTGAACCGACAGGCCCGGTTGGGGGGGGTGCCCTGCATGGGGCAGCAGGTGGAGCCACGACCCCCGGGAGCCCCAGCCTCCGCAGGTTAGGGACCCAGGACCAGCCGGCTGGGTCCCGTCTGCACGGCGCCGCCAGCATCTAAACGCACTCCCGTGGAGGCCGTGGCCTCTGCCCCTGACGGTTGCTCAGGAAAAGAAACTCAGCTGACCCTGAGTTCATCTCCTCAACGTATAAAGAGCTCCGACAAATCAATAACAAAAGCAAGCGTCCCGTCCAAGGAGCCATCGCCATCGTTGTCGCCATCACGGCCGCCGCCACTGTGGCCGCGGCTGCTGGAGTGGGAGAGCCACCCGGATCCTCCGCGGGGGACCCTGCACGGACTGAAGCCCAGAGTCCGGGGGCTCACACCCTCTGCTGTGCAGCCACACAGGTCAGGGGCCTCAGTTCGGAGAATGAAGGGCTGGTCCCCGGCCCGCTCCTCGGGGCCTCGCGAGCCGGGCGGTTGGAGCCGAGGCAGGACGGTTATTGGTTTCACAACCTTCCCCCCCGACGGGGAGGAAATGGGCGGCTGTGGGGACCGGCCTGCGGCCACGGCCACCTCAGGGCCCCATCAGTCCCTCGCTGCGGGACCCTGCCCGAGCCCGGAGCCGCCCCCCGCCGCCACCGTGCATCAGTTTCCCCGGGGGGTCTCAGGGACAGAAAGTGCCGACCGGGAGGGGGCCCCAGCAGCCCCAGGGGGGGTAGGCGAGGCCTGGGGGAAGACGGAGCCCCACACGGCCCTGGGTGGCCACAGGGTCGGCTGTCGCGCAGATAACAGCCACACCCACCCCGTGGTCCCTTCCCGCGGGTCCCCAGCCTCTGGCCCTCCCACTGCTCTGACGTGTCCCTGCAGCCGCAGCAGCTT